TGGTGGGCCCTAAAAAAACGGTCGGTAGGTCCTAGGGACCTCCTGCTCTGAATACCATATCAGAATCACTAGGCAAGAATGAATGAACTAGGAGAAGTTTGGGTACAAATATGAAACCCTAGTTGGGGTTGTACCCCATATTGGCTACCCCACTACAGCCTACCAACATATAACACATTACAATTTAACACTGCGAGCATCATTGGTCATCGGCCCTTGAGAACGAAGAGCGCCCGCTGCACTTCCTCCACATGTGCGGATCCTAGCGCGTTTTGAGGCTAGAAGCGCTCGCAGTGAGTGTTTTTCTTCTACCAGGTCACGTGGCTGCACTTGTCTAGGCCCCTTGCCAAGCCAGCAAGGGCGTGGGAGGGTTGCGAGCATTATTGGTCATCGGCCCTTGAGAATGAAGAGCGCCCGCTGCACTTCCTCCACATCTGCAGATCCTATCGCGTTTTGAGGCTAGAAGCGCTCGCAGTGAGCATTTTTCTTCTACCAGGTCACGTGGCTGCGCTTGTCTAGGCCTCTTGCCAAGCCAGCAAGGGCGTGGGAGGGTTGCGAGCAATATTGGTCATCGGCCCTTGAGAATGAAGAGCGCCCGCTGCAGTTCCTCCACATGTGCGGATCCTAGCGTGTTTTGAGGCTAGAAGCGCTCGCAGTGAGCGTTTTTCTTCCACCAGGTCACGTGGCTGCACTTGTCTAGGCCTCTTGCCAAGCCAACAAGGGCGTGGAAGGGTTGCAAGCATCATTGGTCATCGGCCCTTGAGAATGAAGAGCGCCCGCTGCACTTCCTGCACATGTGCGGATCCTAGCGCGTTTTGAGGCTAGAAGCGCTCGTTCTGAGCGTTTTTCCTTCTAACAGGTCACGTGGCTGCGCTTGTCTAGGCCTCTTGCCAAGCCAGCAAGGGCGTGGAAGTGTTGCGAGCATCATTGGTCATCGGCCCTTGAGAATCAAGAGCGCCCGCTGCACTTCCTGCACATGTGCGAATCCTAGCGCGTTTTGAGGCTAGAAGCGCTCGCAGTGAGCGTTCTTCTTCTACCAAGTCATGTGGCTGCGCTTGTCTAGGCCTCTTGGCAAGCCAGCAAGGGCGTGGAAGGGTTGCGAGCATCATTGGTCATCGGCCCTTGAGAATGAAGAGCGCCCGCTGCACTTCCTCCACATGTGCGGATCCTAGCGCGTTTTGAGGCTAGAAGCGCTCGCAGTGAGCGTTTTTCTTCCACCAAGTCACGTGGCTGCGCTTGTCCAGGCCTCTTGCCAAGCCAGCAAGGACGTGGAAGGGTTGCGAGCATCATTGGTCACCGGCCCTTGAGAATGAAGAGCGCGCGCTGCACTTCCTTCACATGTGCGGATCCTAGCGCGTTTTGAGGCTAGAAGCGCTCGCGGTGAGCGTTTTTCTTCTACCAGGTCACGTGGCTGCACTTGTCTAGGCCTCTTGCTAAGCCAGCAAGGGCGTGGAAGGGTTACGAGCATCATTGGTCATCGGCCCTTGAGAATGAAGAGCGCTCGCTGCACTTCCTGCACATGTGCGGATCCTAGCGCGTTATGAGGCTAGAAGCGCTCGTTCTGAGCGTTTTCCTTCCACCTGGTCACGTGGCTGCGCTTGTCTAGGCCTCTTGCCAAGCCAGCAAGGGCGTGGAAGGGTTGCGAGCATCATTGGTCATCGGCCCTTGAGAATGAAGAGCGCCCGCTGCACTTCCTCCACAAGTGCGGATCCTAGCGCGTTTTGAGGCTAGAAGCGCTCGCAGTGAGCGTTGTTCTTCCACCAAGTCACGTGGTTGCGCTTGTCTAGGCCTCTTGCCAAGCCAGCAAGGGCGTGGAAGGGTTTCGAGCATCATTGGTCATCGGCCCTTGAAAATGAAGAGCGCCCGCTGCACTTCCTGCACATGTGCGGATCCTAGCGCGTTTTGAGGCTACAAGCGCTCGCAGTGAGCGTTTTTCTTCTACCGGGTCACGTGGCTGTGCTTGTCTAGGCCTCTTGCCAAGCCAGCAAGGGCGTGGAAGGGTTGCGAGCACCATTGGTCATCGGCCCTTGAGAATGAAGAGCGCCCGCTGCACTTCATGCACATGTGCGGATCCTAACGCGTTTTGAGGCTAGAAGCGCTCGCAGTGAGCGTTTTTTCTTCTACCAAGTAACGTGGCTACGCTTGTCTAGGCCTCTTGCCAAGCCAGCAAGGGCGTGGAAGGGTTGCGAGCATCATTGGTCATCGCCCTTGAGAATGAAGAGCGCCCGCTGCACTTCCTGCACAAGTGCGGATCCTAGCGCGTTTTGAGGCTAGAAGCGCTCGTTCTGGGCGTTTTTCTTCTACCAGGTCAGGTGGCTGCGCTTGTCTAGGCCTCTTGCCAAACCAGCAAGGGCGTGGAAGGGTTGCGAGCATCATTGGTCATCAGCCCTTGAGAATGAAGAGCGCCCGCTGCACTTCCTGCACATTTGCGGATCCTAGAGCGTTTTGAGGCTAGAAGCGCTCGTTCTGAGCATTTTTCTTCTACCAAGTCACGTGGCTGCACATGTCTAGGCCCCTTGCCAAGCCAGCAAGGGTGTGGAAGGGTTGCGAGCATCATTGGTCATCAGCCCTTGAGAATGAAGAGCGCCCGCTGCACTTCCTCCACATGTGCGGATCCTAGCGCGTTTTGAGGCTAGAAGCGCTCGCAGTGAGTGTTTTTCTTCTACCAGGTCACGTGGCTGCACTTGTCTAGGCCTCTTGCCAAGCTAGCAAGGGCGTGGGAGGGTTGCGAGCATTATTGGTCATCGGCCCTTGAGAATGAAGAGTGCCCGCTTCCTCCACATCTGCAGATCCTAGCGCGTTTTGAGGCTAGAAGCGCTCGCAGTGAGCATTTTTCTTCTACCAGGTCACTAGGCTGCGCTTGTCTAGGCCGCTTGCCAAGCCAGCAAGGGCGTGGAAGTGTTGCGAGCATTATTGGTCATCGGCCCTTGAGAATAAAGAGCGCCCGCTGCACTTCCTCCACATGTGCGGATCCTAGCGTGTTTTGAGTGCGCTTGTCTAGGCCTCTTGCCAAGCCAGCAAGGGCGTGGAAGGGTTGCGAGCATCATTGGTCATCGGCCCTTGAGAATGAAGAGTGCCCGCTGCACTTCCTCCACATGTGCGGATCCTAGCACGTTTTGAGGCTAGAAGCGCTCGCAGTGAGCGTTTTTCTTCCACCAGGTCACGTGGCTGCGCTTGTCTAGGCCTCTTGCCAAGCCAGCAAGGGCGTGGAAGGTTTGCGAGCATCATTGGTCATCGGCTCTTGAGAATGAAGAGCGCCCGCTGCGCTTCCTGCACATGTGCGGATCCTAGCACGTTTTGAGGCTAGAAGCGCTCGCAGTGAGCGTTTTTCTTCCGCCAAGTCACGTGGCTGCGCTTGTCCAGGCCTCTTGCCAAGCCAGCAAGGGCGTAGAAGGGTTGCGAGCATCATTGGTCATCGGCCCTTGAGAATGAAGAGCGCCCGCTGCACTTCCTGCACATGTGCGGATCCTAGCGCGTTTTGAGGCTAGAAGTGCTCGCAGTGAGCGTTTTTCTTCTATCAGGTCACGTGGCTGCACTTGTCTAGGCCTCTTGCCAAGCCAGCAAGGGCGTGGAAGGGTTGCGAGCATCATTGGTCATCGGCCCTTGAGAATGAAGAGCGCCCGCTGCACTTCCTCCACATGTGCAGATCCTAGCGCGTTTTGAGGCTAGAAGCGCTCGCAATGAGCGTTTTTCTTCTAGCAGGTCACGTGGCTGCGCTTGTCTAGGCCTCTTGCCAAGCCAGCAAGGGCGTGGAAGGGTTGCGAGCATCATTGGTCATCGGCCCTTGAGAATGAAGAGCGCCCGCTGCACTTCCTGCACATGTGCTGATCCTAGCGCGTTTTGAGGCTAGAAGCGCTCGCTGTGAGGCTTTTTCTTCTACCAAGTCACGTGGCTGCGCTTGTCTAGGCCTCTTGCCAAGCCAGCAAGGGCGTGGAAGGGTTGCGAGCATCATTGGTCATCGGCCCTTGAGAATGAAGAGCGCCCGCTGCACTTCCTGCACATGTGCGGATCCTAGCGCGTTTTAAGGCTAGAAGCGCTCGTTCTGAGCGTTTTTCTTCTAACAGGTCACGTGGCTGCGCTTGTCTAGGCCTCTTGCCAAGCCAGCAAGGGCGTGGAAGGGTTGCGAGCATCATTGGTCATCGGCCTTTGAGAATGAAGAGCGCCCGCTGCATTTCCTCCACATGTGCAGATCCTAGCGCGTTTTGAGGCTAGAAGCGCTCGCAGTGAGCGTTTTTCTTCTACCAGGTCACGTGGCTGTGCTTGTCTAGGCCCCTTGCCAAGCCAGCAAGGGCGTGGAAGGGTTGCGAGCATCATTGGTCATCGGCCCTTGAGAATGAAGAGCGCCCGCTGCACTTCCTGCACATTTGCGGGGGGAAACCTCCGCCAAATGGTCCCGAAATTCCTGACAACTGCTGTGTGGCTCTGAAATTACCGACTTGTGTGACCTCGATAAGCTGCACCGGATTTAGCCTTGTCACTACAAGAGAATTTGTTGGATAATGATCAGCAACAGACATGCCATATCAACTTAACGGAAACCAGGATTTCCATGGGGAAAGAAGCATGAAGAAAGCAAGGTAGTTTGGAAGTTGGTTGACATGTTATGTCATGTTTACAGAGGCTCACATCAATTTAGGTGCTTTTATTGGGATTTAGGTTTCATTTGTAGTGAAGCAATTTTGAAGCCATGTCCACCAAGACTCGTCATTCCCAGCCCAGGGCCACTCTGGGCTTCAGTGGACATTTTCTTGAAGTTTCACATCATTCCATCCTTTCGCTTCGCTCTACAACGTGTGACACCATTCCATCTTTCATTCCCACTTTACGGTCAGCCAATCGTTGCGGCCAACAGCTCACAGGTCCAACGCAAGCATCAATTCGTCTCCTTTTTTATTTCAGATCGCCTCAACAAGCATTCGCACGTTCTCCTTCACTGTGGAATCCTTCGCTCAGATCTCCCTCTGTCGATGGATGAGATAGCAGCCAAGGCCAAGGAGTTTATGAAAGGATGGACCTCGCCCTTTGCGCAACAATCCAGCTTTCAGGGCCAGGGGCGCAAGCTCGGCGGCGGGGAAGGCTCGTCCGGCGGAGCGGGGGGGTCGCGCCCGCTAGGCGTTCCGCGCACGGGCGCAGCGGCGGGGCGGGCGCTGCATGAGACGGCGGAGCGGCAGGAGCAGCTGCAGAAGCAGCAGAAGGAGGAGTGGCGGCAGCAGATGCACCAGCGGTGGGCGGGGGCGGGAGCGGGACCGCCGACGGCGCAAGGGCAAGGTCAGGGGAAGGCGCAGCAGGCGCGGGAGCTGCAGCTTCCGCAGCAGCCGCGCTCGCCAGGATTTGGAGGGGGAGGTGGCGTCGGCGCCGGTGCTGGCGCGGGCGCGGGCGCGGGTGCGGGCGCGGGTGCGGGTGCTGGTGCCGATGCTGGTGCTGGCGCGGGTGCTGGTGCTGGCGCGGGTGCTGGTGCTGGCGCGGGTGCTGGTGCTGGCGCGGGTGCTGGCGCTGGCGCCGGTGTCGGTGCTTGGGGACCCGCTGCGTCGTCTGGTATGGTGCGTGCCACGTGTCCTGTGTGCTCGGTATTTTCGGGCAGCGAAGCTGACGTGGCAGCACACGTGGACGAATGTTTGACAAGAGGACTGGAGCGCTCCACTGCCTCAGACGAGGCGGGAGCAGCGCCGACGCAGGCACAGACAGCAGCGCAGACAGCAGCTGAAGCAGCAGCAGAAGCAGCAGCAGCCAAGGCTGCATCAGGAGAAGAAGCAACTCTACACGAGTCAGCACTAGCAGACCAGCAGGTAGGAGGCAGTGTGGGTGGAGCAACGGCAGCAGCAGCACCGACTGCAGCACCAGCAGCCGCTGCAGCTGCAGCATCAAGAGGGACAGTGCAAGCCATGTCTGCACACAACCAGGGCCCACTTCTGACGACAGGCGAAGACAACCCCACTGGCACAGCCCCTCGGGCGAACACGAATACGGAAACGGAAACGGGCACTCACGATGATGCTATGGAGTCGGTGCATCACGCTGCGGCTGTCGTGCTCTCTGCCAGTCCCCCAGCGGCCACTCTCGACATCCTCACCCGCATCCTGCGTAACATTGTAACTGACCCTGGTAACCCGAAGTTCAAGCGCATTCGCCTGGGCAACCCGCGGATTGCGGACACGGTTGGCAAGGCAGCAGGGGCCATGGATCTGCTGCGGTCCGTGGGGTTTGAGGTGGTGGAAGAGGCGGGGGAAGGCGGTGCTGCTGGGGGGAGTGCGGTGGCAGGAGGTGTGGAGCGGTGGGCAGTGATGAGGGAGGTGAGGCTGGAGTTGGTGAGTGAGGCTGTGGCAGTGCTCTCGGCTGTGGGAGGGCAGAGTAGTGCTCCTGCTACTCCTGCTGCTCCTCCTGCTGCTGCTACAGCTGTTGGGTCTAGGGCTGGTGTTGCGGGAGGGAGTGGTGGTGCTACACCTGCTGCTGCTGCAACAGTCTCTGCGGCGGCAGCGGAGGGTGGGGAGCAGGAATCAGTGCCACCCATGCCCAGGATTGACCGGCAGGTATGAAATGGGTAATGCAATGCGGTTGTGCACGGATGGGATTTTGTTGCGTGGGTCACACCAGCAGGTGAGACATGCAATTGTATCGTTGGGATCATACTCGGGTTTTCTCATCCTCTCAGCTCTCACCTTTTCGCATCCTGCTCTTGATCCTATTTCCTGCACTTCCCTCCCCCACACCCCTCCCTGCTATCTTGTGCCCTGCATACCTCCCTGTGCTTCCCGATTGCTCCTCTTGCATTGCCAATCTCATGCGGATCGCTCCTCTTGCACCAGGTGCGGGTGTTCCTATCGACAGAAGAGAACAAGGCAGCGCGCATCGAGGTACCGGACTCGTTCTTCGACCGCACGGCAGAGGACGTGCGGCAGGAGGCGATGGCGCGGCGCCGTGCACAGGAGGGCGCGCAGCTGCTCATGACGCGCGCCATGCGCGAGAAGCAGGCCGCGGCGCTCAAGCGCAAGTACCGCGCGCGCGGCCATCGTGCGCGTCATGTTCCCGGACGGGCTCGTGCTGCAGGGCGTGTTCCGACCCACTGAACCCACCGCTGCACTCTATGAGGTGTGTGGGGGGGTGGGCTGGGCACACAGGTGGATGGGTGAGTGGGTGGGTTGATGTGTGTGTGATTGGGTTAGTGCATGGCTTGTTGGGAGGGTGTGCGATTGGTTGGTTGGTTGGGTGGGTGGGTGAGTGGTGGGTGGGTAGATACCTGACCATCCACTTCCTTTACGCAGAGTCCCCTCCTTCGTGTCTGCTCCTCGGCTGCTGCTCCCATCACTCATTCCATGGCCCTGCCACTCGCTAGTAATCCTTTATTGATTTCCCAACTAGCCCCTCCCCATCCTCTCCCCTCTCCCCTCTCCCCTCTCCCCTCTCCCCTCTCCCCTCTCCCCTCTCCCCTCTCCCCTCTCCCCTCTCCCCTCTCCCCTCTCCCCTCTCCCCTCTCCCCTCTCCCCTCTCCCCTCTCCCCTCTCCCCTCTCCCCTCTCCTGTCCTCTCTCTCCCCTCCACCCCTTGCTCATCCACTTCCCCCTGCACATCTGCATTCCACCCCCCCAAGCACTCAAAGCCCCTCTCATGCCTCACGCTCATTTATCCCCTTCCCCACTCGTCCCTCCCTTTCCCTTCCGTTCTCTTCCCTTCCTTCCCTTCCATGTCCCGTCCCTTCTCCACCCTCGTGCCCCACCCCCTCTCCACTTGGTGACAGAGACACTCTCAAGGACCCCACACACTAGTTCCAGCTCATTCTCACAGCCACTCCTTTCCATCCCCTCGGACCCCTACCCATCCTTCCCCTTTATCCTTTCCTTTCTCACCTCTTCTCTCCAACCTCCAATCCACCCCAGTTCGTGGCAGAGGCACTCAAGGACCCAACACAGGAGTTCCAGCTGCTGCACCCCATCCCCATGGCCAGCCGCTCCCAGACAATCCCATCCGTGGCAGCAGGCCCTGCATCACCCATGCCATCACTGGAGAAAGAGGAGCTGGTGCCGGCATCGCTCATCAAGTTCCGTCCTGTGTGCCTCGGCCCGCCGGGGTACACGGGGTTAAAGAGGGAGTTGCTTGAGCAGGCTCAGCCGCTCACTGCTGTGCCGTTTCCTCCTCTGGATACGTCCGGGTAGGGATGGTGTGGTGTGTAGCTAGCATGTGCAGCTGGATGCAATGGTGGGGGTGGAGGGGGAGGGGATGAACCCACCCACACTGTGTTTATTTGGTCCTTCCTTGCTTGATGAGATCTGTTAATGGGAACCGAGTTGAAGTACCGTATAATACCTGCTGGTATACCAGTACCTTCCAGTACTGTGATATGCGGTTGTGGTTGAGCTGATTCGCACTGTGCTGAATCATACATTTTGCTGCATGGGCCAATTGAGGTGGCTGGCATCTACCTGGCTTAGAGCTGCTGGAATGTAGCTTAAAGCCTTTGCAACCAGAGTGCATGAACCAGACCAGTGCTACACCATACCACAGCTGGTACCCGGTATACCAAATAATTACCATACATTGTAGCTCCTGACAAGGGCACAAGAACTGGCATCAATGTAAAATGCAGTAGTCATTATTAGCCCCAACGACCCCCAAATAATAAATCCCCGCAAAGTCAAATCCAAGAGTACACAAGGTAGGTACCGTACCATATGTTGCTAAACCAGACATTTTGTACGGTGGGCTGGGTGCTAAACAAGGCAAACCAATCCATACCAACCCAACCCCTTTGGTGCGAAAGGCAGCAGGCATGGCATCTCTTGGGTTGGCTTGTGCAGGCTGGGCCCCATGCATATGCACCCTGTCTTGCCCCACACACCACACCACATCATCTATCCAATAATGCCAGTAGCGGCACCGTAGGAGTTGTCCGCAATGGCTGCAAGCAAGCACCGCAGAAGGAGCGGGAAGGGCAGGGTGCATGAGGAGAAGACCGAGATAAAATGAGCAAAGAGGGAAGGGTGGAGGGAGGAGAAGCCGGAGGAGAAGGATGCAGATGATTCTTGCAGAGAGCTAAACGTGGGGAACAAACGAACACAAACAAACACAAACAATCACAAACAAGCACGAACTAGCGCAGAACGGGCGAATCAAACCCCACTCGTGCCAGCGCACAGTCCATTCACAATCACGCCACGCCACGCCACGCCACGCCACGCCACGCCACGCCACGCCGCGATGCAGCTGCAAGCCCTACCGCGCAGAGAGCAGCTGAAGCCGACGAAGGCGTCCGTCCCCGCGCAGCGCGACTTGGCGCAGAACTCAAACGCGCGCTGGCTGGCGTTGCGCTTGAGCGGCATGTAGCGCTTGGGGCACGCGCACACCTTGATGCCCGCCACGTTCTCCCTGCACACCGCGCGCACGGGGCACGTCGCGGCGTCCAGACAATTGTGCGGGTCTGCAGGGGAGTTGCGCGAACGCGGGGGGATGGGGGAAGGAACCGGATGGGGGAAGGAGCGGGGAAGGACCGGGGGAGAGAAGGGAGGAGGGAAAAGGAAGGATTAGCGGAGATCTATAACTGAGTCGAAGAAAGAAAGAAACCAGATTCTCAAGCCTCGCACGCGTATCAGAAGCAAGCAACTCAGGCGGGCAAGAGCAAGCAAGCGAGCGAAGGCGCCAAGGAGCGAGGGAGCAACGGTGCGTTTGGACTTCCCCCATTGAAGCCTAAGCTCACATCGGCACGTGGCGTTCTTGCTCCCCAGCAGGCACGAGCAGCCCTTGGCGGCGAGGTTATCGCGGCAGTCGAGAGTCACGGGGCAGTTGTGGAACGCGCCCAGCGAGCACGTCCTGTGCACTGCGCGCATGCGGAGGAGGAAAAAGGGGAAGGGCGGAGGGAGGGCGGGGGGAAAGATGGGGGAAGGCGGAAGGAGGGAGGCGGGGCCGAGGGGTTGGAGGGATGAGACGACGAAAAGATATTTGAACCAAGAAAACAAGCCAATAGCTGGATTCAATGGCTGCGCGAAGCAAAACGTCACTCCCTCGCGTTTTCTCCTTTCCTACCGGGCGCTGCTGCTAACCTGGCGGCGGCTTCCGCGCGGAAGGAGCGGTGGAGGCGGGCGGGTGCGTGACGGTGCCCGTAACAGCGTTGAAGCGCGAGTCCGCATCCAGCGACATCACCGATATCGACGCTACCGTCACCACCGCGGCTGGTGGAGGGCTTGGCGGGGGGCTCGGGGGAGGGCTCGGCGGCTTCGGCGGGGGGCTGGGCGGCTTGGGGGGAGGACTGGGAGGGAGCGGGGGCTTGGGGGGAGGGCTGGGCGGTTTGGGGGGTGGCGGCGGGAAGGGGGGCGGACTGGGGGGCTTCGGCGGCGGGCTCGGCGGCTTCGGGGGGCTGGGGGGCTTCGGGGGAGGGCTTGGCGGCTTCGGGGGAGGGCTGGGCGGTTTTGGCGGAGGAGGCGGGGAGGGCGGCGGGCTCGGCGGCTTTGGCGGCGGGCTCGGCGGCTTCGGCGGCGGGCTCGGCGGCGGAGGCGGCGGCGACGGTGGCGGCGGCGCTTTGACATGGCGCTGCGCGCAGACAGTCGTGGCGAAGTAGCTCCAGCCGTCAACCGTCGCAGAGAGCGTCGCGAAGTTCGCAGTTCCCGTGTCGAGCTGGTTCGTGCCGACGAGTTGCACGCCATAGAGGCCCTCCGGAAGCGCGATGTACGCGGTAGGGGGACTGGGATACACCGCAACCTGCCCGCCGGACGGTGCGGACGTAGTGTATTCAAACGCGCCGCTTGTATCGAATCCCGGATCCACGCCGCTGCCCTCTGTATAGGGTACAAAGTCCATCGCTCCCAGGTACGCGTCGCCAGGAAGACCCGGGAAATCCGCGGCGCTCGTTACGAGGAACTCCTCGCGCACCGGGTCGATAGCGAGCGACCCGGGCATGCCAGGCGTCAGCGTGGTGGTCGTGAGCGGCGTCGCAGAGCTCGTAAGCGGCGTCGCATACGTGTACAGAATATTCGCGTCTTGTCGCAGGACGGCGACGAAAGTGCCCTGAGGAGAGCACACGGCCTCAGTCGCGGGGTACGGAATGGAGTTTATGGCGGCACTTGCGGGCTGAAACGCGCCCGTCACCGCATCGAACGGCACCTCGATGATCGCATTCGCGTCGTCCGACAAGCGGTGGCACGCGAAGAGCGCGGAGGCCGCGCAGAATGCGGCGGAGAGGCACTGCCACCCCGCGGGAACGATCTGAACCGTCGCGAGGGTCGTCCGGTCGATGCTGACCGCGCCGCCAGCCTCGGCGGTGCCGTCCGCGACGACGAGCATGCGCTGCGACGGGCCGCCGATGGAGATGGAGGTCGCGTTCAGCGTCGTCGGATACGGCGTGCCTGCGACGGGCGCGGTTGACGTGTATTGAAGCACGTTGACGTATTTGCTGCCCGACGCGATATACGCGCTGCCGTCAACCGCGACGGCGCAGCCGGAAAGCGCCGCGTCGTTGTTCGCGTCGGGGTTGGCGGAGTCGCCGACTTGACGCGTCGTGAGCGCGTTCACCTGCCATGCCTGGTTGAAGACTTTGTCGGTTAGCGGGTCGTACACCCCTCCAGCTACGATAACGACGGGTACGCCGAGAGTCGAGTACGGCTTCTGCGCGGCCGCGAGATGCGGGCAGATAGACGCGACTAGGAGAAGCGTGACGAGCGGGAGGAGCGCGAAAAGAGCCGCTCTTCGCGAAGCAGCGAAGAGCTGCCCGTGGTGGCGAAACATAGTGGAAACTGTTTTCGCGGGGAGATTAGGGACCCAGAGGGCCCCAGGGCGACTTGATAGTTGGTGGAGGCGGCAGGAGGGAGAGGCTAAGAGCTTGCTACATTCTTGCCTCGTCCCATGGCGAGAGACGTCGTGGTGGCGACTACTGAGCCTAGCAAAGAAGGCCTGGCTGGGTTTTTACTTGGTGATGGACGGAGGGGAAGCGAGCTCCGTTAGGGCGTGTTACATTTTTTAAAATTTTCGTCCGGACAGCCACCCGTTCGGACAATGGTGTGGTTACGAAAACCATTATCGGTAGTAAGTTCGTAAGGGTTAAAACAACGTCGCAAGCGTCGTTTGGCTAGCGTACGACATCGCATTGGTCGCAAGGCGACCGCACGACGTCGCAATCCTCGCACGCATCCGGACAATCGTCCGTACTTTCAGCGATTCAAAAAAAAGTAACACGCCCTCAGTCTCTCCTGTCTCTCCTTCCCTCGCTTCAATTCCAGCGCAGAGCAACTCATCTCAACCGATCCCAAACTATCCTAAACCATATGAACCTTTTCCTAGCCAGCTGTCAAGGTGTGCGTGAATTGTGCCAGGAGGAGGGCGGGGTGGCGGACGGGATTCACGATTGATGATTCAGCCCACTTGACCTGTGTCGGGCATCAAGAAGCTGGAAAGGAAACCGATTGGGCAGGTGAAAACCAAAACATCTGCTCAGCAGCAAGCGCGCGGCCGTTGCTGTTGCGCGCTGGGCTGGGCTGGTGGTGGTGGTGAGAGGTGAGATGGAGTCATGGGGGATGGGGATATGAGAGTGGCAGTGTTGCTGCGTGGCTGGCTGGGTGGAACGAATTGATAAACTTTCGTGGCCCTACCACAGCCTGGCGCCACCCCGAAAACAGATGGGTGATCATTTCGACAGCCAATCACCGCGTGGAATTATAGCGGGCAGCTTGCTCCAAGCGTCAACTTTGGCATGTGATGTGATGTGAGGCGACAAAGAGCTGGGGTTGGGCAGTAAAAAAGGAGGGATGGAACTGCTGGCAGATGAGATGCAGACAATCTTCCCTCCTACTGTAATTGCGACTCGATGTGAGGGACTGCACATCCTTGCCAAAGCCCAAGGCAACCAGCTTTGGGGAGGTGTACAGATCCTATCGCACAGCTCCAAGGCGGACAACATGCGAAGAAGTTCTGCAACCTGAAACAGAATCAAGGCACCTGAGGTAACTCTTCGGAAACCGTCTGCCTGTCGTATGCACCCTGAAAGCTTGAAACGGATTTCATTCTCACCATGCGGCAACCGGTCAACCAAAGAATCAGTTGTCAAACCTGGAAACTAACGACAATCGTATTGACGGGATGAGTAACGTGCGTTTATCCAACAAGGACCCCTCCAAACACCCAGTCAAGCACCACACTTGGTGTTTCCTCATTACCCGCATCGTGTTTGAAGGCACTGGGTATCTAGAAACGAGAAAAGATCGGTAACATACTGTGCTGCGGAAAGTGAGAATTGACTAAGACACTGTAGCAACAAGCACTCTACAAGATTTCATACATGAAGTGCACTCGTAGTGAAATAAGCATGCAAACTCTTTGTGTGCTTGTATCTGCTAATCACTGAAACAGCATTTAGGGGAAAGGTACATACAAGCCCTGGCGCAAAGAGCAGGGTCATTGGTAGTAATTGCACGAACCCCTATGCGGTACTGAGATGCCATCAAACCCTCCTCATCAATCACCCATGACAGCACGGACCGGTCGTGCAATGGAGAATATGGAGCAATCGTGTCATCTTGGCGCGACTTGGATGCCGTTTTGTATGGTTCGCGCAGGGAAGAAACGTGGGCAAAATGTGGTGCAAGCCACATCCGGGGGTCAATGTGATTGACCAATGCAATAGAGGTGTCATTAGGGCCATATATGTATGCCAGGCCTGGAGGAGATGCACCATTGTAACAAGGTTGGAAGAATATGCCAAGCCAAATCAACGACAGGGAACAGGAGAGGAGAGTGTGAGAAGTGGTGCTGGGAAGAGGGAACGGGGACGTGCCAACAGGATAACATAACCTACTAATCATTGCACCATGGTGGAAAATTACCTAAACCCCCCAGCTAGTAGTCCTCTCACCTGCAATTCCTTGCCGAAGAGGCCCAGGTGCACGGGATGATGGCCGGTCTAGAGAGAAGAAGAGGGAGTCGATGAGCCGGAAGTGAAACGAGGTTAGAAGAATGCGCAGACGTGGACGAGCCACCTCCCCCGAAGCGCTAGAGGATTTAGAGGGCCGGATTGCATCAACCCATGTGACCAAGGTCTCTGCAAACCGATCAGCCCATTCCTCCTCACTCACACACTCCGGCCCTGCACCGTTTCGAGCCTGCTCTCTCTGCCTGTTCTCCCCGCACAGGTCGATTTTAAGGTCCAGAGCAAGCATAACATCAGCATGCCAGAAATGCTGCACGACGTGGGTGAGGGAGGGCAAGGGCGTGTGCGCAAACTTGGGGTCGAACCACCCTCCAGCATCTGCCTTCTCCACCACCTCCCATGGCAAATCCTCCACTCGCGGAGCTTCCTCCTTGCTCTCTCCCCGCTCCCCTTCCTCCTGCCCTCCCTGTTGGCGCCCCCGCTGCCCCTCCTGCTGCATGGACTGCAGGGATGGGAGCGGCGGCAGGGAGGGCGCGAGCTTGGTGCGGAACGTTGTGCCATGCACCACGGCGAGCTGCCCGTCCCGCGTCATGTGCACGTCCATCTCCACGCAATTGGCGCCGCGCTGCACGCACGGAGAAAAAAAAAGTGGTGCACGTCGGGCGTCAGGGTCGAGAGGAAACGGGAAATGATCTTCTGGATTCGTTACTCGTATATCAAATAAACGTCCGTCACTAGCGCAGTACAACTGGCGTCAGCCTGCGGTCGTCGCTGCTTACCTCGAGCGCGAGCTCAAACGACGCTATAGTGTTCTCGGGCGCCTCGCGTCTCGCGCCTCGATGGCCGCAGCACGAGATGGCAGAACGCGGCGATGGATACGAGTCAGCGTGTGTGGAACCAACTCGGGACCAGATTTCGCGGCTTCGATCTGACTCTTCCTCGCCGACCGGATTTGGCGGTGGTGCTTCCGCGGACACCCCTTCCGCCGCAGGGCATAAGGCGCGCCATCCGCGCGAGCTGGCCCCTGTCCTTTCGGTCCGCGAGTGCGCCCATTTACGTTCGTCTGCTGAGCCGCTGGAACGATCAGGAGTGAGGGATGTAGGATCGTTAATTGGAGATGATAACGTTGAAACGAAGGATAAGGAAGGCCAGGCAAGAGTAAGAACGAACGCCGTTATGAGTATGGCCGCCAGGCCGCCATAAACCGCGAGCGGAGTTGCAGCAGCAGCAGCAGAAAAGCCGCCCCTCATTTTCCACAACTCGCTTGCGTGGTTAGAAGATAAGGCGAGGTGGACTTCACTGGAAAAGGGGCTCCCGTTTCGGTTAATTATGAAATCCAAAAACAAGAAATGTAAATGTAAATGAGTGATGGCATTACCGCGTACAGCAAGAACGAGACGCCTGGCAGGTCTAGCCCAGCCCAGCCAAACATGAACCCAATCAAACGAACTCTGACAGGTTCTCGCGGGAACTGACAAGGTCAGTTGGCTCGATTGAGCCAGGCACTGGGCCAAACCAAGGCTTCCACGAAGCGAACCCCACCGAACCAAACCATTGTGGACATTGGCCGGAACGAACGGCATGTTTTTCTGTGAACCGCTCTCAAATATCTACAAACCGTTCGAACATCCCCACCACAAATCCGTCAGCTTCCTACGCACCAGACCACGGGCATCCCGAATCAACTTCCCAGACCTCGACCAGACCAGCCGTGCCTTGCGTGCTCTGGTTTGGGTTCAGTCTTCAACTCGAAGCTCCTTGCCTTGCTCCGTTCTGCTCGGCTCTGCACTGCTTGTCCGTGTGTGCTCCGTCCGCATCACATCACATCACGCCTGGGTCGGGTGATTCTTGACCTTGTCATTTCAAGCAGGCACTCATTCCATCCAGGCATCACTCAGCTTGCGTGGCCTATCGACTGCCGCGATTACCAAACGCTTCGACGGACCTCCCCTTTCCAGATCGGAAGGCTCCGGCGTTCTCGCGGCACGTGCATTGCCTGGTTTCGGGATCTGGACTTTGTTAATTTATAGCAGCATACATCACGTTCACTTCACGACGGCCTTTGTCTGAGCCTGAGACAGCTGCTCGCTGGTTCTAAGCTAAAAAAGCCACCGTCTTTTGTCCTAACGGACTCACTGATCCTTGTGAGCATTACCTATGCGACCTCGGCCCGGTCAGGAACATCCGCCGTCATTCTCTCTCCTTAACGTGTCCTCCCCCAAGTTCAGCCTGGGAAGGATGTCCCCGACAGAGCGGCTCAAGATGATATTCAAATCCGACGCCGCGAAGCTCACCATGTGCGTCGTCGGCGTCGTAGGAACTCTCATGGTTTACGGAGTCATGCAGGTACGCACCCTAATGCTCTCGTTAGTGCCATGCCAGGATTGCGGTTACAATGTGAGCAATCTTTCCCTCTCATTCTCGCAGATTTAGATACGTCGACCGTCGATGCAAAACCATTCTACAGTTACCACATTATGTAATCAGTACAACATTAGCGGACTGAATTGAACACTTGATTTGCTGGCATAGCTGACGTCATCGGCGAATCCGCGACATTGACAGATCTCACATCCCAAGACCTCATTGCGTGAATCCTAACCGTCATTAACTCATTCGTAACTCCCGCGTCTTTTCCTCGTAATTCGGCTTTCCGCCTCATCTTTGTTTTTGTAACGCCGTGCCCGAACAGGAGCGGATTATGCGGCAGCCGTACGGTGCGGAGCAAGAGAAGTTTCAGGAGTCGCTCTTCATCGTTCTCTGCAACCGAATTCTTACCTGCAGTCTCGCCGTCGTCGTGCTCCTGGTACGGAATCCCGGAATCCCACCCCATTCCATTTGCCTCCGCCTTCTTTCTGTTTCCCCGTTCCAAAATTATCGTCTTTCCCCTTCTGTTCGTTTACGCCCGTCTCTTTCCCATTGCTCGCTCAAATCATGCGCATGCGTTTCTTCCGTTGCTTTCTCGCTGTCTATGATAACCACTCTACTCCCCGACCCGCCAACCGGCTCGTTTCTCTGTAGATTCAAGGCAAGTCCATGGCTCCCGTCGCGCCTCTCTACTCGTACGCCGCGGTCTCCGTATCCAACGTCGTCGCCACGGGATGCCAATACGAGGTGGGGCGACGAGCGTTAAGTGGGCCATTACCCTTGACAAGCTCTTTTAAAATATATATGAATTGTAGAATTGTCGACGGTGTTGAGTGACAGAGTTCTCGCATGGAGCTTCCAACTTGAATTCTGACCAATGCGTGCCTCATGGGTCTCTTGTGACTGTAGGCTCTCAAGTTCGTGAGCTTCCCCATCCAGACTCTCGCCAAGTCAGCAAAGATGATCCCCGTTATGGTACGTGCTTCAGCTTCTCACTAATACAACCTATTCGTGACTGGATACAGTAACGGAGTTTTGCACCTGGGTATGGCCTCTTGCCTCAGTTTTCTGGTCCGTCAGGGGGAGTTTCAGCTTGCTTGCCCCTAGATACAGCAGCTGCATAGCATGTCAACGTGCTGCAACGAGTTGTGGTCTTCTGTAGATGGCTTGACATTCTAATTCTTGTTTTCCTGGGGTTATCTGGCGTATGGCAGATATGGGGCACGGCTATAATGGGCAAGAAGTACAACCTCAAGGACTACATCATTGCGCTGCTCGTCACGGCAGGCTGTGCCATCTTCGTGCTCTATGGGGTATGTCCGTTCCGCTACAGTCGCCGCCACTGCAATGTTATGAACCTCTGTTCCCATCCTTGACACTCGTCTGCCACGTATGGTCGTGGCCCCTCACTGTCTCTTTTCCCGCATTTGCGCTCGCCTTGTCAGGACAATAAGAAGCACAGGCAGGTGGATTCCACCTTCTGGGGCGTCCTTCTGATGGTTGGATACTTGGCGTAAGTGGACACTAGATCAAATTTCCTCCACGCTTTGCAGATAGGCCATGGTCAGATCTGTACTGTAAATGCCACGCACTTCTTGACGCGTGCGTACGTGCTGAAGCCTTCTTCCCCCTTTTCCGTGCCCCAACGACCAGGTTTGATGGGTTCACATCGACGTTCCAGGACAAGCTGTTCAAGGGGTACAAGATGGACACGTGGAACCAGATCCTCTACATCTCCATGTGGTCCGCGCTGCTCTCTCTGCTCGGTGTGTATCTCTGCTCTCTCTTTCCCTGGGCTCTGGCCCCTTCTCTGTGTGCTTGCCACATCCCCCCTCCCTCCTCCTCCCCTCCCAACTCCATGTTTGGCGTGCATCCCCTTCTTGATGACTTGATGAACCTCTGTCTGGCTGAACTGTGGAGAAGAGTTTAATTGCGAAGTAAAGATTCGGTGCTTCCATTTTCGTAGGTGCTGCAGTGTTGTCCCACACTTGTCACCCCCCTACCCATCCCTCCCGTGCCATGGCATGCCGTGCCATTCATTCCTGTGCTGCGTGTCTGCAGGTCTGCGGTACCGCATTGTGTATGCCATTCGCTTCATCACCAAGCACCCCGACTGCTTCTTCCACATCTTCATGCTCTCAGCGGTAGGTTCCTCTTTGCTACGCTCTTCCAAACCCTGCTCACATTTTGGAGCAAATCTCAAGTCATGCTACCACAAGAGCTGCGTATGCAGAACTGACCAGCATAGTCCAATTCCAGCCACCTAAAACAACTTCTCTGCTTCTACACCTCACCTGTGTGCCTTTCTTGCCGCATACACCCTACGCAATGTGGTCGTTTTCAATTTTGAACATTATCTGTGCCCTTTTCTTGGTCACACCCATTGCCTGGGCTCGTGTTCATGTTTGCGTTGCATGGTGCATGGGTGCAATGGTGCACTGCTTCATAAATGCATGGCTGCATGGGTGCGGGCACACATTGCATGGGCGGGGTGCATGGTTGCTTTGATGCTTGGTGGTGGGTGCACCTCTGCAGTCTGCAACCACAAGCCAGTTCTTCATCTCCTACACCATCAAGACCTTTGGCGCCCTTGCCTTCGCCACCATCATGACCACGCGCCAGGTCAGCCCCTCGACCAGTCTCGTCAGTGGAAGCTAGCAAGCCAAGCAGCTACCTGTTCCGTCATGCTCCCCCATCCATGAGTTGTTTTTGCTGCTGCGTTGCATCCATTTGGCTATCCTCAGTTTTAATCTGCCTGCACTGCAGTGGCTTCAGCTGTCTCTTTGTTCCCCATGTCCTTCTCCCTGGTAACCCTGTTCCCCGTCCACTGTGCAGCTGCTGAGCATTCTCCTCTCGTCTATCCTCTACGGACCTCCACTGACCTTCGGCCAGTATGGTGGCACGGTAAGCGGCATGCATGGTGTTGCCATTCAGGTTCGTCTTCTTTATCGTCCTGCTTCCATCTGAGATGGCCTTCCTGCTAATCCCATCCTTGTTTCAAGGTAGCATGGTGCCTCACCTAGAGAGGTGATTAACTGCTTGTGCTGCACACACAGTTTGGTTTCCTCTGTTTCGCCACAAAACAACAGCTGACGTTTCCACAAGTGGTGTGGATTTGCCCGTGCCTAAATGAAATGCAGACAATGGTGTTCTCATCGCTCTATTACAAGTCCTACGCGAACAGCAAGGAGAAGAAGGCTGAGGCCAAGAGCAAGGAGAGCAACAGCTTGGAGGCCGATGGTGGAGGCAAGGAGATGGAACCTTTGATGTCGGGTGGGAAGGATGGGAGAGACCAATTGGGCGTGGACAGTGAGGGGAAGGAGGGCAAGGTGTGAAGCAGCTAAGGTGTGAAGCTCCACCTCAAGCCCCCTCAGCTTTCTCTAGGTTGACTGGTGTCATGCTTCGACATTCGTGCTTTCTAGCTCTGAGTGCTACTGTAGGGAAGTTATAGAACCTGCTTGGAGTTGCTGTTCGGTGATCTGCTTCAGTTGTTTATAACTGTAGAGATTTCATGAATTGCCATTTGTTCCTAGGTAGACTGTACTCGTGAATCAGCCTGCCAACTTTCATCCAGTGGGCATTCCTCAGATGCATTAGGAGACTGTTTATCGCTATGTACCAAGAACAATTAATCACCATATCTCGTTGTGTTGCATATCCTGGGAATACAATCAACGAAATTGGCGACTCACTGGCTGCGTTTTCCCCCAAAGTTCTGAGGAAGTCCTTGACGAGACTGAATATACAGCAGAATATTTACTCGTTCGTTGCACAAAATCCTGGAACTTTGAGCACTGGCTTTCGGTTGTCGGTAGATTCGGCGCGGTGTGGGCCTGCGCTTTCTTGGCACACTCCCCACCGAAGTTAGCGAGAACCTGAACCAGCCAAAGCTCTCAGCTTGGTTTGGGTCTGCTCCGTGCGAACCCTGGCTCGCTCGTTGAGACCTACTGGGCAAGGCGACCATTGGCCGAAACTGGTGGCGTGGGCACGAAGAGGTTCGGTGCGCTTCGGCTTGAAGCCGTCTAACTGGCAGTCGCACAGGTTGACCGTGGAGCAACAACAGCCGTCATGTCACGTTTTGCCCACGAATCACGTCCCACCGCGCGGCGCGTTTTTTCGCTTTGACATTTCACGCGACGCACTGTCGTAGTCGTCCCAGTCACCGATAACGAGGTTACCATCCCTCGCGAGTCAGCGAAGCGCACGACGTCAGCACCGCCCGTTTCATGTTTCTTCTGGCTTTCCCTCACCTCCCTTCCCCTCCAGGTGCGGCAAGCCTGGCGGCAATCCCGAGGAGCTCCAAATGTGTAAAACAGAGAAGACCCAGCAGGTGCAAGTGAAAAGCATCTGTAGCAACACAGCACACCCACAGCACACGGCACAAACCAGAGCCAACACATTCCACTTGTTTGAACTTCTCCAGCTATCCTTCCCAGCAGAACCGAGCAACATACGGCGGAGGCGAGCCAACCAAGAATCTTGGCTCTTGAAATAACTCAGGCCCATACTACTTGTGCACTCTCCTTGTCACGGGTGCGCATGGGGCTAGATTATTCCACCAAGATAGTCGCATTAGTGGCTCTCTGCCTAACCACAACCATTTTAGGCTCCACGGAAGCAGCAACGGGTGCGGCGCAGTTACGGTTGAACCAGATTCAGTTGGTGGGGGTTCACAACTCGTACCACGTGCAGCCTATAAAGAAACTGCTCGATCTCGCTTTAAGACTGTCAGACTCCTTCCAAGGCTGGCAATACACGCACCGGCCCATCCCCAAGCTGCTGGAGAAAGGCGTTCGTAGCTTCGAGTTTGACGTGAGTATAGAGCTTTAGCTTAGCGCCTCCGTTCCGCGTCCTCGTTGCTCGTGCAAGATCTCGCGTTTGCCTGAAAGCGATGCGAGCCTCGCCAACCGCACTACCATATCGTCATGGGATGCGCCTTTGTCCCGCTCGCGACTCCAGTCTCGCTCTCTGACTCACTACATGGCTATATTCCTGGCGCTCTCCACATGTTGTCGTTTCACATACGCACGCCATCATGTATAGCACCATGTTCTATCAAACGACCCCCAATAGTGACCATAATTTCGCATTTCCACCTAGCCGCGATAAAGATTCGTCTTCAGAGCTGTCGGTTCCCATTCCCATGCCAGTTACAACCCCCCTCTCTCGCGCTCTCTATAAATCCACCTCACTGGCGAAAACGCTCCCCCTACCGATTCGCTCGCTCGCCGGTCACCTGGAAGAACTCGCCGCACTCTCGCGACTCGTCCTTCCTTTATCTACGTGACACTGCGGGTCTGGAACTCCCATCTTTCCCATCACTGCTGCATCCGGCGTGACTTTCTCTCATCCCGCTTCCTTCTATTCCCTCGTCGCCATCGTCCTCTTTCACTCCCTTCCCCTCCACAACTGCAGCCGGAGCTGCAGAAAGCGTAGCTTTCTGATCCTGCTCTTTCCTCATCTTCACCTTTACCTCCCCATTTCTTCCCCCTACGCAACATGCCATCTCCCCGTCGCAGGTGTTTCCGGATCCTAAAGGCGGCCTCTACTACAATCGCGATGGCATGCGACTCATTGACCAGCCCACAGCGTCGAAAATCCCCGCTTTAAAAAGACCAGGATACAAGGTAATGCACGTGCAGGACGTGGATTACCAAGCCACGTGTCTCACGTTCGTTGAGTGCCTGAAGCAGCTGTACACGTGGTCGGTGAAAAACCCGGGCCATCTGCCAATCACAGTGAAGGTGGAGGTGAAATACTCGTCGCTCGTTGAAGAAATCGGATCAATCGCATCCATGATTCTCCCCAACGCGGCGGTTCCCCCGGAAATCACCTCAGCCTTGCTCTCGGATCTGGAAAAAGAGGTGTTGTCAGTGATCCCCAGGTGGAAGGTTCTGAAACCGGATAATGTGAGGGGAAATTACCCTACGCTGGCGGGAGCTGTGAAGACCAAGGGGTGGCCATCTGTGGCTGTTGCATCAGGAAAATTCATGTTTGTTCTGGTGGGAAACGCCATAGATACGTACAGGAGGAGGGCAACGTCGCTGCAGGGGAAGCTGTTCTTCACTGGGCCTACCACAGGAGGAACGCCAGACGCTGCTGTGGTGAGCATGGAGGTGGACTATAGCTCTGCTAAGGAGGACGTGCAACAGTTGCTTAAAGATAACGTGATTGTATGGACGAGAGCAGATGCGGATACGGTTCAGGCGAGGTCGAATGATGGTTCGAGGAGGGAGGTGGCGCTGACGTCAGGGGCACAGATAGTGCACACGGATTATCCTGCTGCCGAGAGGCCTAACCCGTTTGGCACACCTTACTATGTAGGGTTGCCCATGGGGAGAAAGGCCATGTGCAATCCTGTGACTGCGCCCAAGTGGTGCCGCCATTACTTCCTCAATGAGCCCATTAAGGCTTAGTTGCGTGCCTGGTGGCCTTTCCATGTGTGCTATAAAATTGGAATATTTTACATTGATTTATGTGTCACTTGTTTTAATTCGGCACATGTTTGAGCGGCTTACACGTAGAATCAGAAGTGAAGTGAAATGATATCTAGACGTTGTACATACTAGTAAATATGTTAGATTGAACCTAACAAACCTTATTCTGTAAAGGGGTATACATGCGCAATCCAGTTGTAACGAGCACTGCTGAAGATTTCATTTCCCACATACATACCGTAGTAGCAGCTTTCTTGTTTTTTCAACTCGTCCATAAGGGCTAGTCTCTACTTCCGAGTCTACCTAAAAATCATCGCCTAAAAAGATGTGGGGTATTGCACCCGTCGGTTTCAGCAGGACGTAGTGTTATTCCTCAGGCGCACCGGTCTGGGTCAAGCTGCGCCGCAGTCCTTTGGTCGCGGCATCCGCGACAAATTACACAAAGCTTCAGCGACAATCGTGGACATCCATCCGTAAGCTGTCCCGCGCACGCAGTAAAGCGCTACCCTCCAGGTTTCGCCAAGGATCCATCAGACCAAGTCAAGCGAAGTAGTTTTTATCGCTCGTTGCCAAACCAACCTTCCAACCCGCGCAGCGGCAGCACGTCGTTAGCTCGTCGTCGCCTCTCATCAGGGCCCAGACGGTAACTCCCGAGTGCACCACGTGCAAACGTGCGGATTTAAGACTACATTCTCTCAATAATCAAACCTGACTTTCGCAGCTTTTATTTCTGACGCTCATAGTCGGCATGGAGGCTGTCGATTATTATGCCTCGCCGGCCAAAGGAAGCACCGAGAAACCCGCAGGCGGCGACAGTGGCGGTGCCAGCAGCAGCAGCGGCGGCGGCGGCAGCAGCGGCGGCGACGGCGGAGTGGGCGGTAAGAAAGTACCGTCCTGGCTGAACAGCAAAGCCTGGTCGCGCCCCCCCGCCAAGACCGCCGCGGATGCCGCTCGTCCGCCGAACCTGTTCCCCGGACTAGCGGATGGCGGAGATCAGTCGAAAAAATATATGGGGATAAGGGAGGTAGGGAGCGGCGGAGGGGCGAGCGGAAAGGAAGGGGGAGATGGGCGGAGTGGGGTGGGGGATAGTGGGGGAATGGAGAATGTCGGGGCCGCGATGGCGCGGGCGCGGATAAGCAGTGAGGCGGAGGGGATAGGCGGAGATGCGGGGTTGGAGGGGAAGGAGAAAGGAGGAGTTGGGAGTGGTGGTGATGGTGATGGTAGGAGTAGCGTGGGGGAGCGAGCAGGGAAAGAGGGATGGCATGAGATGGAAGAGGGGAGCGGGAGGGAAAGCGGAGCAGGAGAGGGGAGAGAGGGAGATGGCGCAGGTGGCGCAGGTGGCGGAGTGGAGGGCAGCAGCAGTGGTTTGAATCGCATCGACAGCGAGAGCAGCAGGAGCAGAAGCAGCGAGACGGCGAGCACCCTTGGCAGCAGCGTCTCCAGCACAGCTGCACCAGCTGTGAAGTCCCCTCCACGTGAGTTCGCGTGGGCTCACGTCCCCTCCCCTCTACATCTGTTCTCTACATGCAATGCAGTCCAAGTTCCCTGTCTCATGCAGCGACTCGTTTTTACTCACCTGCCCACATTTTAACCTGTGCTCTCTAGTCTCACCTCCCCACAGCGTTTTCATCCCTTTTTCTATCGCCCTCCTTTAATGCTCTTCATCATTTCCTTTCTCCTTGCACACTTCCTTCCTTCCGTCCTTCCCTTCTTCCCTCCATCCCTCCTCCCTCTTTTCTTCCTACCCCCCTTCTGCCCTGCCTGCTGGCCTTCCTCTCTGCCTGCTTCCCTATTCCTGCTCCCCACCCTCCACCCCTCCCGCCATAGGCCCTGGCAGGGCGCGTGCAGTCACATCCCCCTCCTCCCCCCCTTCCGCCACCACCACCACTCCCCCCATCGGCCCACTCTCCCCACGCCCAATCGCCGCTGCAACAGCAGCAGCAGCAGCAGCAGCGTCCCCCCCGCTATCAGCACCGCGCACGTCCCCCTCCCTTCTCCCCCTCACCAGCAGCATCACAGCAGGCCTAGGCTTCGGAAGCGACCTCAGCAGCAGCAGTATCAGCGGAGGGGGGGGCGTGGGCGGGGGAGGGGACCGGCGGCCGAGTCTGCTGGAGCAGCTGAGAGCAGCAGCGTTTGCGGAACCCATAGTGGTGGCGCCGGTGCTGCATGCGCGGGCAGGGGGAGGGGGAGGGGGAGGGGGAGGGGGAGTGGGGTCGTTCACACTCGCCACTGCGTCTGCGGAAGACCAGGCGTATGAGCGCCGCCTGGCACAGTTCTACATGGAGGTGCGGGGTGGAGTGGGGTGGGGTGGGCTGGGGTGGGGTGGGGTGGGGTGGGGTGGGGTGGGGTGAGATGAGATGGGGTGGGTTGGGTGGAGTTGGGTCGAGTGCGGTGAGGTAGGGGGTGTGAGATAAGTTTTTTAGCTTGATTCTGATTTGCTGTCCCTTTCCCAAACCCCCTTTAAATGTCCCCTTCCCTAACCCCCTATCCCTGTCCCCTTCCCTGCCCCACATTCCCTGTCCTTTTCTCGGCCCAATCTCTCCCTGCCCCATTCCTGCCCCTTTTGCTACCCATAATTCTGAACCTCATGCTTTTTCCAGTATTCTGTTTCCGCAACCTCTCCTCTCAGTCTCCACCTGTCCACCCCGCTCTCCGTGCTCCTCCACACTGCACCACACCGCACCACACTGCACCATTCCATACCGCCCTGCCTGCACCGTGGCATGCAGATCTCCCAGCCGCGCATCAACCTGGGGGAGCTGAGGCGCCTGGCCATGTATGGCATTCCCAATGAGGGCAGCCTGCGCCCCGTCGTCTGGAAGGTGGGTGCTGTGGGGTAGGGTGCGGTGCAGCGTGGTGAGGTGAGGTGGGGTGGGGGGTGAAGGAAGGGAAGGTGGGTGCTGATGCTCGCGTGTGTATGTATGCATGCGCATGACAATGCACCAGTGTGGCACCCATACATATACATACCCATAAACACGCCTCCATACCCCCTCCTCTCCTCCCCCATCTCCTCAATCTCGTCGGCAGCTGCTGCTGCCGTTGGCGCAACTTGTGAGGCGATTAGAAAATTTCTCCACTCTCCCCCCCTTCCCATCCCCCCTTTCCGTTGGCAGCTACTGCTGGGGCTGCTGCCGTTGGTGCGGGATGACTGGGAGGCAGAGTTGGAGAGGAAGCGCAGGCAGTACGATTGCTTCACTGCCGAGCTCATTATCAACCCGGTAGGTCACATGCAACCCCCTTCACCCTGCACCCTGCAAAGTTCACCCACCTGCATGCACCCCCATGGACTCCTGTGCACCTCTGTGTCTTGCGTTGCCCATGGCATCTGTTGCTGCAGTGGTCGCCTGCACGGCTCGTCTTTTCTCAGTCGCACTTAGTTATCCCTCGTGCTTGTTGTTCAAGTACCCGTGTAGTTCCACCTGTGCACCCACCTCCAAATCTTCCTCCCCGCCACTCCAACCCACTCCCTCGCCTCTTCTCTCCTCACTCGGAACTCAATCCCTTATCACGACCCTACCCCTTACCATTGCACTCTTAGTCACACTCATCTCCCCGTTGCCGTGTGCACCCGTTCTGTGCTGCCTTCCGTTCTTCCTTTCGATCTACCTCCAGTCGCAGCACACAGTCGACCTCACAGCGGCCCAGGGCACGCCAAGCAAGCAGCAGGGGCAGCAGCAGGAGCAGGGGCAGCAGGGGCAGGCGCAAGCAGGCGGCAATAGCACCCAAGACTCTCCCCTGCACGGCAAGACAGGGCCCGCACTGTGGGACAAACAGGACTTTGGCTTGCCTGCAGGGGAGGCACAGGAGGGGGCAGGGCGGCCGGAAAGAGAGTCGCTGGGGGGGGGAGCGGCGGGGAGAGGGGAATTGATGGTCCATGGGGAAAGTGGGAGTGGTAGAGCGGGAGGGGGAGGGGGGTTGGGAGGGGAGGAGGTGTTGGAGTTGCATGGGAGTGACGTGTCGTCGCATGACCATCCTCTTAATGACAAGCCGACCTCCGTGTGGCGTCAGTACTTCCAGGTGCGGGACCCATCCCCGCTCCCGCTCTTGCCTCACACATACATGTGGAAATGCTCGCACCCTCCTATCCATCCCATCGCGCTATCCCATCACGCCACCCCCTTCATCCCTCCCATCCCTCCCGTCCCTCCCATCCCTCCCATCCCTCCCAACCCTCCCAACCGTTTCTCCTGACAGGACTCAGAGATATTCGAGCAGATAGACCGGGACGTGCGGCGCACACACCCCGAGATGCAGTTCTTCACGCGCAACGACGGCTCCGGCCTCACGCCCGCCCAGGTGCTGCTGCCGTGAGGGCTAGGGGAAAGGGGGCAGTGGACAAGGGCAGGGGGGTGGCATGTGGGAGGGCATGCGTGGTTGCGTGCTTTGTTGCTTGGTGGGTTCACACCCCGAGATGCTCTAATTCACGCGCAACGACGGCTCCGGCCTCACTCCCGCGCAGGTGCTGCTGCCGTGAGGGCTGGGGGGAGGGGGGCAGGGGAAAGGGCATGGGGAGGACAGGGGGGTGGCAGGGGGCTCGCGCCATAGTCCCTCCTCCCAACTTTCAATCTCCCCACTCTTCTCACCCCACCCCCACACAGGAAGCGATGCGGCGGCTGCTGCTGATATTCGCGAAGCTGAACCCGGGCATCCGGTACGTGCAGGGCATGAACGAGGTGCTAGCGCCCATCATCTACGTGTTTGCCAACGACCCCGACAAGGCGCACGCCGTGCACGCGGAGGCAGACGCGTTCTTCTGCTTTGTGGACCTGCTCAGTGACTTCCGCGACTTCTTCTGCCAGCAGCTCGATAATAGTGTGGTCGGGATCCGGTCTGCGATTTCACGGCTCGCGGAGATTCTCAGGCGACATGACGAGGAGCTGTGGCGGAACCTCGAGTATGTCTCCAAGGTGAGTGCCGACTGCTCCGCGTCTGCCGCTGCCTGTGTTGTCGTTGTACTTGTTCCGGCCTTCAGTTCGGTCGGTACGATCCGGTCTAGGTTATGGGCTGAGAATGTGCCAGCGGCTTGTGTGTTACCCGCCTAGCCCCTACTCGCCTTGGCCCACCTTTACTGATCTTGCCACCCGTACATTGGTTCGCCTGCCTGCCAGCCCAGTCAACGGCAATCCTCCTCCCCTGTCTCGCCCTCCTCTTCCCTGTCCTCCTCCCCCACCCTGCTCCTACTCCCAGGTGAATCCGCAGTTCTACGCCTTTCGCTGGATCACTCTGCTGCTCACCCAGGAGTTTGGATTCCCTCAGATTCTTCGCATCTGGGATGCGCTCCTCGCCTGCCCTGAAGGCCCCATGGTGCGTGTGCATTTCACCATGGTATGTCTGCAGTTCACCAGCGTGCAATCTGCGCATTTCACCATGATATCTGCATTTTGCCATGTTATGTGTGCATTTTACCACACCGAAGGTGCATTTCACTGCACTCTGTGTGCACTTCACCATTTCATTACTCCAGTTATTCATTGTGACTACTGGTTAACAGGCGGACATTCGATAAGCACCAGGCAGGCTCTCCATGTAATGCCAAGCCTTAGCATGTGTGCTCATTCGTATCTTCCTCACTTGTCCCTTCCCTCCAGGACATGCTGTTGCGTGTATGCTGTGCCATGCTCATGTGTGTGAGGGAGAGGCTGCTTGCAGGGGACTTCACCAACAATCTCAAGCTGCTGCAGCGATACCCTCGCATCGACATTGAGATTATCTTGCGCACTGCTGAGCGCTTGCACACGTAGCAGCCCCTACACTGCATGTTATGGAGTGATATATTCTTAATGTCTAGGAGTCCCTGATATTGCAGACTTGTGTTGGGTTTTGCAGTCTGCATAGCGTGTCTCCCTGAGCAACGATGCAGAGTTACGTTGGTTGTCGAATGCCCAACCCACCATATCGTTCATGGCAGACGAGCTCTGGGGTCCTTAGGTCCCAATCCAACGAATGCAACGAATCCAACGAAGTTACGGTAAACGAGAGAAAGTTGATATTTCCTGTCATTTTTGGAATTTCGCACTCTTCTTGTGCGGACCGCTACTTTTATTGAAGTACAGGTATGCTTGGTTCCGCAAGGAAGCACCATTGATGGGAAAAAATCATTTTATATTCATTATAGTGCATATATCAAAGATTCTGGAATAACCCGCTTTACAAGGTGGGGACGCGGTCAGCAGCATTGCCGAGCGAGGTCAGGAGGTTGTTGCCGAAGGGGTCGCTCAAGTGAGTGGTCAGGTTCTCCACTGGGCCCTCACCAGTGACCTTGGCCTGAATGAAGAATCCGAGCATCGAGAACATAGCGAGGCGGCCGTTCTTCAGCTCCTTCACCTTGAGGATGGCCAGGGTGTCGGGGTCCGAGGCGAGGCCAAGGGGGTCGAAGGAACCGCCGGGGTACAGAGTGTCGAGGTCCTGCAATGTTAAACAGCGAAAACAAACGAGACATTTAGTATCATGTGAGAGCACAGAAGCCACGGAGCCTCGATGGGTTGTTCTGATCAGGTACTCACGGTGCCGAGGGGAGAGGCGTTCTTGCCGCGGAAGTACTCAGCACCGCCGACGAGGAGAACCTCGGCGATGGTGGCGGCAACCAGGTTGACGGGGATGGTGGCACCCAGGTACTGGATGCTGTCACCCTCGAGCAGGAGAGCACCGGTCTTGAACCACACGGCCTCGGGGCCGCACACGCCGGGCACGTACTTGTTGAACGCCTCGGGCAGGATGAAGCCGGCGGCGCCGAGCATGGCCCAGCGGCCGTGGATCACCTCGTTGGCGCGGTACTTCTCGAAGTCAGCGGGCTTCTTCGACAGACCCAGGGGATCGTAGCCGTAGCTGGATAGCACGGAAAGGAGGAGGACCGTTAGCACGAGGAAATTGCAAGTAGGGTAAAGGGTCAAAGTAGGAGTGCAAGTAGGGTAAAGGGCTGGTGCTTACTCGCCGGGAACCTCGCCAGTGAGGTAGGACGGGATCTCGGACCTGTCGAGGAGACCCTCCGGGAGGTAGGTCCTGCGGTCGGGGCCTGCAATACCGACGTGGATGTTAATTTCTTTCTTAAGAAGATCCACTAAACCCAGACATTATTGAGGCTAGTCGAATGGCCGCTGCTGATACTCACCATACCACTTGGCCAGCTCGGCATCAACGGCGGAGGCAGGCGCAGCCTTCTTGGCGGCAGCGGCCTTCTTCTTGCCGAGGGTCATCACCGTGCGGGAGGCGGACTCCACGCGGGGAGCGACCACATTCTGGCCAAGGAACGAGCTCCTGAGGACAGCGGACGAAGAAGCCACGGCAGCCATGGTTGTAATGTTGGTCTGAAGTGGCAAGCTTCGAACCCGCTAAGGGAGTTGGCGAAAGAGCTTTGACAAAACCTCTAGCAATAGGCAGATGGAACAGAGAGGATATGAAGCTGGAAGCAGAGAGGTGGAGCGACGAATTCGGCAACACCAGCTGCGACCAGCACGGAGGATTTCGCGTTCAATTCTACGATGCTTACGTGGCGTCCCGGGACTGCGCGAGCAGGTCCGCTATCCTATCTCCCTTGTTTATCATTGGTCGATCAAAGCATGTTACCCAGACGGAGCCTTCGGTTTCACTCATTTGTCGCACGCCACAAAACTACCAAGACGAGCTCTGAGCTACGGAACCTTCTACACGACAAGCCAACTGTTCTGAATCCATGTAACACATATTGCTACTTTACTAACAGCAGTGCCACCCATATATCCAAATTTTGAGAGCATTCCATTATTGTCATTTCAGTGACATTGAAGGCTACAATTTTCACTTACTAAACAATATTTGCCTGGAGGTGTGGGGGTTTCATAGCCTTATCAGAGAGAATGACTAAAAACTGCGCTGGCAATAGATAATTACCTATCGGTTGAGTTCCTAAAAATTAGATGATGATATTGTTTTTCATTGAAAGCAGTGCAGGTGGGCGTGAAAAAAAGCTAAAGTAGAATAAATTGCAGATAGATGTTACAGGGATCCCTTATCCTGCACCACTTCCAACTCACATGCCTCCCCAGACGTGTCCGCCGCCCGGGGAGTGAAAGGTGCTCCCTAACCTGCTGGCGGGGGCGAGAGAGGTTGGGTCGGTTTAAAAGGGGAGACTTGGCTGGGGGCAGTGGAAATTGGGCAGCGGGAGCAGTGCCGGCTAGGCAAGTTGATTGCAGCCGCAGAAGCCTGGCGGAATGCGAGAGGTTTGCTGCAGTGCGGTACGGTGCTGCAGGACGCAGCAGGGTCCGTTCGAATGAGAACTTGGGTTGGTTTGGGTGGGATTGGGAGGCCTGGCGAGAAAGTGTCTTCGGGGACTGGTCAATTGTAAGGAAAAACCCCTTTTCCTTACTGGGGTTTACTCAACCGCGTACAACCCCAACTTTCGGAAGTGCACGTTCGGCCGCTTTGCTTGCTGCCGAAGCAACCTCGCGTCGCCTTCGGCTTTCCATTGCCCAACCTGCACCCAACCTCGCGTTCCCGAGGTTCCCGCCTAGCTAGGTTGTCTCGCTATATAATCGCATGCCTTTCATTGTATCGTCAGTTCATTGAGTCACAGCCTCGTTATTCGTTATTCCGCGCAACTCTGTTTGACAACTCATAACACCTGGTATCAGAGCTACTTTCCTAGTTCACCCCGCTTTTCCAGGGTAGTTTAGAGGCACGGGTGTGACTGGTACGGTGGGCTGCAAAGCGGTTGGTTGCAAAGTTTATTAAATTAAACTTGCCCGACCCCGATAGCTTTTGCGCTTGCACTGTTGCCGGATAGTCACGGATACCCACTTGCCTACTAGACGTAGCTTGCGACTCATGGATCAGGCGGCATTTGACGCGTTGATGCAGCAAGTGGCGGAGATGTCGGCAGGCATGAAGGCGTTAACGACAGAGGTGGAGAGACTACGTGAAGAAAACAACGAGCTACGCCAGGCGCGAGGTGAGACGCGCCAGGAGTCGCCCGCTGAAGAAGGCGAGAGCACTGGTCAAGCGGTGAGCGGCAATCCGTTGGACGAGCTCACACGCGGCTTCGAAGAAGAAGATAGGCAGCGAGCGGCGGCAGCGACAACAGTTGCAGTGACAACAATCAAGATAAAGCCTACGAGCCCGCCCCCGTTCAACCCTACCGACAAGAACACTACTGTTAAGGGGTGGTTGTTCGGCGTGGAGGTGTTCTTCACTGCAGCGAATGTCAACGACGACGCCACGCGTATTAATTACGCGGTATCGCTTCTGCGAGGCCCGGCGCTTGAGTGGTGGCGACGAACCTTGGACACGGGGACCCCGACAGGTGTGACACATGCGGCAGACGGGACTTCGGACTCTGCTATTGGGAGGGCATCATCAATATTTGGCGTGGCCACAATTCGCACGTGGAAACAGTGGGGCGCAGCCTTACGAGAGCGTTTCGAGCATGTATCCGCCTCGGAACACGCTCGCATGAAGCTGCGTACCTGGTCGCAGTTGGCTTCTGTTCAAGACTACACGGCGTCGTTTATGGCGCTCGCGGATCAAGTGGACGACATGGCGGAGGCGGAGCGGTTGGATAAATACATCAGCGGCCTCAAGTACGAGATACAGTTCGAGGTGCGCCGAAACCGCCCGACAACATTCAACGAAGCCGTCCGATTGGCCGAGAGCACAGACGCGCTGATGCAGTGGGCGAGATCGAGTTCTCGGGAGGGAAACCGATTTCGTGGACAGACCCAGCGGGCCACGATTAACGGAGTCCATGCGCCAGACCGCCCTTTTACAGGGTTGTGTTTTAAGTGCGGGAAGCCGGGCCACATGTATAAAGACTGCCCCGACAGGACGCAGGGAAAGAGGAACGACGGGAAGGAGCCGGGAAATGGGAAGAGTCAGTAACAGACGGGCCCCTTACTGACTGTGCTCTGTCGCCCGAACCCCACCATCCCCACCGAGTCGTGGTTCCGATTCATGCAATCGATCGCACTCGGACGAATAACAAGGGGTGAACATGTGGATCACCCTGTGCTGGTTGTTGGCACGGTTGTTAAGAAAAAAATAAAAATGTTCGTCGATGGCGGGGCTAGCCATAGCCTCTTCAATCTGGCGACAGCAAAAAAATGCAAGTTGCAGCTGGACAGGTGTCTGCCCGAAATTAATTTACGCCCGCCTCGTGGATGGGACGCCTCTGGCGATTTTGGAAGAAACACGGACGGTGCGGATTGAGTGCGGCGACGATTTCGGCTTCAGCATGAAGTTTCTCGCGACGACGTTGGACGGATGCGACGTGCTCCTGGGACGCGATTGGCTGCGACGGCACAACCCGGTAATCGATTGGACGACGGGATCGTGCAGCATCAGCAAGGACGGGAAGCTGATTACTCTGCCCGCGTGGACTCCGGACTGCATCGAGTCTACATGCGTCAAAGCCATCACGATTACACGCCACGTCAACAGGGGTGCGCAACTGTTCGCCGTATGCTTGCGCGAGTTGGCAGCCGACACCGACGGAAACGACATCGAGAAGCTGTGCGCAGCTGTACCACCTGATTTAGCGGAGCTGATTCGACAGTACCCCGACATCTTCCCCGACGACCTGCCACCTGGACTACCACCCGAACGCCACACCCGAAGACCACAGAATCACCCTCGAGCCCGGCGCGCAACCGACTGTTCGTACACAGTGGCGGTTGACTCAGCCCGAACTTGCGGAGCTTCGAAGTCAACTTGAGTCACTGTTGGAGAAGGGCTTCATCCGACCCAGTACTTCGCCCTTCGCCGCACCGATCCTGTTCACACCGAAGAAGGACGGCGGCATTCGCATGTGCATCGACTATCGCGCGCTCAACCGGGTTACCATCAAGTCTCGCTATCCCATCCCACGCACCGACGACCTCCTCGACCAACTTCGCGGCGCTCGCTACTTCTCGAAAATTGACCTACGCGGCGGTTACCACCAGATCAGGGTCTTCGCTGACGACTGTCACAAGACCGCCTTCCGAACCCGCTACGGCAGCTACGAGTTCACAGTGATGCCTTTCGGCCTCACGAACGCGCCATCAACATTCCAACGCACCATGAACAGGGTATTTCGCGACCTGCTGGACAAGTGTGTTATCGTCTACTTGGACGATATTCTGATTTTTAGCAGGACACGCGAGCAGCACCTCCGCGACCTCGACGCAGTGTTTAAGCGGTTGCAGGAGAACCGCCTCATCACCAAGGGCTCTAAGTGCGAGTTTTTTAAGCAAGAGTTGGAGTTTTTGGGGCACGTCATCTCACGCGACGGCATCAAAATCGACCCGAAGAAAATCAAGACCATCCAGGAGTGGAAGGCCCCGACTAATGTCACGGAACTTCAAAGTTTTCTGGGGTTCGTGAATTATGTCCGGCGGTTTATCCCGAATATGGCAGGGATAACCGGCCCGCTGACCGACCTGCTGCACAAGGATAGGAATTTCGTGTGGGGGGAGGAGGCTGAGGCGGCTTTTCAGGAGTTGAAGCAGTTACTGGTGTCCCCTCCGGTTCTTCGCATCGCCGACCCATCCAAGCCGTTCGAAGTTGTCACCGACGCCTCAGATTTTGCCATCGGCGCAGTGCTGCTCCAGGATTTTGGCAACGGCTTACAACCGATCGCCTACGAGTCACGCAAATTGCAAGCAGCCGAGCGCAACTACCCGATTCACGACAAGGAGATGCTCGCCATCATTCACGCGTTTAAACTGTGGCGCTGCTACTTGACGGGCGCCGACGTCACTATTCGCACGGACCACAAGTCCCTACAGTACCTGCGAGCCCAGCCCAACCTCAACCCGCGACAAATCCGGTGGCTCGATTACATGGAGTCACACTTCCACTACAGGATCACCTACAAGAAGGGCGCGAACAACATTGCCGACGCCCTGACCCGACCGACAGTCCAATCCGCTGCTGTGCTGATCACCCATTCGAACCCGCTTCTTTCGGGGCTATTCACCCACGGCTACACTACGGACCCGTTCTTCACGACTGGAAATCACCAGCAGGCGACGACGCAGAAAGGGAATTATTACCTAAAGGCCGGAACTGACCGGATTTGGGTTCCCGCTTACCGGCTGCTGCGCGAACTCCTTATTCAGGAGGTCCATGATTCCAACCTCTCCGGACATTTCGGGGTTGATAAAACCCAGAAGTTGTTGCACCGTCAGTATTATTGGCCTGATTCTGCTAACGACATGCAACGATATGTGTCCTCATGCAGGGTGTGCCAAGCCATGAAATCGACACGTCAGCGGCCAGCTGGGTTGCTGCAACCTCTCGAGCCACCCGAACGACCATGGCAACAGGTGACGATGGACTTTGTCACGGGGCTGCCAGCTGGGCCGTCCGGCAACGACGCTGTACTCGTCGTCGTCGATCGCCTCACAAAAATGGCGCATTTCGCACCTTGTCGCACGACAATCACCGCCGAAGAAACTGCACGCCTCTTCATCTCCACCGTTGTGCGACTACACGGCATCCCATCGGCGATCATCAGCGACCGGGACCCAAAGTTCACATCGAAATTTTGGAAGGAGACGTGGGCGCAGTACGGAACGAAGCTACAGTTCTCGTCGGCATACCACCCGCAAACCGACGGCCAGACCGAGCGGACCAATCAGACGATGAAACAGCTGATCAGGACAAACTGCCCCGACCCCGCTCGCTGGGAACATTCGCTCGCCATGCTGGAATTCGCGTTCAACAACGCTCCGTCCAGCACGACTAATCACTCCCCGTTCTTCTTGAATTACGGGATGGACCCGGTGGTACCTACAACGACTACACTTGACAACCCGGTCCCGAGGTCACAAACATTTGTGACAGAACTCCAAGAAATTCGCGAGAAGGCTGCGGACGCAATTCGCAAGGCGAATACCACTTCCCGCAAATACACCGACCTTTTACGACGGGAACTCGTCTTGGCAGCTGGGCAACTAGTACTACTGGACACGAAGAACCTGCACCTGCCCGGCCCATCGAAGTTACGGCCAAATTCTGTGGGCCTTTCAGGATCCTCAAGATGGTGACACCTGTCACCGCGAAGCTGCTACTACCCGACGACTGGCGTATTCACGACGCCTTCCACGTCAGCTTATTACGCAAGTTCGTGCCTGCCACAACAGACATCGCGCGCCAGAACGCCGTCCCGACAGCTCGACCTGTCCCGGAACCGACACTCGACCCGTCCAAGATTTTGGCGCATCGTGTTCGGCTCGACGCTTCGGGACGCCACGTGGACTTTCTTATCCGTTGGACTGACCGCACCAGTGAGGACGACACATGGGTGCCATCCGCCTCGCTTGAAGCTTCCCCGCTTCTTGGTGATTACCTCGCCCGCAAGCGAGCTGTGGATGTTGACCACCTTTCTTAAGGGGGGGGGTAGTGTAAGGAAAAACCCCTTTTCCTTACTGGGGTTTACTCAACCGCGTACAACCCCAACTTTCGGAAGTGCACGTTCGGCCGCTTTGCTTGCTGCCGAAGCAACCTCGCGTCGCCTTCGGCTTTCCATTGCCCAACCTGCACCCAACCTCGCGTTCCCGAGGTTCCCGCCTAGCTAGGTTGTCTCGCTATATAATCGCATGCCTTTCATTGTATCGTCAGTTCATTGAGTCACAGCCTCGTTATTCGTTATTCCGCGCAACTCTGTTTGACAACTCATAACAGGACGCAGTGCCGGCTAACCAAGTTGATTGCAGCCTCAGAAGCCTGGCGGAATGCGAGAGGTTTGCTGCAGTGCGGTACGGTGCTGCAGGACGCAGCAGGGTCCGTTCGAATGAGAACTTGGGTTGGTTTGGGTGGGATTGGGAGGCCTGGCGAGAAAGTGTCTTCGGGGACTGGTCAGTGGTGGTCGGTCACTACAGTAGTGGCTTGCTAGACAGAAATCACTCACAGAAGCAACACTAACACAGATACTTATCCAGGCAGGAATCGTAGAATGTTGGATAAGTGCATCGTGACCGTCGGTCTCTCACCAACCATTGGAAAGTATTGTATTGGATTTGTAGCTGTGATTGACATTTCTCGACGTGGCATCTTACAGTTAGGCTTAGGCCGTCGTGAAGAAAAAAAAGGGCGGTGATGCCTGAGGACGGCAGACTCTAGGGTTCCCTCCCAGCTCTTGATGTTGGCTGACCATTAGCGTCAGCAGAGTGGCGGGTCGCTTGACAGATTCTCACTTGGGAGATCTGTCAACGCGAGAACGTGTTAAAGTTTGCGCACCGCCCTGGTCGCAACGCCCGATATAAGCTGATTCGGCTTCCACTATGGGTCGAGGTGCGTACGCGATTTAATGTCCCTCCTTGTCCTGGCCATTTAGGGTTTGCCCCTTGTTCCTGGCCATTGCGTACCGTACCGTGCTCCTTCGCGCGCTGATTCCGATGCTGGCCGTCTCTCGCTGATTCCGATGCTCATTCCCTCTATATCACCCCGCAAACCTTTAGCGCCCTTATTGGCCTTTGAGACGACTAAGAAATTCTCTGCGCTGTGATTGGGGGGCTGGTCGTGCTCTATATAGTCACAATCCCTCTCCCTTTTGACTCACGCTCACCACGATGGGAGCTCCCATCGTCCTTCAACGCGTTCGTCCTAAGCTTTAGGATTCATAAGTCCTCCGCACGCGAGCACCTGCACTGCAGGCACCAGGCACTTGAAAGCACTAAGCACCGCAAAGCACCCGAAATCGCCGCAAAGCACCTGAAAATACCGCACAGCGCCGCAACGCTCAAGGAGCCTGGAGCATGTCTGTCATGTGGTCATTCATAATCCTCGAGTTTTCACTCTTTCTGTCGTACTTAGCACGTGTTCCGTCCGTTCTAGGCGCTGAGTGAGTTACCACCGTCGCCCCGTGAGCGGTACTCTTGCATTGCCCGCAATTTCTTTCCCATCACTAACTCCGCATTCTTTTCGGCCCTGTTTCACTGCATGTTACAACGATATGTTACGCATCTTCACCGCATGTCACTCGTGTTCATCAACCCTCCACATTCCCACTGCAATTTCTCATCATTTCGCCTTTTCCTCTCATCTCGATTCTTCCTTTCCCCTTCTCTTCCCCTCCCCCATCTCCATTCCCTACATCCTCATCTGCCTGCTCCCCTTCAACCCCTCTTCTCCGCCCCCTCCGCGCGCGCTATTCCAGCTTCCGCCGATGTCTTGCGCCCATGGGCGCACCTCGACGTCGGCAAGCTCGAGGTTCAGTTCCAGTCGCAGCCCCCTCCGCCCTCCCCCTCCATGCCTCCGCGCACGCCCGAACCTTCCGCCGAGCGCGCCCCCCACCCCGCCTTGTCCTCGCTCTGGGCCATCCCGGGCTTCGCCGCCGCCGCTTCCGCCGCGGCGGGCGCAGTAGCGGGCGCAGCGGCGGGGGTTTCCAACCAGCTCGGGGACGCGTGGGTCCCCGGCGGCGCGCGGCAGCAGCTGGGCGCGGGAAACGCCCGCGCGGGCAGTTCCGCTGGTGGCGCAGCGGGGGGAAGCGGCGGCGGCGGCGGGTTCGGCGGGTACAGCAGTGGATACGGCGGGGGGGCGGAGCGGGCGCTGGGGGAACGAATAGCGTTGAGTAGCTGGTTGGAGGATGAGGAGATGCAAGTAGCAGTGACAGAGAATGCTGAGATGATGGCGCTGGGTAGAGGCGCCACTCTCATCATATTCGACGGCCTGCCCCTGCCAGACGGACGGTCAGTGGGGGCTTAGGGGAGGGGGAGGAAATCGAGGGGCGGACGGACGGGATGGGGTTGGGAAGGGCCTGGTGATGATTGGTGGGTAGTTTGTTGAAGGCAAGGGAGGTAGCAGAGAGTTTGTGAGTATGTGAGCCTGTGAGCCTCCAAGTTGGCGGTCCCAGAATCGTCTGAATTAGCTCGTCCCTTGTGCTTCTTAAGATGCCACTCCTCTCCCTCTCCCTCACCCTCTCCCTCTGCCACTTTCCCACCCACCCTCCCACCTATCCCTCCTTCCCCAGTCCTCGCCCCGGCTGTCACCCCGATCCAGTGGTGGTGGTACCCGCGTGTGAGCCCGACGATGCCATAACGTGTCTTGAGTGGCTCGTGTTCTCCTCCTTTGGCCCGCGCCCCGTGCCCACGCCCCCCGGCCGCCCCCCGGGGTGCTTCTACTGTGTTGCCGTGGGCACTGCTGCGGGGTTCCTGTTCGTCTATGCTGACTCCGGGGCTCTGCTTCTCAAGCAGGTGTGTGCTGTGGTGGGGTGGGATGGATGGATGGAGCAGGGAAGAGTGATGGAGGGGGGTGGGCGGAGGGAGGGGAGACGAATGGAGACGAAGGGAGACGAAGGGGAGGAGCAGGGATGTAGCAGGAAGGGTGGAAAGTCAGTCTACCTCATTGCAGGTCGTGTTTATTGGATTTGAAGCACTGCCTTCGTGCACATGTCCTTCTCTTCCTTCCCTCCCTGCGTGCAGATGATGCACACGGAGCCCGTGGTGCGAGTGCAGGTGCGGGTGTGCACATTTGTAGTCCAGAGCGCTTCTGAATCGACTCAAGAGTTCCCTACCTCCTTCCCTGCCCCCCCCACCTCCTTCCCTGCCCCCCCACCTCCTTCCCTGCCCCCCCTACCTCCTTCCCTGCTCCCCCTACCTCCTTCCCTGCCCCCCCTACCTCCTTCCCTGCCCCCCCTACCTCCTTCCCTTCCCCCCCTACCTACCTCCTTCCCTGCCCCATCCATACACGCGCCATTGTACCTGCCCTCCCTGGTAGCAGATGGTTCACACGGAGCCCATGGTGCGGGTGCGGGTGCGGGCAGTGGAGGCAGGCATGGTGTTCGAGCCGACTCAGAAGTTCCTTCCCCCTTTTCCCTTTCCCATACCCCATGCACGTGTGCTTTTCTTCCTGCCCTCCCTGGTAGCAGATGGTTCACACGGAGCCTGTGGTGCGGGTGCGTGTGCGGGCAGTGGAGGCGGGCATGGTGCGCAACGATGGCACACAGGAGCTCTGTATCGTCACGCGCAACGCCACGCTCATCATCGCATGCACACACCTGCAGGTCCCTTCTCTCCCCACTCTCCCCTTTTTCCCCGCTCTCTCCTCTTTCTCCCCCATTTTTCCACCCTCTCCTCTCTCCCCCACATTTCCCCACTCCCCCCACTTTCCTCCATTTCCCCACTCTCCCCTCTCTCGCCCATTTCCGCCCCCGCTTTTTTTTTTGCCACCCCCGCTCCTGTACGCTGTCTTCTGCGTCTTACGCTCCGCTCTGCTCTTCCATTTGCTCTCTCCTTCCGCACGTAACTTTTGAGCCATTGTCCTCTCTGTTACTCATCCCCCATTCAGTTCTCTTCCATTCAAACCCACACCACCACAGTCAACTAAAAAATCTCCTAGCATCCTCCCTCCCTCGTGCCACACCTTCCCCCCCCCTCCCTCCCTCCCTCCCTCCCTCCCTCCCTCCCTCCCTACCATTCCTCCTGTCACTCTGCCCCATCACCTCTCTCCCACGCCACCAGTCGTTGCTGCGGCAGCGAGTGCTCCAGGTAGACGACACGCTCACACTCCACAACCCCCGCGGCCTCGCCTCTCGCCTCGCATACATGTCCCACGCGCGCCGGCCCCCGCCCACGCGCGACGAGGAGGCGCTAAAGGCGTTTGCAGTGCCGCTCAAGAAGTGGCGCACGGGCAGGGCTGGTACTCAGTGGACCGACGGCGCCGTTGCTGGGCTCTTCCCCGCCCCGCTCTTCCAAACCCAGGTGCGTGCGCTGCCAAAACCCTCCCCCTCCCCTCCCTTCTCCACCCCCATCAGGGGGTTCCCTCTCCCCTCCGCCCCCCCTTCCCACCCGCCCCCGTGCTCGTTTCCGCTGCTTGACCCGCATCAAACTTCACGGAATCTCCGGAGTGTCTCACTGCCGCTAGCAGCTTCACGCCCCAATTCTATCTCCAAAGGTATCCCTCTCTCTCTTCCCTCTTGTTTCGCCCGTGCAGGCCCCCAAGCAGTCGCTGTGTATTGTCACTGTGGGCGTGCACCCCACCATCGCTGCTTTCGCGTGAGTCTTCCTCTCATTCACTATTTTTTTGGCCTTTCTGTTCTCTTCCCTTCCCTTCCCTTCCATGCCCCCTTTCTCCTCCCTCGTCAACCTCCCTCTTCCTCTCTCACCGTTCTCCCCTCCCTTCCCTTTAACCACCCTTTGTCCTCCCTTTTCGCAAACCCGTGCCCCACAACCCGCCCATCCTTTTCCTTGCACGCTTTGCCCTCTCGAATCCTCTCCCCCTCATGCAAGTTCTTCTTATTCCCTCTCATGCCTCTGTCTCCCACAAACACACATGCATACACGCACTTCTGTTCCCACCCTTTCCTCCCACCCAGTGCCACGGAGCAAGGCGGATGGGTGCAGCTCGCCTCTTCCTTCGCCACCAACGTGCGCACGCGGGCCAAATCAGCTGCCCTCTCCATCACACGCACCATCACCCGCGCACCCCGCCGCATCCTCTCCAAAACCCTCTCCACCTCTCAGGACCCCTCCAACTCCTCCTCCGACCTTACCGACCCGTCCGGCTCCTCCCCAGGCTCCGGCTCCCCCACTTCTCGCTCCTCCTCCTCCCTCTCCACCTTCTCGCCGTCCTCCTCCTTGTCCTCTTCCCACGCGGACGACGACCCGCCGCACTTCTCCCGCCCGGCGCCCCCCGAAGCGGTGGAGCCGGGGCAGGCGATGGCGGTGGTGGCGGGCTTTAAGGACTCGGTGCGGCACGCGCAGAGGCTAGCAGTGGCGCCTAGGGGCACGCTCATGGCCCTGGCGGATAACCTGGGGCGCGTGCTGCTGCTGGATACGCAGATCTTTGGGGTTGTGCGCATGTGGAAGGTGCGTGCTAGGGGGGAAGAGGTGGGGGGAACAGGGGAGGGAGCGGGGTTTGGAAAGGAGGAAAGAGGGAGAAGGAACAAGGAGCTTGGTTCTGGTTGTGAGGGGAATGTGTGCTGGGGATTTGAGCTTGCTGTTGTGATTTGTAGTGCGTGTGAGCATGCGGGCTATCCTTTTCTGTCCTCTCCCACGCGTTTCACGCGCACAGAACATGCTTGCATGCATGTCTCTCCCTCTCCATTCACCTCTCCTCCCTCTCTTTCCCCCCCTCTCCTCCTCATCGCAGGGCTATCGGGACGCGGAGCTGGCGTTCTTTGAGGTGCCCATTATGGGCGGCACAATGACGTCCATGGCTGCATCATCGCCCAACATGTTTGAGGCACCTCGTAACTCGTCTCACTTCACACGATATTGTGTGCACGTTCCCTTGTCTCCTCCTTGTCTCCTCAGGGCTATCGGGACGCGGAGCTGGCGTTCTTTGAGGTGCCCATAATGGGCGGCACAATGACGTCCATGGCTGCAGCGTCCCCCAACGTGCACCTGCTCATGCTGCGCCCGCGCCAGCTCGCCATGTGCCTCGCCATCTTCGCCCCCCGGCGCGAGGTCATTGAGGTATGCTCTCGCCTCCTCCCTACTCTCTGCTCTTCCAGACTCTGCCCTCCTCGCTGCTCTCCCCTCCTCCCTACACTCCTCCCTTCACAACTCCCCCTTCTCTCCGTCCTCTCCGCTCCCCCCTTTGCCTGTTCCACCGCAACTCTCTCACCCTGTGCCCCTGCCACTCCCTCTCTCCCTCTTCCCCCTCCTGCAGGTCTGGCAAATGGTGGGGGGCGGGCGTGTGGCCCTAATCCGCTGCCCAGCCAACAGCCGCCTGCTACAACCCTCCCCTGTGATCGGAGCAGCACACACCACCGTGCCCCCCATCGCTCCCCTCGACCCCATTCGCCAGCAGCAGCAGTTACAGATGCTAGAGCAGCAGCATATCCTGCAGCACCCAGGACAGCACCCGCGCGTGCGGAAACAGCAGCTGCTCCTGCAGCAGCAGCTGCTGCGGCAGCAGCAGCAACAGCAGCAGTTGCTGATTGAAAGCACTGGCATGGGCGCTGCGGGTGCCGCTGCTGGGGGAGCAGCAGGGGGAGCGGGAGAGGCGGGAGGGGCGGGGCAGGGGGTGTCGGGTGCGGTAGAGGGGTTACAGGTGGCGAGGCATAGGGCGTTTGTGCTGGACGGAGCTACAGGGCATTTGTCGGAGATTCTTCCTACCATCTCCCTCAATCCTCTGTACGTGCCTCTCTCTCTCTCTCTTGCGCTCTAGCCCTCGATCTTTCGATTCTTCTCGCTGCTTTCTCCCTCCATCCACGTGACATTGAACTTGCACCCATCAACATCTCCTCACGTCTCACTCTATTCCCTCCTCCCTTCCTTCACTCCCGCCCTTCCCCCTCCCGCCCGCCCCCCTCCCCCACCTCCCCACGCTCCACCCTGCACCTCTCTCCCGCCCCTCCCATTCCCTCCTCTCTCCCCTCTCCCTCCCCCTTCCCTGCAGCAGCAAGGCCTCTACCACAGACGCATCTCGGCCGCACGACTCGCTGACAGAAGCGGACGTGTTCCAGCGCCTGTGCGACCTGCTCAAGCTCAAGCGCAACGCACGCGCCGCAGCCCAGGAAACCGTGGAACTCCTGAGATGGAAAGCGGAGGAGGAGGAGCGGCGGGGCGCGGAGGAGCAGGGCGTGTATGAGTACGACGAGGGGTATCGGGAGCAGATGAGGAGGAGAGCCGGGCGGGATGGGGATGGGATGGGGGGGGAGAGGGACGGGGGGTATGAGGGGGGGTTTGGGGGGCTGAGGATGAGGCTGGGGATGGGGTTGGGTGCGGGGAGGGGGAGGGATGGGGATGCGCAGCAGCAGGAGGAGGAGGATTTGGTGTTGTTGCTGCTAGGCGCGCTCTCATCCCCTGTGCGCAAGCTACAGGTGATTGCCCCTTGCTCCCCCCTCCACCCTCCCTTCCTCCCCCGCTCCCCTGGTTTTAAATGCCCCAGGAGGAGGATTTAATGGCCCACAGCCCCGCTCCCACCCTCCGACACTTTGCTTCTCTGTCGTTCCCCGTTGTTTCTCTGCCTTATCTCCCCAAGTCTTGGCCCCATGCCTAGCAGCCTCCCTTCTCTTTCACTTCCATGTCCCGTCTGCAACCCATCCCCCTCCTGCTCCCGCCTTTTCCACCCTCCCTCCTGCCCTCTCCACCTTCCCTCCCGCCCTCTCCACCCTCCCTCCCGCTCTCGTCCCCCTCCCCCCCCCCCCCCCCCCCCCCCCCCCAAATCAGGTGCTAGACCTGCTAGTGGCAACACGGGAGTCTCTCTCAGCGCACTGCCACCTGGCAGTGTTGGAGGACGTCTTGACCTCAGTGGAAGACGCTATCGACTACAACCTCGGCCCTGCACGCGGGGGAGCTCCCGGCATTCCTCCTCCTCACACCACACGCCCCTTTCATTCCCTGTTTCCCCCTTCCTCTCCTGCTCTTCCTACGCTCCCTCCAACTCTCTCCACCCACCTTCCGCCCTTTCCCCACCTCCCCAATCCCCCCCCCCCCCCCCCATCAGGTGCTAGACCTGCTAGTGGCAACACGGGAGTCTCTCTCCGCCCACTGCCACCTGGCAGTGTTGGAGGACGTCTTGACCTCAGTGGAAGACGCTATCGACTACAACCTTGGCCCCGCACGCGGGGGGGGCGCTCCTGGCATGGGTACGGGCCCCCCTCGCCCCCCCGCACTCAACACATCATCTCTCCACCCGTCCTCGGGTCACTATGACCCCTCTTCTGGACACTACGATCCGTCGGCATTCCTCCCCCCTGGACATGCGGCGATGGGTGCTGCTGGGTATAATGGGCGGGGGGCGTGGCCGGGAGCGGGGATGGGAGGCGGCGGGTGGGAGATGGCGGGAGGGATGCATGGGATGGGTGGGGATGGTATGGGCGGGCATGGGAGGGAGTGGTACAGAGGTGGGAGCGCGAGGGAGATGAGCGGGAGCATGAGTGGGAGCATGGGGGGAGTGGGGGGAAGTGGAAGCGTGGGAGGAAAGCAGCTGACGCGGGGGAAGAGCTGGGCGAGGCGAGTAGATGATAAGCTGCTGCAGTACCTGCAGGAGAGGAGGGGGCTGCTGCGCTGGCAGCGCCTGCTGATAAAGGTCTTTTTGAAGCTGAGGGACGACTACGAGGGTGACTCCGAGGAGGAGAGAGCAGCGGACGGCAGGCAGCGGGGAATGGGGGGCATGGAGGAGGGCGCAAACGGGAGGTGGTACAGGGAGGGCGGTATGGGGATGAGAATGGGCGGCCCTGGTATAGGGCCTGGAATAGGTCCTGGGATGGGGGCTGGCATGGGGCCTGGGATGGGGGGGAGACCGGGGGCTGATGAGATGGAAGAGGATGACGATGAGGCGGAGTTGTTCACGTCTGTCAACTGGGAGAGGAGGTGGATGAGGCGACCGGGGATCCAGGGCGGGAGGAAGTGGCGAGTGCTGTCAGAAGCAGAGGAGGCAGCACTGGTGGACGAAACAGCAGAGCGCAAGGCACGGTACCAGTCTCTGGTTGCGGATCTAGGCGCGTGGATCAACGTGTGTGAGTCTGAATCGGAGTGCAATCTACTCTGGATGGAAACTCAGGAGGTGCGCGCCCGCGTCCCTGCCGCTCCTGCTGCCGCCGCCGCCGCCGCTGCCGCCGCTGCAGACGCTGCCGCTGCCGCAGCCGCAGCTGCAGCGGCAACCGCAGCAGCAGCCGGTCAGGGGTCGTCCACAGAGGAAGCGACAGAAGCACTAGCAACGCCGGGCACCCCGCCTACGTCTACCATCATTGGGGATGGGTTCACAGATCTCACCATCCCTTGGCCTATAGAAGAAGCCACGCCGCCGACTCTCTCCTGCAGTGAGTTCCTCCGCTGCTTTGGCTATGACTCCCGATGGACCCCCAGGGAGCTTCCAGAGGATAGGAGGAAGGAGAGGCAGAGGATGAAGGCTGGAGCTAGCATTGGGGGCAGTAGCAGCATTGGGGGCTCAGTCAGGGGGTATGACAGCGGGTACGGTGGGATGGATGGTGGTGGAGGGGGAGGGGGAGGGGGAGGGAACAGCCGGGGCGGGCGCAAGGGGTTCCACAGAGGGGGCGCGGGGGCAGCAGGGGAGGAGCGCAGCCACGGGCTCTGGCTGGCGATAGGCGAGGACGTGAGTGAACTGAGGGCTCTCTCGCATTTCATAATGCGGAATATGACCCGTGGGGAGGCAGGCACACGGAAGCTGTTCCAGGTGTTGGATGTGGTGGGTTTGTCTCGGGAAGACTGGCAGTGCTTGTTTTTGGTGTGGTTCCGATCGGTTAAGGTGGACGATTTGCTCTCTGTAGGGCTAGATGTGCTCATGGATGTGATTCACTGCATTGGGTGGTTGCGGGAGGACGAGGACGAGGAGGAGTATGAGGAGATTAGCATGCTCGACTCCCCTGGTCCCGCTTCTGCTGCTGCCACCGCTGCTGCTTCTGCTGCAGCTGCTGGCGCTGCTGCTGTGGGAGCGTCTGGGAGGAGGCAGCAGCAGCAGCAGCAGCAGCAGCAGCAGGGGAGGGCGATAGGGGGGCGAGGAGCACGGTCCATGCGGGTCACTCAGCAGCAGCGCGATCACGTGCCTCCCGGCGGCCGCTTCCCGCTCTTCTTCGGCTGGTGCCAGGTCACGGGAGCAGTCGCCAAAGCTCTCTTCATGGCGCGCCTCTGCGCACAAGTAGCCAAAGAAAACCTGCAGCACATAGCGCTAGAGATGGTCCGTGGGGCTACTCCCTCCTCCCGCAGCCCGAGACGGTTGGCACGCCGCTGGACCCATGCTATGGGCGGGCCTGGGGACAGAGGCATGGGGGGGATGCAGTTGGGGGGGGATTTGGATCTAGCGCAAGCAAGGGCAGAGGGGGCGATGGTGGCGCGGCGTATGAAGCGGCTGCAGGAGGATTCGTTGGTGGAGCAGCGGGGGTTGGAGCAGTGGCTGCAGCTCGCGAAGCAGGTGGATGATGCGTGGATGCTGGGTCGAGCCATGCTGCATATTACCAAACTCTCCGCCGCGCATGGGATTATTGTCACGCGCTCCCGTGTGCCGTCGGCGGCGGAAGTTTCGTCGTTCCCCGTGCCGCTGTGGGTTGCGAAGCTACAGCTGCTGATCTCGCCTGCGTCTGGGGTGGTGAGGCATTTGCACATGGCGCTGCTGCATTCTGTGAAAGAGCCGGCGTCGATGCGAGAGGTGGGGATGCGGCTTTTGGAAGAAGCCAAGCAGTTGGAGGCGGAGAGAATGGGAGAGAAGAAGCGGGCGCCTGCTGCCCCGAAGCAGCAGCAACAGCAGCAGCAGCAGCAGCCGCAGCAGCAGAAGATGCAGGCGCAGTCGCAGCAGGAGGAGCAGCAGCAGGCGCAGAATCGCCCGGGGGAGAGGGACCAGCAGCAGCAGCAGACGGAGCGGCAGGAGCAGGAGCAGAAGGAGAAGCGCGAGCTGAATCTGCAGCAGCGGCAGCAGCTGCAGAAGCAGTTGCAGATGGAGCGATTCAAAGGGGAGGTGAAGCGCGGGGGTATGGGCGAGCGTGCTAAGGCCCGTGCACGGGCCAAGGAGAGGGCGAAGAGAGGAGCAAAGATGGAGTGGGACGTGGGGACGCTGTTTGGAGAAGAGGAGGAGGAGGATGAGGAGGGAGGAGAGGGAGGGGAGGAGGGAAGGGAGGGTGATGAGGGTGCGGGAGAGGGTTCGGGGGTGGGGAGGTTGGAGGAGGGGCAAAGGGGGTCAGAGGCAGGAGGGGTAGGAGGGGTAGGGGGGGTAGGAGAAGGAGGGAGTGTGGAGGGTGGAAAGGCAGGTGCAGGAACTGGAGAGAGTGTGGAAGGTCGTTTGGCTGAGAGTGCTGATGCTCCTCCTGCTGAGGTTGAGGGAGAGAAGAGTGAAGGAGAGAAGAAGGAAAGTGAGGAGAAGGGGAGTGTGGGGGTGGATGGAGGTGCAAAGGAGGGGGGTAAGGTGGAGGAAGGGGATGGATCAGGAAAAAAGGTGGAGGAGGGTGTGGGGAGCAGCAGAGGGGAAGGGGCAGCAGTGCGGGAGGTTGAGGAGCAGGGGCCTAAGGAAAAGGGGGATGAGGAGCAGGTGGGTAAGGAACCGGGGAGAGAGGAGCAGGGGGGTGAGGAGCAGGGGAGCAAGAGCAGTGCTGACAGGGCAGTTGGTGATGGTGATTTGGTGGAGGGGGAAACAGGGTCAGTGCAGGGAAGTGAGCAACAGGGAAGCGAGCAGCATGGGAGCGAGCAGCACAGGAGCCTGTCGTTTGGTAGTGAGGGCGAGTGGCGGGCAAATCACGAAGGTAGAACCTCCATTGGTCGAGGCTCAGTGCGGAGCTTGGGGGATAGGGACAGGGACAGCGAGAAGAGCAGCGAGAGAGGCAGTGAGCGAGATGGGAGAGAGGGCGAGAGAGGGCTGGGAGGGTTGGAAGGAGAGCGGATGGTGGAGAGGGAAGGTGGAGTGAACCTGCTTGCTCGACCGTCGGGTCTGCGAGGGAAAGATGGGGGTGAGTTCAAGGGAAGCAGTATGCTCCGTGCAAGAAAGCTTCTTCACAGGGACTCGCAGCTTACTTCCAGTGGTGGTGGCGGTGGTAGTGGTGGTGGCGGTGGTGGTAGTGTTGCTGCTGCTGGTGGTGCTACTGGTGTGCAGCCGAGCAGCAGCAACAGTGCTGCGTTATTGTCGTCGACAGTTGGAGATCTCCCCGAGAGCCGGGAGGGGGACAGCGTGGGGGAAATGCCGTCCACTCCCAGCAATGACAGCACATCGGAACGGTCAGAGCAGCAGGAGGCTGGGGAGAGGGGCGAGCGGGAGCGCGAGAGGGAGCGAGAGAGGGAACGGGAGAGGGAACGGGAGAGGGAAGTGGAACAGGAGAGAGAGATGGAAAGGGAACGGGAGAGGGCGAGGGAGAGAGAGAGGGAGATGGAGAGGGAGAGGATGGAGATGGAGGCATTGAGGCTTGCAAGCATAGATGGGCCACCGGGGGGGGTGGGCCCTCCTCTACCCCCCGCTCTGCCCCCTCCTCCTATGATAATGGACGAGGAGAGGCGGAGGAACATGGCTGTGGGGATGGGCATGGGAGGCATGGGGGGCATGGGAATGGATATGGGCATGGGCATGGGTATGGGTCCTCCTGGGATGGGTCCTGAAGGGATGGGGCCTGCAGGCATGGGGATGGGAGGTGCAGGCATGGGGATGGGAGGTGCAGGCATGGGGCCGGAAGGCATGGGACACATGGGACACATGGAGCATATAAGAGGTCCATACGGGCCTGAGGAGCGATACGACGTGCGTGGTCCCCGGGGGGCTTTGAGACTTACGAGGAGCAGGAACGGTGGTATGAGATTGCTGAGATGGAAGCTGAGAGGGAGCGGGCACGGGAGCGAGAAATGGAGCTGGAGCGAGAGAGGGAGAGGGAGCGGGAGCGCGAGTGGGAGAGGGAGCGGGAGAGGGTGATAGAGCAGCAAATGGCAATGGCCCGAGAGATGGAGCAGGAGATGCTGAAGGCGCAGGAGGCAGCTAGAGCAGCGGAGGAATCGATTGAAGCACAGGCTGTGGCTGAAGCTGTAGAGCTTCTGAAAGAGTTGCTGGTGCGCTTCTCTGTGACCTGCAACATGGATATTCTCGCGGCACATCGCGCACTTGAACTCTGCCGCCAGTGGACCCAGATGGTCCCTCTCGACCGCACTGCACCGCTCCCAGCCACGGGCCCCGGCGGGATTCCGCTCAGCCTGGTTGTTTCGCACCCCGTGAGAGGGTTCGAAGTGGATATGAACGATCTTCTGTACTTCACGTATGAGCACGCGTCTACGCTGTCGACTGTGGCGCTCAAGGGAGGTGTGGTGTGCAGCATGTGGGGCCCCATGATCGGCCCGCGCGCTGCTGCTGCTGTGTCGCTGCTGCAGAAGCTCAGGCGGGCTCCCACTGATGAGGAGAGCGCCAAGGCTACTGGTGAGGGCGGAAGTGGGGATGGGGTAGGAAGGTGGTGGTTGGGTGGGGCAGCATGGGAGGGAGGGGGTATGGACTTGTAACCATGTGGGAATGGAAGTGTCAGCATGGGGAGGGCATGTGGGCATTCGGGAGTGGGCAAGGCGCTCTTTTTCCAGCTTTCTCCCTCATTCACTCCCTTACCTTAACTTTGCTCCTCTCCCACCAATGCCTCCTTTGCCGTCTCCCCTCCCCCTTCTCCCTGTCACTCCTCTCCCCCTTCTGTTTCCCCCTCCCCACCCCCCCCTCCCCACAGGCCTAGGCGGGGCGTCCGTCTCAGAAGCAGCAGGAGCCGTGGGCGCATACGAGCAGCTGCTCGTCCTCCTCTTCGACTGCTCGCTCCTCTCAGAGCTGGGGGAAAACACCGACCGGGGCAGCCGGGAAACCGACGCCTTCATAGCAGCGCGCGACGCCACGTGCCGAGAAGCCATCTCTGAGTTCAGGCAGGCAGCCCCTGCGAGTGACCGTGTGCACGCGTACATGCTGCTGCTGCGCGTGGTGGGGATTGCGCTCGCGCTCAATGTGGACTATGTGCCGCTCGGTAGCATGTTCCCCCCCAGCCTGCTCTCCAGCTTCCCCACCCTGCGACCGGAGGTATGGTGGGGTCTTGGAATATGGGTTTGGATTCAGGTATGTTGGGTTTCGGTTGAGTCTGCTGTATGTCAGGTAATGTGGGTCTTGGGGTATGGTGGGAATTCAGGCAGTCGGCCCCTGCGAGTGAGTGACCGAGTGCACGCGTACATGCTGCTGCTGCGCGTGGTGGGCGTGGCCCTTGCACTCAACGTGGACTATGTGCCGCTCGGCAGCATGTTTCCTCCCAGCCTCCTCACCAGCTTCCCCGCTCCTCACCGGCATGTTCTCTCCTCCTCCTCATTTGACCCAGGCTCCTCTCTCCTTGGTGCATTATCTTCCCTTCCCCATTATCCTGCGTGCCATTCCCGTCCATCTCTCCCAGCCATTGTCGGAGGCAGAGGCCACGGTAGACAGCAAGCGCATGGAGGCCCGACTGCAGTTCCTTCTAGCAGTCATCCTCGCCCAGCACCGCCAGGCTGCTGCTGCCACTGCTGCTGCTGCCGCCACCACTGCCTCTGCCGCTGCTGCTGCTGCCACTTCTGCCGCCGCCACTGCTGCTGGGAACGCGCAGCAGCGTGCGTTGCTCCCTGCTCCTGAATCGGGCTCAGATGCCGCTGCTGCTGCTGCTGGTGCTGCTGGTGGTGCTGGTGGTGGTGCAGGGGCCATGCCCCTTGCTGCCCTAGGCCATGAGCAACCTGGACCATCTGGCATGGGCATGGGGGCAGGCATGGGTGATGCAATGGCTATGGGGGGGATGGGCATGGGTGGCATGGGCATGGGGCCTGGCATGGACATGGGTGGTATGGGGCCAGGCATGGGCATGATGGGTATGGGTCCCGGTATGGGCATGTCCCAGGAGATGTATATGGCTCAAGGTATGCACATGGGGATGGGTGGTGGTATGCCTATGGGTGGAGACATGGGTATGGGTATGTATCCTGGCATGGGCATGCATCCGGGAATGGGCATGCATCCTGGTATGGGCATGCACATGGGTGCAGGCATGGGCATGGGTCCCGGAATGGCTCCTGCCATGGGCTTTCCTGCAGGTGGGATGGATGGCATGGGCATGAACATGCACATGGGCATGGGTAACATGGGCAACATGGGTATGGGAGGCATGGGACCAATGGGAACCATGGGACCCATGGGGGGAATGGGAGGCATGGGAGGCATGGGGGGAATGGCTGGTATGGATCCCACAGGAATGCCCCCAGCAGTGCCAGTGCCCCCAGCAGCAGCAGCCCCTCCCAAGGCGCATGCGCATCGGCTGAGGGTGTACGAGGCTCGGTACCGAGCGGCATCTGCGTTTGCCCTGGCCAATGACCTAGGCGTGCCCCATGATGAGCTGCGGCGCCGCCAGGTGGCACTCAAGTATCTCAAGCAATAGCGCTGTGGGTGGATGGACATGACATGAGTGTGTGTGGACATGTGTGTGTGTGCATGCATGGATGCACAGGTGGCGCTCAAGCGTCTCTCAAGCAGTAGTGTTGTCTGGGTGAACATGGGTGGACCTGTGTGTGTTCTCATGCATGCACAGGTAGTGCCGAAGTATCCAAAGGCATAGTACTATATGGGTGGACATGGGTGTAACTTTATGTGGGGCATACATTACAACTCCGTCGACCTGACATGCAGAATAGCAAGGACTTGTAGTGGCTAGGACGTGTTGAGCAGTAACTGTTGTTTGTCTGATGCTGTGACAGGTTTAACTGTGAAGGGGGTATGTGAGTGGTATTCGTAGAGATGAGCTTCGTAGGGCCAGGCTGAGCTCGTTACTGTAGTTTGCTAGGGGTTTGCTAAGGCAGGATGGGCATGACTTGGTGTGATGTGATGCCATCAACATGAAATCCATACGACCACAGCATGTAGGGAACTTGTCATTTTAGGTACATGTGTTATCATCAACACTCTGGATCACTAGGGGATTACAGAAAGAGTGTCATCATGTCTGCATTACCACAAGCTGCGCATGCTTATTAATAAGCTACAGTAGGTATACACGCAGTGCACTCATTCTGCAGCAGTCATTGAATCTTCTGGCTCACACAGCACATGCCTCCACCAGAGGGCCGACCTCTTGGGGAACCTAGCACCCCCGTGAGCGAAGTCCACATAATGGATGCCGAAGCGGCGTGAGTAGCCCATGGCCCACTCAAAGTTGTCCAGAAGAGACCATGCGAAGTACCCTCTCACATCCGCTCCATCCCTGGAAAAAGAGAGGTGATGTGTGTGATAGGGAGGGTGGGAAGAATGGGAGGGTGACGGGATGGAGAGGTGGATTTTGTATGGTCGGATGAGGGAAGGTGTGTGTGGTGAGCACAGTATGATCAAAACCATTAGGTGTCCCCACAGCTAACCAGATGAGCTAGTAACCACCTGAAACTCCTCTTCTTGTCCTTGAAATGACAGTGCAAACAAATCGATAATGAGTGTCACAATGCCTTCGTGACACACAGAAATAGAGGTCCAGAGTCGAATTCGAGTGCACCACACACCTCATGGCATCGGCAACGGCTCCAAGATACTCATTGTAAAACCTGACTCGCTTCCAGTCATCAAGAGCAGCTGGCAGCTGAATCGAGTCATAAGGCTGCTGGAGGGTCTCAGCTCCATTCTCTTGAGACCCACTCCCCTGAATTCCCCGTACGGGCGTCTGGGAGAGTGAAGTCCAATCCAACGGTGGGAGTGCGTCATCGGCGTCATCCATACCTGCAGCGGCCTCGTGTGTGTGATTGGTGGTGCAAAGTGGGGATGTGTGATGGACAGAAGCGTGGAAAGCAGGTGAGAGGAGAAGTCTCGCTTGGTTTGCCTTGGCGGGCAGGCCACGTGGTAGTGTGCTAGTAGGAACAACGCGAAGTGTGGAGCGAAAGCAAGGAAGGGAAGGAGGGGAATACAAGTAAGGGGAGTAAGGCAAGAAATGCACGAGGATGGATGTAAGGCGCACCGTTTTCTGTGATGAGGATGGGAGGGCGGTTGTAGCGCGCTGTTATCCAGTTGAGGAGCCTTGTGAATCCCCATGGCGCGATGTACAGCCACTCTGACGCTGCCTGGCGGGTAGGGAGATGGGCGCGAAGGGGGAGGGAGAAGGGATGGGAGAGAGGCGGGAGGGAGATGGGGGAGAGGTGGGAGGGAGATGGGGGAGAGGTGGGAGGGAGATGTGAGAGAGGTGGGAGGGAGATGAGGGAGAGGTGGGAGGGAGATGGAAGAATGAGAGGGACTTGAAAAGCGTGTGAAATCAAGATAACATGTCTTTTGTGAGTAACACAAAGGATGGATGTGTGCATGTGTGCAAGTGCGTTGCGTTGGGTGATTAGTCAGCGTGTCCTTACCCGCTCTCCAATGGGGATGCCATCTCGTGATGCTGCACATAGAGTTTGCCAAGAAAGCATATAGGGGAGGAAAAGGGAGGAGGGAGGACAGAGAGAGGAGACGGACCAGAGGCGGAATGCAGAATAGGGATGAGAACATGAGGAGCGAAATGAAGATTTACAGGAAGAGGAGGATCAGGGAGAGGGCAGGTGCAGCAGTGTGAAGCGAAGGCAGGCCTGTTCCGTGAGTGCAGGTGCATTTGAGACGCCTCAATAGCCATTCCACTCACCAGATATCTCAACACCCTGGTCTTTGAAGTGGTCACCCTCATCCTCCCCGCACACCACTGACTTGTGTGACGGCAAGCGCGACCGCTGTCTCAAACGACATTCCACTCACCGGATATCTCAATTTTTGAGTCGACTCAAAAATTGACTGTCTCAATAGCCATCCACTCACCGGATATCTCAACACCTTGGTCTTTGAAATGGTCACCCTCATCCTCCCCGCACACTACTGCAGCGGCCGCCCCACTCTCCTCACTCGCCCTGCCCTGTGCACTTGCAGCAAGTGCAGGGGACTCGTGCGGCAGCAGCGGAACCACACCAGCCGCGCTCGTTCCTGCTGCTGAGTCAGCCAGCGGCAGTTCTGAAGTTCCTTTCTCAACAGCTGCAGCTGGAAGGTTATCAGTAGCGGTCTTGGCAGCATCAGTAGCAGCAGCAGGAGCAGCAGCAGGGGCAGCAGCAAGAAGCAGTAGAGGAGACGTATTTGGAGGTGTAGTGGTTGACACCTACAAAGTCCAGAGACCCCTTGAGCTGCTGCTGCTGCTCCGGTGTGAAGGAGGGCAGGCGGTCCCCCACCCTCTGCTTCATCACTGCCGGATAGTCGCCTGAAAAGAGCGGATCTAGCACCCTTGGGGTGGAGGGTGGGTGGTGGGGGGAGGAAAAGGGGGGGAGGGAGGGGTGTGAAGCAAGGCAGGCGGCTCCCCACCCTCTGCTTCATGTCTTCGGGATAGTCGCCTGAGAAGAGCGGATCTAGCACCCTTGAAGCAGAGGGTGGTGGAGTTGCAAAAGGAAGAAGGGGGAAGAAAGGGAGAAAGAGGGAAGGGGAAGGAGGGAGGGGGGAGAACGAAGGAGTCAGGACGTGGCACTGGGAAAGTGGAATCGATTCTTTGAAGAAATTAAGAGCAATGGCCACACCACACTGTAGAGTAGACCAATGACTCATCTTGCACGTTCGGGACTTCTCACAAGTGGCTACACGCACCATGCAAGCTGGAACTGCATGCGTCTCTCTGCTGCTTGCACATCAGCAGGCGAGGAGGTGAGAGGCTCCGCCCACTCCCCATCCACTGCCAGCCCTATGCTCATGCCACTGTGGGACTGGGAGGACACGTGGGTGACACGAGACAAGAAGTTGAATGCTCAACCAAAGTGGTTTCAATTCAAGAAGTGACAGAAGAATCACAGAGGTCTCGAGGAAGAGTGGAGTGGATCAACCAATCCTCGAGTACACAACACACAGCAACCGGAACATACACCATTCACCTCCGGAACAGACAACTCAGGCGCGGGAAGTATTTGACTCACCCAAAACCTCAGTCGGATCGGAAGGCCTCCACAGCAGCAGCGTGTGCGAGCAGCAGGTGGTGCATGACCAGGTATGGCTCTCTGGCTGAGTTGCCTTTCTTGGGAAGAAACCATCTACATGCGTGACTTGTGGGGAAGAGATCTACCCGCACGGATTGACTTACCCCAAACCTTAGTCGAAAAGCGTCAACAGCAGCAGCGTGTGCGAGCAGCAGGTGGTGCATGACCACGTATGGCTCCCTGGCCGAGTTGCCTCCCTGGGGGAAGATGAGGCGGTTGGAGGAGCGCCCAGGCGCGTGAATGCCCCACTGGTACCCGCACAGCGTGAAGCAGAGCGGCTCGTTTAGAGTGATCCAGTGCGGTGCAGAGCGGCCGAAGAGCGCGAAGCAGGTGTCAGCATAGGTGCGAAAGCAGGGTCTGTTGGGTTCGGAAAGAGGGAGGGTGGGATCGTGGGGGGCGAAGAATGGAGACGAATTGGGCGTGCAAAGGAATGGTAGCGTGTGAGGGGAAGGGAGCGGGTGTGTGTTTGGTGATGTGTGGCCAGTGATGGGGCAGGGACATGGAGAGGCTGATTCTGCATAACAAGAGGCGACCAGAAGGGCATGGGGCAACGGTACAGGCAGGGTGCTGCATGGTGAATGTTGTAATTATGATTGCTTGCTGATTATGAGTCTGGCCACTCGCTAGACACGAACAAACCCCGGTCCACCCTATCCTCCAGCTGTTCCCGAGACTTGTATACTAGACCGCAGCACAGCCCTCGCATCCTTTTGAGACACCTCAGAAAAGACAGATCACCTCTTTCATTAATGAAGCACTGCCCGCATACTACATATGATGAGATGGGACATCTCAGAATGGATATCACCTTGCATCTCATCATATGTAGTATGCGGGCGGTGCAGTGCCTGGCCTGCGCTGCTACCTTTCCAGGCCAGGCAGGCAGCAGCGCAGCGCCCTCACTCTATTTCCCAAGCGCTTCAAGCATGAGGGTCAACTCAGCTCAGCACAGCTCTCAGCACAGCTCTCAGCACAGCGCTCAGCTCTCACACTATTTCGGGGCTCCTCCATCCGCCAAACTCCTTCTCGAGGGTGAGAGGGAGGTCCCAATGGAAGAGCGTCACGTAGGGCGTGATGCCTGGGGGGAGAAAAGAGGGGGGGAGAGGGGGAGAAGTGGGAGAGGGAGTGGGACTGAAAGTGGGAGTGGGAGCGGGAGTGTTGGGCCCACCACAAGCTATCCCTCCACATGCCACCCCACCACATGCCATCCCGCCACCTGCCACCCCACCACATCCCTCCACACAGCAGGCACCATGCACGCATACATCCATCTAGCGTACCTCCCGACCCACCCACCGTGGTCCAGCAGTGCTTGGATGAGCGCAGAGTAATACGCCACCCCCTCGGGATTCACAGGCAGCCGCCCAGCTGCAGTGGGGATGAACACCGGGTTCATGGCCGTGTGGTTACCAGGTAACAGCATTGACAGGCGGGCGGGAGGGTGGGAGAGTGGGAGGGAGAGAGCGGGGAAACAAGAGAGTGAGAGGTTGATCGTGAAATGGTAGGGTCTTGTTAATGAGGGGCATCAGAGGGGCGATCGGCTAGCAGGTGCAGAGGCAGGGGAGAGGAGGGGGGAGGTGAGAGGAAGGGGGTATAAGGGAAGGTGTATGGAAGGTAAAGGGAAGGTGTAAGGGAAGGTTAAAGGGAAGGTATAAGGGAAGATGTGAAAGGTGCACACATTAAGGAAGTGATGATTGGTGGCATGACATGACATCCTACAATGCCACCCATCGTTACACAAAACGGCGCTTTATCCCTGGCCATGATGGCTCATAGGCCATGATGGCTCATAGGCCATGATGGCTCATAGGCCATGATGGCTCACAGGGCATGATGCGTGACCATGATATGGAGAAGCGGTAGGCCTTCATCCCCATGTTCACCATCAGAGCGATGTCCTCCTGATACACCAACCCCATGCCATGCCACGCCACCACATGCCATGCCATACCATGCCATGCAACGCAACACAACGCCACGCCAAAGCATGCCAGGCCACAGCATGCCATGCCATACACGAGAACATACAGGGCATCTCGAGGAAATGACCATGAGACGAGCATGAATCAACGTAGAGGCACACAGGCTAACCCAATTGCGCCAGAGAAAGACATGGCATGGCATAGCATGGCATGGCATGGCATGGCATGGCACCAGAGTCCGTGCTGCCCACCTTTCCTCTCGCACTGCCTGCCTCACAGCACGCATACTGCCATACTGCCGGATCTTCTCTCACCTTGTAGCGGTGGTATTGATCGCATGCCACATCTCCCGTGTCACCATTTAGTGTCTTGCCTGCACCCACCACCATGCTCACATGCATTACATGCATCCATGCATCCACGCATCGATACATGCATCAGTCCATCCGTGCGTGCATGCATGTATACACCAAGCATCCGCAAAAGAGGAAACAGGGGAATCTACAGATTGCAAGGGTACTGAGTCGCCATGCGCTAGGATGGGTCAGGAAGCAGCAATTTTCAAAGCAACAGCACATTTGCAAGCAGCAGCATGTACCGGAGCAGAAATACACAGGCATCAACAAGTTCTGAGATCCTTAGAATATAAGACCACCTAGCATGCACTCCTCACCGACAATCACCTGAAAGACACTCCTCACCGACAATCACCTGAAAGACACTCCTCACCTGACAATCACCTGAAATAAAACGTGACACGTGGCACACAAGCTCACCTGGCTGCTCCATTCACCTGGCGTGTGCGAAAATTCGTCCCATATGCTGGGGCCCCGACCCCCCTCCCGTGCCGCTCCCTCCACCTGATGCCGCACCACAACCATGTGAGCAAGAGGCAGCAAGATAGCGCATATTGGGCCAAAAAAAGCACACAATGCTTGCCTATCAACGAAGGCCACATCACGATTCGCCTATCCACGTTTCCTGAAGCATCCCCGCTTTATTTGCGCTGAGATTCTTCCACGCAATTCACCTGGTACGCGGCCGTCGCAGTTCCGAATACGAATTCTGGAGGAAACATGCTCCGCAAGACGCGGCGCGTTCCATGCTGGCCCTGCTGGCCCTGCGACGGAGCTGCCATAGTTTCCACGACACTATGTGGACCCTCGATGCGTCGCTTCGTCCTTCCACTGGGTCCGCTTTCTTACGCCCTGAGCGGGAATCTGTGAGAACTAAAGCCAGCTGCGGTGTAGGGAGGAAATTATACGAAAAATCCTCGCTACGCACTTCTCATTACAGGACTCTGTGCTCTTAGAGCAAATATTTCGTACATGCCGCGCTTCGACGTGCGAAACGTTCGAATAGAAAGGCGGAGAGAGTGGTGCAGGTGAGCGATCACCACACGGCAGTCGTTCGACTGCAACAACAATACAAACGGTCGGATTCTTCACTCGCTGGAACTTGGAAGGCATTGGGCAGATCGAATGCGCGAATTGATCACCCCAAGATCCACACGAAAATGAGGAAGCGGTGCTGTTATAGAAACGGCACAGCTCAAATGTGATAATAATACCTTACATATGAGGTTACTTTTTCCAATAGAACATCTCTCACATACATATCCTATCAGAACCTCATACGCGAACTTCCTGCCATCATATCCAGTTACGTAGCCTATAAAAACCGCATGAAAAATATATGGCGCTTTATTACCAGGTCCAAATGCGTGAACCGCTGCTTAGAAATGATATATTTACGTGCTACTTACAAAAATCAGTATCAAAGGTTAACTTCACGTGTTGATGGTATTCCAACATATGAAATGCATGGTGATGATGGTGATGATGGTGATGATGTTTGTGATATGTGAATCATTTGTGATTATATCAAAAGGAAATAATATAAAAAGGATTGAAAATAATATCGCCGCGCTCTTTGTTAGATGCGTAGGATGCACTTCGTGTACCCGTTTCAGGAAATCGCTCGCCACAACCTTCTGATGCCTCGAACATGTACGGTTTTACAGCCGACCTCCGAACCTGCAGGTTCTCTTTGACTTCTGGGCCTGGTTCGGCCCCTCATTCCTGACTTCTGCGCCTCAAAATCGCGATTCGGGTATCTTCGATGTCTGCTGGTCTGGTTGAGGTACACTCAATTTCTGCACCTGAGATTGGGGCCGTCCGTCACCAAGCCAGCACCAAACAAAACCGCACGTGACTCCCAAGGCGTTGCGGAAGTTTGACTCTTCCGAACCATGATTCAGCTTGGCGTCGCCTGGTTTGGTTTGCAAAACCGAACCAGAAGCTTCCGTTTTGGTTGGGTATGGCACGTATTTGAGGATGACCAAACCTCCTCCGCACGTCACTGCCTTGGTACGCACATGGCTCAGTAAGGCAGCCCCGCTGCTGCCCGAAGTGGGAGCAAACAAAACCGAGCCTTTCCCCAAACCATCATTTCTGGTTTGCGCCAGTAAATTCCAGACCTCACCTACACTCGAACCGCTCTACTCCATGTAGGTTCGGAACTCGAGCTTAGTGACGGCTGATGCCGCGACCCACGGATCATGGCACAGATCAACACGACGGCAGCCTCGCACGCAGCCTTTCGTCAATCAGCGCTTCCATCCCACATCTCACTTCTCATGGCGGCGGTAAGGCGACGCTGATCCCGTGTTAGCTTGATAGACTCGCAGCCGCACACCACAGCACACCCCAAAGAAGCCGCATGCCCCCCACGGGCACAACCCCCCCACCCACCCATTCCCACTGGAGTTCAATTCGAATTGCCCGCACACCACTCCACGGAACATTCACCAGCCATCCCCACCATGGCAAATTCGTCAAGCAAGGCATGTGATGCGATGCGATGCGACGTCGCTCCCTGATTCCTCCTCTTCTCACAGCGCAGCCCCTTCCTCCACATCCCCCTCGGCCGTCCCTTCCGGTCATCGATTGCTCCATCCGCCGACTCGCGACCCAAGTACGAGGGAAGGACGCCAAGGAAAACGACCTTGCCAAACGAGCCTTCGGCTATCATCTTGAAGATTACCCTTAGCAATCGCGAACATCCTTCAGCTTGGCTCTTGGGGTCTAACTCGCGCCAACAGAGCAGACTTACTAGCACAACTCCAAACGAACAGACCTCAGCCAGTTTCAGCCGATCTCTACTGTCTAGACTAACCCGCGCGAAAGCACGGAACAGCAGCGACCGTATAGTCCCATAACCGCTGAAACGGCAATATCTCGCTGCTGGACCGTATACTTGCTCACCTCCACCGGCTGTGATACTACTCCCTTAATCCATCAGAGATAATTTCTGCAAGGCCACCTTCTCCCTTAATCAGTCGCTTGCCACAGGTCGCGTGTGCTTATCGCCTAAGCTCCAGCGTGATTGAACTCAGGGGAACGGAGTAGGTGACACCGGACGCTCTTCCTCCCGACAGGTTACAAACACGGGCTGTAGAACCGCAACATTGATTTTTCATGAACAACTTTCAGGCTGTAACGGTTTAGGAGCTCCAGAGAACTTTGGTTGAGCTGGGCTGCGTTGCGACGGCCGTTCCTCGCGTAGCGCGCGGCAAAGGGCTGCACAAGGTGATCGCGTAGTTCTGGAAAACGAGGAGCGGCAGGACAGGAGAGTGCACCGCACCGTACCGCAGGGAAATCGCGGGTGCTTCCTCTGTGCAGCTTCTAGACGCCTGTGAACCTCGACTCCTCCTCCTCTCCCTCTCTCCCACTCTCCCTATCCCTCTTCCACTCCTTCCCTCTCTCCTCCTCCCTTCCTCTCTCGCAATCGCTCCTTCTGGTGTGTGATTCATTGTGCGACGCCACCATGCTTCGGGCATATGGCGCGCTGCTTGTCGTCGTCGCGTCGCTCGTCGCAACATCGCCGATCCACTCGAGAGGTGTGACACCTCATCTTCGTCGCCTGCCACTGCGTCTCACCACCCAACGTCATATCCATCGCTTGCAAATACACTCGGACCTAATCATCTAATCCTGATCGTCTCTGCATCTTCCCCCACTCCCCTGCTCTTCTCCCCCTCTTCCTCCTTCCGCCCTCTCCGTCACTCCCCTCCCGTCCCCCATCCTCCTCCTGGTTCGTCTCCTGGTCGAACGCTCTGTTCCATCTCAACTTCACCCTGCAAATTACTCCCAAGTTTACTCTCCCATCATTTACTCCTGCCTTCTCTGTGTCCCTGGGCTTTCATTTTCCACCCGTGCCCCACCCATGCCCCACACGTGCCCCACCCGTGGTCTAAACTTGGGGCACGATCCCTTATTCGTCGTGACTTCTCATCCTCGATCTCTCATTGCTGCTTGTCTTCTAGCAATATTCAGTTGTATGTAGGTGGTCTAAGCTGCCCGTGTCATTAATCGCCTCCGCATCTCCTTCCTTCCCCACGAAGCAGCGGCGGCTATACCGCGCAACATAATTCACAATGGCAACTTCGAGTCGCCTGGTTCTAAAGACATCAGCGCGCCGATAATCTCCGCCGAGAGCGGCGCCGCGCAGCAACCTGTTCCCGCGCTGGAGGGATGGGAGGTGAAAGAGGGGTCGATTAAGTACGTGCGCGGCGACACGTGGCGAGCCGCGGAGGGGAGCTACAGCGTGGCGCTGAACGGCGCGGGGCCGGGCGTGCTGAGTCAGCAGGTGGCGACGGAAGAGGACGCATTCTACGTGCTCACGTTCGCCTTATCCGCCGACCCTTGTACGTGTTGGTGCCCTCTGCCCTGCCGCTTCTGCCGCTTCTCTTTTCCCCTGTCGAGCAATTTTTCCGCCACCCCCCCTCCTCTCCTTCCTCCCTCTCTCCCGGCACGATCTCATGCTGTTGATTTGCCCCTCCCTCGTCCTCTCCCGCGCTCCTTCCCGCTCTCCCCGTTGCTCTTCCCCCACCCCTCGCGCGCGCCTCCCCCCTCCCCGCGCGCCAGGCGGCATCAACGATCTGCACGCGCTCAACGTCTCAATCGTCGCGGCGAACACGGACGTGATCGCGGAGCGCACGCTCGAGGCCGACGCGCTCGGCACGGCGGGCGGCGCGATGAGCTGGCGCGTGGAGCGCGTTGCGTTCGAGGCGCAGGCGGGTCCGACGCGCGTGGAGTTCCGGTCGTTGTCGCCCGGGGAGTGCGGCCCGGTGGTGGATAACGTACGGCTCGTCAAACAAGGTGCGTGAACACGCAATGCAATGATACAAGTGAGCACGATGCGCGTTCGGTACGCGATGGATTGTGTGTTCAAACAACAACCCAATAGCGAGCACGAGCCATTAATTCAAGCGAACACAATCCATACAACCCGTAACACGTGTTACGTGTAATAAGATTGTATCTAGGGCCCCTCGTCACCTCTCATGTCTCCTACCCCACCCCCCTTTTCCTCTCTCCTTTCCCCCTTCTTTTCCCCATCCCCTGCTTCCCCCTCAGACCCCGTGTCGCTCTTCTTCAAATCGCCCAACACCGCGTATCCCGCGGGGACGATCGCATCCGTCGAATCCGCAACGGGCATCGACGGCTGCGCGCGCCACTGCATCGCGCTGCCCGAATGCGTGGGCTTCACCGCGGACCTCCGCCACCAGCTCTCCGCGCTCCTCAACGGCGGAATCGGCGGCGCGGGCGGGGGTGCGGTGCAGTGCGATCTGAAGCGGCGGATGGTGAAGCCCGTCCCCGTGGGGCCGTACGTTACGGACGCGTACGTGCTGCGAGGCGCGCCGTGCTCGTTCAGCGGCCATGAACCGGTATGCGGCGCAGGGAAACACACAGAAGCAAAGTGCATGCAAAAAACTAAGTGACTCGGTCTCTCTAGCACCCATCCCTTTCCAAGAGCCAAAACACACACCGTACCTTTTTCCCGAACACGCTGTTCCCCTCACCCCACTCCACCCCAATCCACCCCACTCCACCCCACTCCTCCCCATTCCTCCCCACCCCCCAGGCCGTGTGTCCGCACATCCTGCCGCTCCCCGGGCTCATCCCGCTGGCCTGCGTGGCATCGCACCACGTGCGCCGCTCCCCCAACCACCCCTTCACGGGCACGTGTCGCCCCATGCAGCGCACCGCCATGTGCCCCCTCGCAGGGGGTTCTTCCGCCGCGGCGCGCTCTTCCACGCGCCCCACCGCCTCGCGCTCTCCGCGCCCATCTCCCGCGGGTCTGCTGCGGCCGTCGCCGCGTTTCTCGGGGCTGGGAGTGGTGCTGCTGGTACCGGTGCTGGTGTGATTGGAGGGGGGTTGGGCAGAGCAGGGATGTTGGGTGTGGTGGGTTCGTTGTCGTTGCCTTCAGACCCTTCTGTAGGGCCACAGCAAAAACAGCAACAGCAGCAGCAACAGGAGGAGGCTGCTTCAGAGACGAAACCGGCAGCAGGAGAAATAGCAGCGTCTAGAGAAGCAGCAGCAGCAGCAGCAGCAGCAGCAGAAGCAGTGCCGGGGATGGCTATCACTCTCGGGTCAGAAGAAGAGTCGTCAGCAGCATCGCCGGATGTGCTGCCGTCGCGCGTGTGTGCGTGTGAACCGGGGCATGGGGGCATTGCCGTGCTCAGATGCTGGCAGTGACAACAACCGCCATATCACCATGATGATGCTTAGTGGAAACGGTGGGAGGTGGGGGATCTTCGGGGTTGGAGAGGCGTGGGGGCATGGGGTGGGGGGGGGGGACATGGGGGGCTAGTATGGGGGGAAGGGGAGCGGGTAAAGTGCTTTGGCTGAGTGTGGGGCCTGGTTCCGTACTTTGAAGCTGCTAACTTTCCGTCCTCCCCCTGTCAGAGGTGATTACGGCTTTGCTGTGAGCAGTGGCTTCTTTTCATCAAGGTAGGGGGTCTTGGATGGGCTCCTGTTCTTGTGCCATGTGGGCTGCTGCGTGGGTTGCTGCTGCGTGGGCTGCTGCTGTGTCCGATTCGATCCATAGGGGGGATTCATTTTGGGAGTGGGGCATAAGGAATGGAGCCTTGATCTGATGATTCAGAGCAAGTGGTCCCATTCCCCTGACAGTATCTGTATGGGTACAGGGAGGGTAACAGACAGCTGGGTATAAAAAGAGGTTCCTGAGAGTGGGCTGCACTGCTCACAGTACCTCGTTGTCAGGACTTTGCTGCATCTCACTAGTGTCTCTGCAAGTCCTGATGTAATGTGCTATGCTTCTTAATTGCCATAATATAGTTATGTTTGAAAACGTTTTTAATTCCACACTTCTCTGCATGAAAGTGACTAAATTGGATTTATAATGGTATTAAATATTAAATATTAAAAACAAAGACAGTGAGCCAACGGGCAGGTACTTTGTACATTATTAACAGTGGCCTGGTTTTCATGGCAAGGCTGTATCATCAGCTTGTAGTACGTTGGAAAATTCTGAAAGATCAGAATGTGTGGTGGGCTCAACAAAACGTATGAAGAATACTATACCTGTAATCACTGTTCTCAGCCCAACTACCATAACATTACAAGAAGCTGACTTCTTGAACATTGACTAATCATGTGTAGTTAGTGATCCCCCACTCCACTTTCCCAAACCGCAACAGGCTGCATGAGTTGCAGGAGGCTGCAACGCAGCCGCGTCTCACTTATCCAGCCGTCCCTGCAGGAACGACAACACTCGCATCGCAGCACGAGCCCTCTCTTCTGAGGTGACTCAAGAGTCAAGTCAACAGGAGGCCGCAACGCAGCCGCGTCTCACTTATCCAGCCGTCCCTGCAGGAACGACTCGCAGTCGCATCGCAGCACGAGCCCTCTCTTCTGAGGTGACTCAAAAGTCAAGTCAACAGGAGGCCGCACTGCAGCTGCGACTCACTTATCCAGTCGCCCCTGCTGCAGGAACAATATCACTCGCAGTCGCATCGCAGCACGAGCCCTCTCTTCTCCACTCTTCCCTGCAGGCTGCGAAACGAAGCAAACGGTTGTCTCACTTATCCAATCGGCCCTGCAGGAACGACATCACTCGCAACACAAGCCCTCTCTTCTCAGCACGAAACGCCTCCACCAGCCTTGCTTCCTGCGCCGCCATCCCGCCTATCGCCCTCTCCGCTGCTCCACTCTCCATTCCTGCCGCCTCGGCTGCTAGCCGCACTGCCGCTGCTGCACTGGAGTCAGCAGCAGCGCTGCCAACAGTTGTATTAGCACCAGCACCAGCAGCAGCAACAGCAGCAGCAGCAGCAGCTGTATCTTTTGCAGGCTTTTCTGCGGCAGCAGAAGCAGCAGCAGGAGGCACTCGGGAGAAGCTCTGCAGAAAGATAAAGCACAAACCCAGCAGCGTCCTCACTGTCTTCTGCTCACACTCCCGCCCAAGCATCCCCACCGCATCCAACCCCTGCAGCTGCTGCAGCGGCACCTGCCTCACATCCACCGATGCTGGAGCATACAGCACTCTTAGAGCGGCCAGCAGGCGAGGGTCTATGTAACCAGGGCCGCCCAGGGTCATCTTTCTGTCTGCTTGTGGCCCGGATAAGCCCAGCTTTGCAATCACTTCCATCCGTGCCCGTGCCCCTCCCCCTGCCTCCGGATCCAAAGGCCCTTCTAGCCTGCTCCGCTTCTCCCCTCCCATCTCCTCCGCTCTCCCCTTCTCTCTCGTTCCCGCTGCTTCCCCCTCTCCTGTTCCCATCCCCGCACCTGCTCCCGTTCCCGTTCCCGTTCCCGTTCCCGTCTCCCTCGCCCCTCCTCCTCCCCGCTCTCCCCGCTCCTCACCCCCGTCTAACCCATCCAGCCCAGCAGCAGCACGAGCAGCTTCAATGAGCGGAAGGCCGTAAGCCATGGGGAGGGTGTCGTAGGCGTTGTTAGCGGGCACAAAGCCGTAGTCCAGGAGAAAGAGGTCCGTGGAGAGACGCCCGTAGTCTATAGTAACAGCATGCCTGGGGGGCAGTGGGAGGAGGGCGCGGAGCTGGGGTGTGGGAGAGAGGACAGGACAGGAAAGGCATGGGGAGAGTGTCATAGGCGTTGTTAGCGGGCACAAAGCCGTAGTCGAGGAGAAAGAGGTCCGTGGAGAGACGCCCGTAGTCGATGCTTATGGCGTGCCTGGGGGATAGTGGGAGGAGAGCACGCAGCTGGTGTTGGGGCGACAAGAGGGAGGAGGGCGAGAGAGGAGAAGGGAAAGGGGAGAAGGGAGAGGAGGGTGAGGAAAAAGAGGGAATTGGCAGAGACGCGGGCGAGGGTCTGGTTGGGTTGGAGGGCAGTTGGGTTCTTGCCTCGTGTGGATGAAAGTGGAAAGCGCAAGAGATAAGAGGGAAGTGAGGGACTTGAGGGAAGTGGTTTTCTAAGCGGCATGCAAATATTGCCATAGTGTGTAGCGCGCATGACATGGCGCCCACCTCTGCTGTGCCATCTGGCAAAAGAGATATCTTAGCCGTTGGATTCGCATCATGGTTCGCCAGATCAATCACCGGAAGAAACACCCTCTCGCCTTCCTCCCCTCTCCTCCTCTTCACCCCGTCTCCACTCCCACCTCCCCCTTCCTTCTCTCCTTTCCCCACACTGCCTCCTCCTCTTCCATCCAATGCCCCTCTATCAACCCCGTCTCCCGTCCTCTCCCCCGTGATTGCAGGCACTCGAAAGGCACGGGAAGAGGCAGAGCCCATGGCCCATGCAAGGTCGGAGGGGGAGACTGGGTCGTTGCCAAACAAGCAGCATCGCTGGGATGCCTGGAGGAGGAAGGGGGGAGTCCGGAGAAGGGGGAATGAGTTGGTGGTGAAGCAAGCTGAGGTTCAATCAGAGTTTGCACTTGCTGCAATCGCTTGCTTCAAAGCGTTTTGAGTTGAGTCCCAACAGAGTAAAGGCTTCTAAGCAATCCATGCGCAGCACGCATCAAGCAGCAGCAGCAGCAGCAGCAGCAGCAGCAGCAGCAGCAGCAGCAGCAGCAGCAGCAGCAGCAGCAGCAGCAGCAGCAGCAGCAGCAGCAGCAGCAGCAGCAGCAGAAGCAGCAGCAGCAGCAGCAGCAGCAGCAGCAGCAGCAGCAGCAGCAGCAGCAGCAGCAGCAGCAGCAGCAGCAGCAGCAGCAGCAGCAGCAGCAGCAGCCAGTAGAGAGTAGGAGTGGTGGTGAGTGCAAGCTGCTTACCTGTAGCGAGTCCACCACGTCTGGTAGGAACTCAGAGGCGAAGCGACGGAGGAACGTGCTGCGCTTGGCCAGCTGCAACGTGGACAGAAAGAGAAAAGGAGGAGTGGGAGAGGTAGTGGGAGAGGGAGAGAAGGAGTTGAAAGGAACGCGGGGAAGGAAGTCGTAGGGTTGCATGTGTCACTCTGCTGCCTGCCATTCCTTTTCACTTGCCAATGCCAGCTCATCCCCTACTGCTTCCCCCATATTCCCCAATTGCTGCTCCAATTTCCCAGGAATGACAATGGAATACGCCTTCCGAGGACCCTACATCAACCTATCCAACCTACCTCAACCTCCCTCAACCTCCTTCAACCTCCTTCAACCTCCTTCAACCTACCTCGGCCTGCAGTGGCGGGTAGCCGAGAGCAGCGACAGCAGCAGGGGAGAAGAAGATGGGCAGGGGGAGAGAGCGCGGGAGGAGAGCGATATATGGGTCCCAGTGGGGGGCTGGGAGAGGGGGAGATGGGGGAGGAGAATGAGTGGTGTGGGTAGCGGAGGGAGGGGAGGATGGGGAGGATGTAGATGCGATGGGTGTTGTGGGAGTGTGAGGGGTTGCTTGTCGCCTCTGCTGGTGCAGCAAGTGCAGACCAAGGCGGAGAGACCAGAGGGACGCTGCAGGGTGGGCGAGTGGTTGGTGGGAAGGAAGGGGGGACGGAGGAGGGGAACAGGGAGGTGTGTGATAGTGGGGAAAGTTGTGGCCTTTGTTGTGTTACTACCACGTGAAAGCACCTCCAAAAGCACAGAATTAAAAACAGTATAGAAAAGCAACATGAGCTGCTTTTACATCATGTCATGGCATGGCACTCACAAGGCACAAGCTGCCCCATCTTGCTGATTGCCACAAAGGACCTCGCCTCTTCCCCCGCTTCCCCTCCCCTTTTTCCTCCTGTTCCTCCTGCTCCTGCTCCTTCCCATTCTCCCCCTTCTCTTGCCGTCCCTCCAGCCCCTTCCAGGCCCGCGGGCCAGGCTCGGCCGAGCTGCAGGCGGGAAGGCACGGAGAGCAGCAGCTCGCCTTTGCCCACGCTGCGGCTGGTGCTCAGACAGAGGCCGCCGTGGGAGTCAGGGGTCACAGCGACGGCGCCTAGAGAGGGAGAGGGAGTGGGGCGATTCGATGGGAAAGCAAGGAAATACGGGTGGGTGGGAGGGGCCAGGGAAAGAGAATCTGGATTTCTGGTGTTCAGACAGAGGCTGCCGTGGGAGTCAGGGGTCACGGCGATGGCACCTGGGGTGGGAGAGAGGGGAGCACGGTGGGAGGAAGGGGGAAGGGACAGAAACCTGGTGCTCAGGCAGAGGCCGCCGTGGGAGTCAGGGGTCACGGCGATGGCGCCTGCTAGGGTTGAGGAAGAGGGATGGGGTGGGGTGGGGTGGGGTGGGGTGGGATGCACTGGGGTTCTGACACGCCAGGTACTGTGTCAGTCTGGTGGAGTTGCCTGCCTGCTTGTCTTGTCCCTCGTGCCTGCATGAGCGTACGCGCGCAGACATCCCCTCCATGCGTACACCCACCCATACCTACCCATCCCCACCCATCCTCCCCACCCACCCACCCACCTGCATGCCCGCCATTCTCCTGCAGCCATTGGACAAGCGAGGCCACGCGGGACGCGATCGATGGCGGCTCTGGCGCTGGCGATGGTCGTACCGATGGCGTTGATGTGGTTGTCGCGGCAGGTGCGCACGGCGCGGATGGCGCGGAGAGAGACGCTGGTGCGGGGGCAGCGGACGGGCGGAAGGGGACGAGAAGCGGCGAGGGGCGGAAGAGGAGAAACAGGGAAGCGTGAGGAACTGGGAAAGAGAAGACGGGGGAGGCGCAGGGAGGAGCGAGAACGAGAGGCGGAAGGGTGCGGGGGCGATAGCGTGTGCGCAAGATTCCGTTGCCTGTCTTACAGAGCAGTCTCGCGCGCAGGAGGGCCGCTGGCGCGCGGAAGGCCGGCCCCGCGGCTCCGCCAATGCGCGACAAGCGCAGCGCTACAGCGCCCGCCCACGATCGCGCGGGCATCGCGGCAGCACTGCAGTTGCGGCGCGGCGAGGAGGGGGGAGAGATCGGAATTCAGTACGGTGGCATGGGATGGGTTGAAAAAAAGTGGTCGTGCTTGGCGGTAATCTCATTACTGAGTGACTCAAGATTCACGCATAACAGTAATTCTCATTACTTTTCTTCCAGTCCAGAAACTTGTGAGCTTGCCACCACAGTCCAGACTCACTCGTTGAACAGAAAATTCGTATTCCTTACAACATTCCCTGCGACAAACGGCAAACAGCGCACTAACTCGATGAAACTTGTGCAAAAACAGAAGCCGAAGGCTAAACCTTCACCAGCCTAGCAGGCTAGCACCATTTCCAATTGCGGGCCAGCGTGTCACTAGCATGGGTACTAGCAATAGGAGTGGTGGCATATCTTGAAAGGAATGTGCCTCGTGAAAGCTTGTGAGGAAGCAGCTCGGGTCGGGTCGGGTCGGGTCAGGTCGGGTGGGGTCGGGTGGGGTCGGGTCGGGTGGGGCTCTTAGATCTCAACCTGCTCGCGCAGACGGCGAATGGTACTGCGCACCGTGACTGCTGCTGCCGTACTGTTGAGCGGCAGAGCAGCGCACGCAGGCACAGAGAGCGGACGGACAGGACACACCGAGGGGGGGAATGCATTTCGGGGGGAGGGACGAGCAGGGAGGGAATGGAAGGAGAAGAATGAGCAGGAGGTTGATGGATGAGGGATGCACACAGCACACAGCAGCATGAACAGTGAGCATCGTGAACGAGATGCATAACATGCATGTGAATCACGGTGAAGAAAGCAGAGCGGTAGTGGCACTGAAAACACGCATGGCATAACCTTGAATTAGGCACAGAAAAGGTAAGGCAACGAGGTAGTGGCTTGGGGGAAGGCATGGGAGAAAAACGCCAGCTAAAGCAGCAGGTGCGGCAACAGCAGGCATGGCAGCAGCAGGCAGGGCAACAGAGGGATTGGCAGAAGGGAGGGCAGGCAGGAATCTCACTTGAGCACGTAAGCACCGCCGGCCTTGGTCTTGTTGCAGTGCTTGCAGTGCCAGATGCCCACCACCTGACGCTTCACAGAGAACTGCGGCGCCAAGACGGGTGGAGGGAAGGCAGGACAAAGTACTCAGTATGGGATGGGACAACACAGGGGTTGACGAAAGGGGGGCAACATGAGAGAAAGGACAAAGACGAGTGGCTCCAGTGAAGTCAGTCCACACTGTTCAATACGTACGCACAGTCAACACGGTCAACGACCCGCTCTTTAGCCCCATTCACTTCTCCCAAGCTGAGGCTACTGGAAACCCACCCTCTACTCCCATGCAGTCATCATGTAACATCCAACATTCCCCTGCACTGGTCCGCCCCCCATGCAAGCGCCGCGTTCGCCTTTCAACCCCAAACCAAACCATGCCCCATCTGGCGCATCCCCATCTAGAACCGGTGGCTGCCTGTCAACGTGTCCAGCTTCCTCCCCTTCCCCTTCAGTCCTTAACGGGCAACCTTGCCAACTCAAGCACACACTATGGGCCTCCCCACCCGGCGTCCCCTTGGGAATTGCCGTCACGAAACCACCAACCAGGAGACTGGAGAGGAGTGGGCCCAAAGCATTGCCTGATCGGCGAATCGCGCCTCTACAACCCATTGCCATTGCTTCCGCTGCCACTTCGCCTCGTGGTCCCCGTCGCTCCACGCACCACCTACCAACCCATCGATCCCCCTATCGTTTCTTTTTATCTCGACCTGCGGTCTTCGCATACATACCCCGCTGCTTCCCTGCCCTCTCCCCCTATTCGGTGCTTCCCCTGCTCCTCTGCGCCACGCGCCCACCATCGTCGCATCCGGCTTGTCACATACCCCTGCTAACTACGATCACTGCAACGAACCACACCTGCTAAAACCCCCAATCCCCCCCCCACCCACCTCCCACCTGCATCTCTCCAACCCCTACCCTTCCCCCCACCCCCCCCTCTCCCCCACTCCCTCCCCCTCCACTCCGGATTCTTCCATCCACTCCCTGCCACCCCGCAATCCAACGGCACAGTACGGTACAGTGCGGTACGGCACGGCGCGCACCTTGCCGCAGAACTCGCAGAAGTACTTGGCGTGCTGGCTGACCTCCATCTTCTTGACCTGCTTGCGCAGCGACGCGCCGTACCGCGTGCCGTACTTGCCCACGATCCCCGCCTTCTTCGTCCTCTTCGTCTGCGCACGGACAAGAGGAGGATCAGCGGCGGGAGCGGGAGGGGAAACGGATAGCGGCGGGAGTGGGAGGGAGCGGAAACAGGGGGGTTTGAGAGGGCTGTGGGTCGGGAAACAGAGGGGAGTTTTGGGCGGGATGAATCATAGGCGAGGAATTTGAGAATCTGATTGTTTACGGGGCAATGAGGTACTGGTCCATGGCTGTTAACGCACGCGCGATAGCGGGGTTTAAAACCTGGCGACCGTGTCACGGTAGTCTGAAGAGCTGCGGAAAACGCGGGAAAGCGAGAGAGAAAATATCGCCTTCCAAATCTATTCGAGTAGTCTCAAATTGCGCGAACGTGTCGCTTCCCGCACAAATCACGGATTGCAAATGGACCTATCACGACGAAAGGATCCGTCGTCTCACAGGCGACTAGCATAAACAAGAGAAGAATAGACGGACGGGTTGAAAGGATGCGGCAAGGAGCTGACCATCTTGTCGAGTTGCTCGTGGAACGCGGCGAAGTGGCGTGATGCTACAGAAAACGCGAGTTGATGGAGAGTGGAAGGAGAAAGAGAGAACGGAGAGCAGAGGAGGTTTGAAATAGAGGGAGAGGGGAGTAGAGAAAGATGGGGGACAGGGGCCATACGCTTTGCAAGCGAGCTCTCGTAGATATTTCCAGTGAGTACATGAGCTTTCAATTCCGCTTACGTTTATTGTGCATTTGGAAACCCAACCATACTTTGATCGACGCAGCCTCACATTTCTGGCGAGTCAGTAGCGCGGATACAGTCGACCTGCTCCCACAGCAAAACTTTTATATCGAGTCAGGGCTGTTCAAAAACAAAATACCCACGTCGGATCAGGCAGGACAGGATCGCTACACCCGCCCAACACACCCATGCTAGCGTCACAGCCACTTCCCCCCAGCACCATTTTCGCGCGTCACGTCACGACTCACGGGCCGAACCGCCGAGTGCACTTCCTTTACCATTCTCTCTACCGGTGGAGCACCGTTATTCTCTCACGCCTGATCGCCTCGAGCTTCTCGTTTCGCTCGCGTCCGCCGCGCCACGGCCTTCTCTCTTCGCACCTCCTTCCCTCCCTCTCCTCTTCCTCCCAGTTCCCACTCCTTCGCCGTTCTTTCCAATACCTCCATTCCCGTTCCATCATGCCCCGGCTTCTGGGCTCACCGCATCTCACCGCTTCCCACGCCGCGTCACCGCGACTTCCGCCTTCCCAAGTCTTCGAATCGCGCGCTTTGATTGCGTCAGGCGGATGTCTAGGCGGACAATGGGGTAAAACTCTCCGCCGCGGCATTAGCACGGAGATTGACTGGGGGAACCGCGGAAGGCAGGGCAGTGCGGAGAGCTCTGCGGGGCGGAGTTGGGTGGAAGGGCGGAGCAGGCGGAGAGGGGTGTGTTGCGCAACGGGGACAGGGGGGAAGGGATTCGGAGGGGGTCAGGGGATTGGGGAGAGCGCAGGCGGGGCCAAAGGGAGCAGTGCATCAAAGAAGGAAGACAAGAAGCAAGAGAGCGGCGCGTTTGGGGGCTTGGACTGGAGAGAAGTGGCCCGCCCTGCTCCTCCCATGCTGGATCTGTCCAAGCCACGGGTGAGAGCCACGTGCTTTTCGTGCTCTGAATGTCGTGCTCGGGATTTCTAGCACTGAACTTAATCATAGGTATGTTGGCTTCCCTGGTTTTCCCTGGTTTTCCCTGGGCTTCCCCGGGAATTCCTGATCTTTCCTGATCTTTCCTGATTTTTCCTGATCTTTCCTGATCTTTCCTGATCTTTCCTGATCTTTCCTGATCTTTCCTGACCTTTCCTGGTCTTTCCTGGTCTTTCCTGGTCTTTCCTGGTCTTTCCTGGTCTGCTTATCGTTGCTTCTCACTCCTCTTCGAGTTCCGTGCGCGTCTGGCTGGCAGGTGTATTATTTCGCCCTCGCCAATGCTTACAGCCTCATGTAAGGCCTTGCCCTTGTCATCCTTCCGTACCCCCCCTCCCCTCCTACCTGACTTCAATCGTTAGGTTGCTGTTGATTATTTGTCTCAGTCTCATGACTCTCCTCCGCAGCTACGGTCTTTTTCGTTCATTGATTGCTCTGCCTTGATCCGGCTTGCTCTGGCTTGCTCTGGCTTGCTCTGGCTTGCTCTGGCTTGCTCTGGCCTGCTCTGGCTTGCTCTGGCTTGCTCTGGTCATGCAGCCTGTCACCCTCAGTTATATTTTCTGTGCTGCATGAACCCATCCTCTCTCAGCACCTTTTACCTCTCTCTCTCCGTCTCCCTCCCTCACTCACTCCATCCCTCCTCTCTCACTCCATCCCCCGTCCCTCTGTCTCTCTCTTCCCCCCCATGGCGCCAGGGACAAGGGCGCGTTGCTAGAGGAGGTGCTAGCAGACGGCATCAGGAGAAGCCAAAGGTACGCCCCTCAGCCCCCCCTCAGCCCTTCCCGGTCAACCTGCCTTGTGGTACCCGCACTGCGTTCAAATCTAGAAAACCCCTTGGTAGCGCGAGAACAAATGCATGCTGATGTCTGGGCGAAGTAGCGCTGCCAGCACATGTTCATGTCCCCTGGGTCCCACACACACACACGTGCACGCCATTCTGGTTTCCCACCTGCAACCCACACTTTCTGTTCGCGCAAGGGTGGGCGCGCGCGTGAAGTGTGGATGGTGATGGCGCCTTGAGGCGCCTTGAATTTGAGTCATTTGAACACTCGTACTCTGTCATTTGAGTTGGACCAACTTCTGTGGACTGTTCGCGCAGGGGTGGTCGTGCGCGTGACGTGTGGATGGTGATGGAGCCTTGAGACGCACACCATTCCGGTTTCCCACCTGCAACCCACACTTTCTTTTCCCGCAGGGGTGGGCGCGCGCGTGACGTGTGGATGGTGATGGAGCCGGCATTCCTGGACCATCCATCCCTGGCATCACTCAAGGCGGCCATTCGCCCGCCCACTGCTGCAATTGTCTCCACCAATGGCGACTGGATGCTCACCATTGTGCACGAAATGCTGCCGCAGGTGCCTCGTTTTCCTCCTCCTCTTTTGCATGGGTGTACTCTGGATGCTTGTCTTCTGGTAATTGTTTCGAATCAAAGAAATGTTTACACAATGCTAGGGCTCAGGGGGTTGTTCTTTATGCAGCATATCCATTTTTTTTTCCCTTGTCAAGACAACACTGCCTTTGCTCTTTGTGCAGCATATTCGTATATTTTTTCTAACCCTTTTTCCGTCTTGTGCTATCTCTCCAGGCTACCATAGGCAAGTTCTACGCCCCAACACCACAATTGCCTGACCCGCTCAAGTCCAAGCTCACTCCAGGGGACGTTGCCCTGGGTGGTGGGGGTATCTGGCACTGACCTTGGCATGGCATTGTAGCTCACCAGGAGAGGGGACAGTGCAAGAAAGGTGTTGGATTTGTGATTGTGGCGAGAAAAAGTTGCTGTGCAGTGCTCTCACTCACTACCCTCCGTGTCTGTATGGAGGCAAGGCTTGCTCATAATTAGTGCACCTTGCTGTGCTTTATAATAATCATAAGGTAGTACACACATTTGATGATAACTGGTTAATAACTAGCGTGGGAATCACTACGTATACAGCTGGTTCGAAGTAAGGTAATTGCCCAAGGGCCTCCAAGATATTGAAGGCTGAAACCAGGCACAACCCCAATACCGGTACGGTAATACCAAAAGGGATCTTGCATTTACAAAGTGGACGAATATGAAGAATAAGAAAGAAGCCACTTGAGGACACAGGCTTGGATTGTGGCATCTACCGTAGCTACCCTGCCTGCCCTACACTGCCTTGCCTACTATCATGTCACTCTCAACACCGGTCCATTCCATCTCCTCCCTTGCTGCTGTACCCGTATGTGAGGCCAGTCGAAACGATCCATCCTTTCTTTTGAGTCGACTCAAAAGTCAACGCTGGTCCGTTCCATCTCCTCCCTTGCTGCTGTACCCGTACGTGAGGCCAGTCAACAACGATCCATCCTTTCATCCACTCCCATCCCATGCCTCTTGTCCCCTCCTGCGATTAGTGTCCGTCCTTCTTCCCCTGCTCCTCTTGCTCTTCACGCTCCATCAGGGCAGCGGCAGCAGCGATATCCGGTTGCAGTTTCGCCAGCGCCACTTGCTGAATCACCTTAGAAAGGCTTCCCCAGTCAATGGGCTTAGTCAAATACCCATCCAAACCCATCTCTTCCAACGTCCCCGATGCCTGTGTGAGCACATCGGCTGTGAGTGCAAAGATGGGTATGCGGCAGAGAGGAGCAGGAAGCTCACGAATAGTGCGAGTTGCCAGGAGTCCATCCATCACCGGCATCTGAAGATCCATCAGAATCATATCATATCCGCCGGCCGCCCCGGCGGTACCCCCTGCGGCGGCGGCTGCAGCAGCTGCTGCATCGGTGGCAGCAAAGGCTGGGGGTTCAGTGGCTTCAAAGGAAGCAGAAACTAGAGAGCGAGGCGGGGCAGCAGCTGCGACCAATGGTCCTCCTTGCCCTCCCCGTCCTTCTCCATTGGTGCCTGCTCCCTCGGCTGCTCCCCCTTCGCCCCCTATCGCTGCCCCGGGCCCATTCATACGCTGAAGAGCCTCCACTGCTAGCTTGCCATTCGCGACCACATCAACCTGCACGAGGAATGGCGGGGCAGGAGGGAGAAGGCGAGAGGGGAGCAGGTGGCAATGGGGAGATCTTTTAAACAGCTCAAGGATTGAAGAGCCTCCACTGCTAGCTTGCCATTCGCGACCACGCCAACCTGCACGAGGAGTGGTGCGGCAGGCGGGGAAGGGGAGAACAAAGGAGGAGGCATGGGGAAGGGGAGGGAAGACGGGAACAGGGGACAAGAGGAGGATAGCAGAAGGAAGGAGTTGAAAGGGACGGAACGTTGGTCAGTGGGAGCAGGAGAAGACAGAGAGAGATGAGGAGTGCTTCCAAAACAATGCATGGATCCTCAATCCAAGACATGCCTGTAGTGCCTCTGCATCCTCTTTTTCATCAGCTCCACTCCACCACACGCATACAGCCCTGTCCCTGAGCCGCCTCAACCTCACAAGGCCCTCACAAGCCCCCTCACAAGCCCCTCACAAGCCCCTCACAAAGCACCAAAGCTGTTGCCTGCACAATAAGAGCCTCCACACATATGTACCTGGTGCCCGTAGTGTCGCAGCATCTTCTTAATCAGCATCTGATTCACCGCATTATCCTCCGCAACCAGAACATGCAGCCCACTCCCTCCCGCTCCCCCCACCTGCGACCGCAGCGCACTCCCCCCTCTCCCCTCCCCCTCCACCGTCCCCATCCCCCCTCCTTCCTCCACCCGGAACCTCTCCGGCCGCTGCGGCGCCAGCAGCGGCACCGTAAACACAAACGTCGCACCCTTCCCCACCTCGCTCTCGATCCAGATCTCCCCACCCATAGCATTCACAAGCCCTTTGCAGATAGCCAGGCCGAGGCCTGTGCCTCCGAACTTGCGTGTGGTGGAGGTATCAGCTTGTGAAAATGACTTGAAGAGCCGGCCCTGCTGCTCTGGGGAGAGTCCTATGCCTGTGTCCTTCACCCTTACTTCGTACCACAGCCGCGGCCGATGATCCTTCTCCTTTTCCTCCTCTTCCTCGTCATCCTCTCCTTCTCCTTCCTCTCCCGAGCCCTCGCCCTCCCCCTCTCGCTCATCTCGGCTACTGCTGCCTTCCTCTTCCTCTTCCTCTTCCTCTTCCTCTTCCTCCTCCTCTCCCTCTACTTCCTCCCCTTCCTCGTCCTCTTCTTCGTCCTCTTTCTCCTCCCCCTCCCTCTCTCCCTCACTCGTCTGCACTTCCTCTCCCACGCGACCCTTGTCACATCTACCTCCTCTCCCCACTTCCTCCTCATTCACCTCCTCAAACTGCACCTTTGTCCTGCTTCTCCCCCTCCTCTCTCCATTCCCACCACCCCCCATGCTGCCATCCTGAGAACTAGCCTCCTCCACTCCATGCCCTTCATCCGCCCTCCCTGCTCTCAACCACGCACTCAGCCCCACCTCTACGTCCTTCTGCTCCTCCTGCCCCTCTTGATTCTGCTTTTCTTGCTCCTGGCCCTCTTGCTCCCGCCCCTGCTCCCGCTCCTCTTGCTCCCTCACAGCCTCCACAGCAGGAGGCGAAGCGAGGGTGAGAGGCGAGGAGCAAGGGGACCGGGCAGGCAACGACGAGTGTGACGGAAACCGCTTTCTAGCAGAGAACATATTCGTGGGCGATGGAGGGGTTTCAGGGGAGCGAGAGGCAGGGAATCCAGGTCTGAACGCGTGAGAGGGGGTGAGTGAGAAGGAGGTGAGAGGCGAGTGGGTGGAGGGGAAGGTGGAGGAAGCAGGGTTGGCGAACGGGGAGGTGCGGCGCCCAGGGGTGCTTCCAGCAGAGGCTGGTTTCTGTACGGGCTGCCTTGTTACGTTGATCCTCAGGCCTCTCTCTCGGGGTAGATCGTCCACAAACAAAGGCGAGGTGGGTCGTGAGGAGGAGGCGGGAGACATGCCAGTTGGTACAGGTCCTTTGATGGTATCAAGGGGAGAAGCAGCACCGGCGGGGCTAGCAGAGGCAGCTGCAGCAGCACCACCAGCACCACCAGCAGCAGCACCACCAGCACCACCAGCAGCAGCACCACCAGCACCACCAGCAGCAGCACCACCAGCACCACCAGCAGCAGCACCACCAGCACCACCAGCACCACCAGCAGCAGCACCACCAGCACCACCAGCAGCAGCACCACCAGCACCACCAGCAGCAGCACCACCAGCACCACCAGCAGCAGCACCACCAGCACCACCAGCAGCAGCACCACCAGCACCACCAGCAGCAGCACCACCAGCACCACCAGCACCACCAGCAGCAGCACCACCAGCACCACCAGCAGCAGCACCACCAGCACCACCAGCAGCAGCACCACCAGCACCACCAGCAGCAGCACCACCAGCACCACCAGCAGCAGCACCATTGCCATCAGCAGCAGATGAAGCTCCCCCTGAAGCTGTTCTTCCTACAGCCTCTGCGTCTCCAGAACCAACGTTCCCTCTCATACCCGGACAATGCCCGCTCGTGCTAACGACTTCTTCTCTTGCTCTCGAGCCCGCAACAGGCGCCGCCACTGCTCTATCCTCAATGCTTCGCTCTGCTGCCACTGCTCTCCCCTCTGCAATTGCAGGCAGCGTAGAAGCAGTAGCAACCGGAGCAGCAAGAGCAGGAGCAGCAGGAGCAGCAGCAGGAGCAGCAGGAGCAGCAGGAGCAGGAGCAGCAGGAGCAGCAGGAGCAGCAGGCATAGATGCAGTAGCAGGCACTGCTTGACCATGAGAAGGGTCCCAGTGTCTTGCCACACGTCCCTTCTCTGCAGCCTGCTCCCTCCCCTCACTCACGCCCTCTAATCGCCCCAACCCCCCAATTCCTGCTGCTGCTCCTCCTGCTCCTCCTGCTCCTCCTCCTTCCGCCCCTCCCGCTCCTCCCCCAAATGCTCCTCCAGCTGCTGCAGCAGCAGCAGCAGCAGCAGCCTCTGCCTGAGCAGCAGCCGCTGCAGCAGCAGCAGCGACCGCAGCAAAGGCACCCCCAGGTTGAGCCCCACCCATGCCCACGCCTAAGCCCATGCTCTTTCCTGTGGGCCTGTGTCTGTCCCTCCCACTGATACTCCTCGCCATGCTCGTCCCTTGCTGCTCCTTGCGCTGCTGCTGATTCCGCCCCATGCCCCCCATGCCCCCCATGCCCCCCAGACCTCCGATCTCTGCCCCTGCTCCTGCCCCTCCTCCTTCCCCTGCACATGCACCTGCTGCCTCTGCTCCTCCTGCTACTGTGCCTGTACCACCACCACCACCACCAGCAGCCACTGTGGGGTCTGTTTGGGCGAGGGCGGAACCAGGGGAGGCGAGGCTGAGGGAGGAGGCGGAGCGGGGCATGAGGATTCTTTTCCACGTGATGGTCACGCCGCCCTGCTCTGTGAACTTGATGGCGTTGCTCACCAGATTCGTCAGCACCTGAAACAGGGATCCAAGAACGCAAGGGGGTTGCGAGACATGAGATGTGACGGCTTTTGATGCGCCTCACAGAAGCAGCGTTCTTTTCCACGTGATGGTCACGCCGCCCTTGCTCTGTGAACTTGATGGCGTTGCAGGGTATTCTTTTAGGATTCTCAAAAAGCTGCAGGGTATTCTTTTAGGATTCTCAAAAAGCTGCAGGGTATTTTTTTTGGATTCTCAAAAAGCTGCAGGGTAAGTTATTAGAATTCTCAAAAAGCTGCAGGGTAATTTTTTAGAATTCTCAAAAAGCTGCAGGAATTTTTTTTAAAATTCTCAAGACAAAAACACGCTTTCACGACTGCCTATCCATGCGCACACACTTGCATATACACGGACAGGACAGAGCCAGCTTTTAATGCGCGTCAAAACACAAACTGGGTTTCCGCAGCTGATACCACCCGCGCAAACAAGCGTGTAAAAGACAGAGAAGGAGGCCAAGGCATGCGAAAGCAAGAACCCGCCCACCTGTCGCAAGTGGTTAGGATCGCCCCTGACAGCCTGCTTTTGAGTCGACTCAAAAGCACCCACCTGGCGCAGGCGGTTGGGGTCGCCCCTGACGGCCTGCTCCTTGACATTTGGCTTGTTCACGGTGAGCGATAGATGCCGCTCCTCCACCCGCCCACGGAACAGCGCTGCCACCTGGTGGGTCGTGGGGGTAGTATGGGCCACGGGAGTGGAGATACGTGCAGGTAACGCAGGAGTGGCAGGAGGGGATAAAGTCAGGGAAACGTGGTAAGCAGGTCAGGGCAGAGGCAGAGAGGTGGATTAGAAGAGAGATAGGCAGAGCAACAAAGAGTTGGAGAAGCATAGCGACAGAGAGACAGAGAGGTGGGGAGGGACAGAGCGGCAGGAGCAGCAGAGCACAGATCAACAAAGAGGCGACGATGCATACCTGGTCGAGGAGCTCGGAGATGGAGAAATCGGCTTCTTCGAGGGAGAAGTTGCCGGACTCGATCTTGGAGAAGTCGAGAATCTCGTTCAGCACCTGCATGAGGCCCTCCGCTGACCCCTGCATCACCTTCACCAGCCCGTTCTGCTCCGCTGTGAGTGGCGTCAGACGCAGCAGGTCTAGCATGCCCAGCACGCCTGCAGGGACAGACATGGGAGAGGGGAGAGGGGAGAGCGTCAGGAGCATGAGGCCCGCTGCTGACCCCTGCATCACGCGCACCAGCCCGTTCTGCTCTGCTGTCAGTGGCGTTAGGCGCAGCAGGTCTAGCATGCCCAACACACCTGCACGCACGGGCATTGGCATCGGTGCACAAAAGGGGAGGGGGAAGTGAGAGGCGTGGGAGGCATAACGCGCAGCAGGACATTCCTTTTTCTTTCTCCTTTTCCCCCTCCTCTCCCTCACTTTTCTCCTCCCTCACACCTCGACTGGCTCACCAGTCATACGTGTCTGTCAAAATTCTCTAACCTTCCCCCTTTTCGACCATCAGTCATGGCGCCTTTTGAAAATTCTCAAAACCCCCCCCACTCTCTCTCACCTGTCATGGGCGTCCTAAGCTCGTGGCTCATCATGGCGAGGAACTGCGCCTTGGCCTTGTCCGCCTGCTCCACCGCCACGCGCGCCTCGTGCTCCGCAGTCACGTCGTCAAACAGCCACACGCGCCCGTGCGTGGCCTCGCTGCTCACCGGGTACGACTGCACGCGCACCACGCACCACGGCTCCTGCACGTGCCACACGGCTTCCACGCTGTCGTGCGGGAAGGCCGAGACCGTGCGCAGCCAGCTGTGGTGGCCGGGAGGGAAGGGAATGCAGGAAACACGGCTCTGTTTTTTGCACTACTCTCTTTTTCTTTTCATTGAGAACGGCCCTACCGTGCGCGCCTGAAGGCAGGAGAGGTGGCAGGAAGGAGAAAACAAGGTACGAGACTGGGAGTGGAGGGATGAGCGACACACATGGTACTGCTGACATGGGCATCGGCACATTGGCATGGGCATAAACATGGGCAAAAGCATCGGCATAGACATGGGCATGGCATGGATTGGTACCGGAATATTTCAGTGGGCGTGGAGGTGTGTTGCACGAGAGCCTTGAAGGCTGCTGCGACCTTCACTGGACTGAGCTTCCCCGGCCTGACAGGTACAGACCAACAGCAGGGGATGCAACACAGTGGGGATGGGGATGGGGATGAGGATGAGCTTTGAGACGTCTCAAAACGCAAGAGTCCAGAAGGCTGCTGCGACCTTCACAGGACTGAGCTTCCCCGGCCTGACAGGCATGCAGGGATTGGGATGGAAATGGGGATGGGGATGAAACGGAGGTGGAATGACAGAAAGCCACCCATTCCCGTTTCCTCATCTCAAATACTCGCACCATTAAGGGCACACCAAAAACCATCTCAAAAAACACACGATAACTCACCCTGCGAGGTCAGCAGGTCAGCAGCAGCGGGGTTGATAAGACACGGCCCCATGCCATCATCCACAAACACCATGGCCTGCGGCATGCATGCCGAAAAGATTGCCCCCAAGGAACACCAATACCAGACGACACCAAAACTCACGCTGGAAGGTCGAATAAATCAGCAGCAGCGGGGTTGATAAGGCACGGCCCCATGCCATCATCCACAAACACCACGGCCTGCGGCATGCGCGCGAGAATAGCGTCGAAGCGCCGCCCCATGCGCTCGCAGCACATGGCGCGCACGCGGTTGGCGAGCAGCAGCGGCAGCGCCTGCACTGCATCGGACATGATGTCCTCTGCTGCCCTCGGCACACGGGAGGGGTCCGCCCAGAGCGCGTAGCACAGCCCGTCGTAGCTGGGGGGGGGGGCGGTAGGTGACAGAGTGACAGAGGGAGCATTGGAGGGAAGGATGGCTGGCGGCAAAGCAACGGTTACATGGGAGAGACGGATTGCAGAAAAGGACGGGATGGTAGCATGTGCAATCAGCAGTGCAGTGGGTAGCAAGAAGAAGCAGCAGCAGCAGCAGCAGCAGCGTACCCCTCGGCATGGAAGGACGTGGCGAGGTAGCGACGGGGGCGGGCACCGAGAGCAGCCGTGATGACACTGGGCAGGAGCAGACGGTCCGTGTTTATTAGCTGGCAGGTGGGGCGAGTGGAGGTGAGAGCAAGGAAAGCAGAGAGAAGAGAGGAACGGATTGAGTCAGCAATATTCTTCTCCAAATTGTCTCAAATTTGCACGGTACTCCTAGCCTTGGTCCTCCGTAAGGCAGCAGAGCCATCTGAGAGCAACCTTACATTCTTTTCCCCCACGTGACCACTTTCCCATTTGGCCTAGCCCCCTCTCCCCTCTCCCCAAGGATACCTTGCCGTGCGACATGTTGAGGATGGTCTTGGTGAGGCGCACGGGCAGGGAAACAAGACCCGGCGGGTGACACAGAACCGTCTCCGCAATGCGGTTATCGCTCTGAAGCACCGCCGCAATGGTGATATCCGACTGCAACGCACACCCCACCGCCGACAGCACAGACTGCGGCAGGTGGAAGTGCGCGTTGCTCGTGTCCCCCTCCACTACTGCTGCCGCCGCCTCCTCTACTGCAGCCTCCCCTGCAGCCGCCGCTGCTGCTGCTCTCTCTCCCCGTCCCGATCGCTGTCTTGCTCCCATTCCCCACCCGTCTCCTCCTCCTCCTCCTCCGCTGCCCCCTTCCCCTCGTTGAAACCCTTCCACCGCATCTAACTTCACCTGTAGCGCCTGCAGCCCTTTCGCTCTATCCCTACCTTCCATTCCATTTCTTGGAACCATGTCCGTTGATGTGCCATCACCACCCCCTCCACCTCCTCTCGCTGCTCCCTCTGCTGCTCTCCTCCCACCCTGCGCCTCTCCATCCCTCTCCCTCCTCTCCCTCCTCTCGTCTTCTCCCCCATCCGACTCCCAATCTGACTCCCATTCCGACCCTGATTCCCAATCCGATTCTTCCGCCTGCCGCCCCTCTAAACCCTCGTCCTTCCCCTCCCATCGTCTTCTGCTCGCATCCCCCCCTCCCCTGCCATCTCCCCCCACACTCTCTGTACGCAACTCCGCCCCCCCGGCCCCGTCACGCACCCCTTTCAACCGCTCCGAACCGAGCAGCACTCCTGCCGCGAAATTCTCGTCCACCTGAGTTTCATCCCTCACACCCCCCTCTCTCCCACTCCCCAGCCTCACACCCCCTGCCTCTCCCCACGCCCCATCCCCTCTACCCCTCCCAGCCACACCCACACCACCAAAACCCCCCCATCCCACACCCGCACTCTCCAGCCCCAAAGGCACCGCCAGCTCACACCCCCGTTTCTCAACCCCCATCCCTCCTCCCTTCCTGCTCGCCTCGTCTGCTCCCTCGGCTCTCCCCCCTCCGCTCTTCACCACAACCTCCTTGCAGGTCCATTCACCAGCCGCCTTACCCTGTGAGGGTATTCCAGGTAGATCGTCCAGCAGAGCTAGTAGACTCGCGGGTAGAGCGCCCTTAGGAGGAGCCCATCTCATCGCCCCTGCCGCTCCTGCTGCCGCTCCTGCTGCCCCTGCTGCTGCTCCTGCTGTTGCTCCAGCTGCTGCTGCTCCTATTCCTGCTGCTCCTGCGGCGCCCTGTGCCCCCTGTCCTCCTGCATCTGCGCTCGCCCCCCAAGATCCCCCCACCATCCACGCCGGAGTTCCTGCTGCCGACTTTCCTGCCGCACCCTGTGCCCCCTGTGCCCCCTGTGCCGCTTGTGCTCCGTGTGCCCCCTGTGCCGTCTGTCCTCCTGCATCCGCTCCCGCCCCCCAAGATCCTCCCATCATCCACGCCGGAGTGCTCGCTACTGTCTTTCCTGCCGTACCTTGTGCCACCTGTGCGCCCTGTCCTCCTGCATCCGCTCCCGCACCCCAAGATCCTCCTGTCATCCATGCCGGAGTGCTTGCTGCCGTCTTTCCTGCCGCACCCTGTACCTGCTGTGCCGCCTGTGTGCCCTCCGCCCCCTGTGCCGCCTGTCCTCCTGCATCTGCGCTCACCCCCCAAGATCCGCCCATCATCCATGCTGGAGTGCTTGCTGCCGTCTTCACTGCAGCACCCACCGCTCTCCCAGAGGCTCCCCATGCGTCCTGCACCCCACCACTCACACCTGGAGCTGCATGTACGGAGGGGGGGGCGTTGGAGGCAGGAGGCCAGGGAGGGGTATGAGAGGCTGGAGGCCAGGCAGGGGCATTAGCAGCAGTGGGCCACGATGGAATCATGTGGTTTTCCCCCTCCCACACACCATTCAAGCCCCCGCCCGCTTTGAGCTCCGCCCCTGCATCTCCATATCGCCCCTTCGCTGGACCTACATCACCACCACCGCCACCACCGCTGCCGCCACCAGCACCACCAGCAGCAGCAGCGAATTCTCCCCCCACCTCCAAACCTTCCGTAAGCTGCCGTACAGCCCTCACACGCCCGCCATCCCCCTCCTTCTGCTCCTTCTGCCCCCTCTCCTCCCTTTGCTCCCTCTGCTCCCGCTGGAACTCTTGCCACTTCTGATGGGGATACCCTGCTGCTGCACTCCCCTCCCCTCTCGCATCCCCAACCCCAACCTCAGGCCCACGCCCAAGCACCCTCCCTGCCTCACTCCTTCGCAAGTCGTGAACCCGTAACGCCCCAGTAAACGGCATTTGAGGCGCCTCTAAGGTCCTTCCCGCCCCTGACGTGCCAGCGCCGCCGCCAGCACCACCAAGCTGCACCTTGTGTGTTGCTTCCGTCCCTTGCTCCAGCAACGGAAACAACGCGTCCTGCCCTCCTTCCAGCCCATGAAACTGATGCTCTGCCGCACCTGCTGTCCCTCCCGCCCTTCCGACCCCTCCCGCCCCTGCCGCTCCTGATGCCCCTGCTGCTTTTCCCCCCTCTCCCGCCGCTGCCTCTGCTGCTGCAGACGCAGCCACAACAGCCGCAGCAGCAGCAGACAAGGCCTTGCTGGCCTTATGCTCTGCAGGCGAGACGGAGGCCACAGGAATGGGACGAGCGGGGATGGAGTCCGGTTGAGAGGGACGACGGGAGATGGAAGGTATGCCTAGCTCGGTAGAGAGCCTGGCTAGAGCCCGTGCGTCTGGTGCAGGTGGTGTGGCAACAGCAGAGGGTGCATGTAAGTCTGCTGCTGCCGTCCCTGCCGTTAATAAACCCTCCTTCACAACTCCAGAGGAGGAAACTGGCCCATTGACGCTCACGCCTTCTTCTCCCACCACTGCCGCTTCACCACTCCTCCGTCCATCCACCATTGCTGCGCCGCCTCCCTCGCACCCTCCACTGCCACTCTCTCGTGCTGTCATACAGCAGCCTCTGCTGCTCTCCAACGCAGCCTTAGCCCCGACCGCTTGCTCCATGTACCCAGCGCCGTCTGCAACTTCTTTCATATACCGATCCAGGCTCCACAGGCCATGCCTGCCTCTCTCGGTAGCTGCAGCGGCGGCGGCGGCGGCGGCGGCAGCAGCAGCAGGCGCGCACCGCTCAGCACCGCTCCGTACCAGCTCATGCCGCGCCACCTCCACACAGCTAGACAACGGTGGATGAGGCATCAACTGCGGAGGAGCAGCAGCAGCAACAGCAGCAGCACCACCACCAGCACAATCGGTTAATTCAAGTTGCCCCTGTTGCCCCCCTAATTCCACCCCTCTTTGAATATCACTCCCTGGGTACCCAACCCTCTGTACCTGTTCTCCCCCTCCTTCTTCCAATTCGGCCCCTCCTTCCCTCCTACTCCCCTTCTCTGTCCCCCTGCCTCCCCCTTCCCCTCCTCCCCCTCCTCCCCCTCCTCCCCCTCCTCCTCCTCCTCCTCCTCCTCCTCCTCCTCCTCCTCCTCCTCCTCCTCCTCCTCCTCCTCCTCCTCCTCCTCCTCCTCCTCCTCCTCCTCCTCCTCCTTCTCCTCCTCCTCCTCCTCCTCCTCTCCACGCGTGCAGCAATCACCGCTGTCGGCCTAGCAGCAGTACCGCCGGCAAGAGCGCCAGCCGCACCATCGCCCACCCCACCCCGCGCATCCAACTCCGCGGAACGCTCACTCCCCGGGCCCTTGCTCCACCCTCCGCCCTGCACCTTCCGCCGCTTCGCAACGTGCGCCCCAGCGGAATCCGTGTTCGCCACTGCGCCCGCGCCCGCGTTCGCAACCGCGTTCGCGCCCGCGCCCGTGCCTACCGACAGCAGCGCGCGCAGACTCGGGGCCAGCGCGACCGCGCGCGGGAATTACGCGGAGAGGGCGCGCTGGGGCGGTCGGAAAAGCAGGCGGAACACAGATCGCGCGCGCGGACGAGGCGCAAGGGAGCGCGAAGGAGGAGAGTGGGAAAAGCGGCGGAAAGGAGACGAGACGGGGAACCAGCCGGTGGGTCCTATAGCGTAAGAGCGGCGCGTACGGTGGCAGTTTGCACGCAGACCAGGAGAAGATCACGCAACTATGCCTCTGCTTTAGCTTGTGCCCGCGATCTTGCTACGGTTGTAATCAATATGCCACAAATCGTTAGCCGCGTTGATTGCAGGCTTGTCTGACGACCGGTGTGCCGGAGCAGCTGACGGAATCCGTCAGGAAGTTCAAGAACGCGGATCTGACGTCAGAACGGCAGCGCGAGCCGAGTTAGGAATCAATCCCAGTCGTGCACCACAGGCCCCACAGCGATGGCGACTGTGCGGTGAAGCGCGGAGGGCGGGTGAGTTGAAAGGCGAGGGGAGAGGCGGGGAGGGGGAGGGGGATCCGGGGTGAAAGAGATGGAGAAAAACGGTGGGAAAGAAGGACGGAATTGCTGAGGGCAGGTGAGGGGTGACGGAGGAATGGAAGCAAGGTGGGGAGAAGGGGAGAGGCAGAGCGGATTCCGCTAGAAGGGAGGCACGGAAACGGCCGAGGCAGTGAGGGATGGGATGCTAATAAGGAGACAGCAGCGATGGAAGGGGAAGAGGACCGTTTGTAGTAAAAGAGAGGTGGGGAAACTGAAACTGATGATGGAAATTAGGCCTTGAACGGCTTTCGGTTAGTCGCTACTCCCGTTTCTGTTGTGAACCCTAATGAAAGATCGCGCTTTGATTGATATAAAAGGGAAAGAAAACAAGGAGGGATTGTGAGAAAAGAGCGAGATCGGGAGGAGAGAGCGAGGTAGACGGAGATATAGACAGGGGGTGGGACAGGGGTGAAGCAGAAAAGGGGAAAAGAGGGTGTGGGAGAAAGAGACGACGATGATGGAAACGCGGCAGTGGGGACAGGCCTTTGTACAGTAACGCTTCATGGGAACCCGGGTTCGTGGAAGCAGGCGAAACTGCGGGTAACCTAAACAGGTTCTCGTGAATTCTCCGATCGAGACGTACCAGAGCCTCTTTGAAAGCCAAGGCCACGGCTTTCTGCGTGCACCGTAAAACCTCGAGGCCAAGGCGTTGAAAACTCGCTGATACTCCCAGCCAGATTATCCGCCATGGCGACTGAGGCTTAGGAATTACCCCAGGCGGAGACACACCCCTCGCTCCCGAATTATGAAGCTGCGTTGGCGTTGCCACCTGTCCCTTGGCATACCCCACCAGCAACACCTACACGAAAGGCTTGCGCAACGAAGATGGACGGAGAGCGGAGGAGGCTCTGAGAGAGGGCGGCGATGATACAAGGACAGACAAACGAGACGAGGATGGCAGGCAGCGGATGGATCGCCTTGAGGCACGCGTGCGATGGCTGTGTTGGACGAGCGGTGGGAAATGCTGGTGTCTTGCTGTCAGGAGCGGGAAGCCCAAAAAACATCATAGCGAATCGTGATTGTTTGTTATTTGTGTGGTCTAAACTGTTCACCGTCGTTCGGGTTACACAATACTACATTTCCGCTGCATCGCAGAAGTTCGCATGAAACATGAATACAGATAATGTAGGCAATTGCTTTAGTTCCTCAAGCAAACGAGGTGTAATGTTTTCCGCTTCAGGCACGTATGGCAGCAGTGTGTCAGTGGGCAATTCTGGAACAACTGTCGAAGAAGCACCCCATTCTTAAAATAAATTTTAATTGTCAAGCTGAACTGGTTACTGGTCTACGGTCGACGATAAATCAGGGTAGCCTAGCCCCACGCCCTGACTATCCAAAAAGAACTGCAAACTAGATTCTCTCGAACCCCTGAATCGAGATTTCATTATATAATATCTACACTCCGCTTACGACGAAGCGTGCCCGAGAATGCTGCAGTGGAAGGGAGACAATGTGAGACCCCATACAGTAATTGCCATTCTCTCGAAGGTGAGTAAAGCGATGAGTACACTTATGTTATGTTTCAGTAACGACAAGTTTCAGTTTTAAAATAAGCCTGCCTACATCTTACTTTTGATTGAAAAACAAGTCGGTTGCGGAAGTTATTTTTCCTGCAAAAGAATTACTGTAAGCTAACATTATTTCCGTTTAAAATTTCACTATCATACTCGTAGACCCGTATTCAATCCAAGATTTCCAGTGGTTATTACGGTAGTTTGGTTTGACTTGGTAAAACAATCGTCTCCAATATTATAACAAGAAGAAAAATATTCTGTTTTTTAAATTCACAAAAACAAATCTATACTAACAATTGCAGCCAATGTCAATAATGCTGCTCCATGCCAGAATTCCCCAAATAGATTATCGTGTTTGATAGTTTGCTGTACTTGGAAGATAAGCTGTCATAATACACTAGCCACCCAAAACCTCCAAGTATTCCCCAATCTCCCCTTCAACCCCGCCTAACCTCCTCCCTCCCCTTCCCACACCAATATTCGATGCCACTGTCTGGAAGCGAGCAAACCGCAGCTCGCGTTTCCTTCCGCGATTCATGCGAAAGACATGGTGATGGTAGTAATGTTACACATTGTTTCATTTCAGTGACCAATATAATTTATTGGTGGATCTTGTAGCCAGAATGAGCATCCCCCCCACCCACTCCACTTCCCCTCCACTCCCACCCAGCTAAGGAGCCCAGCTGCCCAGCCAGTCATTTAGTCCTCTCGACAGTTTTAGGGTTGGCCACATTATACCTTAGCACCACCCCACATTTCTCTCGTCGGTATCCCCGCAACGAGCGCCGCCACCTGCATTTGGTACTATATTTCCACCGAGCACCTGCTACCGACTATCTAAGCGGAAATCGCCATCCTAGGAGGCCATCCGGACGTCTAGGCGGCTGCCATTGCCATCCCTAGCTCCGTCACCCCGTAGGCCGTAAGCTGTGGCTTCCGCATCAGCAGAGACAGGGAAATTATTACTGCGCGTTTCGGTACATTGGAAGGAAGACAGTCGATTTGCAATTCTCAAGCGTCTATTTTATCCGCGAACACCTTACAAACATCACTTTTATCTTCTTCTCAATCTGGCGGAAATTGGTGGAATTTTTGGAACAAGCGTCCCATTTGCGAGCCGTTGGCCGTCGCGGCTTCTTAAGTCTCCGTTAGAAGGCTCTCCGGCTGTAGCGCATTGTCATGGCGAACCGTCGCAAGTCACTTGAGGTGCCAATCCTCGTGCACAACCGTCCATCTCTCGCCAGCAACGGTCTGAACAGCGTTGGCCGCGCCGCCGCGCCTAGATACGGAGACCGGGAAGACGGCGACTGGCGTAGACTGGAGCAGCAGCAGCTACAGCAGCAGCAACAGCAGCAACAGCAACAGTCCCGGGACAGAAACGACGAGCCGCAGCAGCGGTGGCAGCCGGCTCAGCAACCGGCCGTTGCTGACGGGGACGACTATTACGACGGCGGCGGCGGTCGCGCGTCCGGCGAATGCGATGATCTAGCCAGTAGCGGAGGCAGCGGCAGCAGCGACGTATGGGAGGGTGCGGACGATGGGTACGACGGGGAGCGGGATCCGCGCGCTTACGCGGACGGCGACTGGCGCGCGCAACAGGGGGGAAGAGATAACATAGCCCGCGGGGACTTGGGGATGGGCGGCGGAGGCGGAGGGGAGGCACGGGGAACGGGGGGAGGCGGACGCGGCGGCGGCGGCGGCGGCGGCGGCGGGGGAGGGGATGACGGGGACGCGCGGGGAGGGGGAATGGGGGCGGATTATATGGATGGCGCGGACGGGGAGGGGGAAGGCGGGGAGGGCGATATGAGCTGGGTGCGGTCGGTAGCGGGGCCTGATTCGGACGACACTGTGTGGGTGAAGCTTGCCCTCGTTGGCGACCCGGATTGCGGCAAGTCGAGCTTCATGGTGCGTCGCGGGCTGTGCGTGCTTGTTCGCTTGGCTTGTGCGCATGGGCATGTGGGTATGGCATGTGCGTATGGCATGTGCGCTTGGCATGTGCCCATGGCATGTAGGCATGGCATGTCGCATCGACGGCCCCCATGTCGCATGAACATGCCACACGCATTGCATGCGTCCACCCCACCCTTCCAGGCGCGTTTATTTGAAGACTCCGACACTGATATTGGCGCCAGCAGCGGGAATGGCAATGGCGTTGCCAGCGCGCCTGGCAACCGCAACAGCAGCAGCAGCGCCGCTGGTAGCAGGGTCAACGGTCGCGGCAGTGGTAGTGGCGGTGGTAGCGGCAGTGGGGGGGTACCAGTTGATGGGTTGTCAAACGGACAAGGGCAGGCGAGTAACGGAGGAGTGGGAGGGGGAGGAGGAGGCGGACCAACGGGGGTGTGGACAGCAGCGTATGCTCCAACAGTGGGAGTGGACTGTCACCATCACACCATCGCCCTGCCTGCCTCCCCCACCCCTGCCACCATCGCCATTACCTCCTGGGAACTCTCGGGTGCTCAGCTCACGCCCACTTCCTCGAATCCCTTGATGCCGTGCCATGCTGTGTCGGTGCCTTGCCTCTCATGCTGCTGCCCCTCCCCCTATTATCCTCCGCGCACACGCCAGGCTGTTGCCAGTTCGTTTCTGAGAACTCTCAAGTCTCACCTAGTGCCGTTCCCCTAATGCTGCTCCTCCCCTCCCCCGCTTCTCCTCCTCCCCCCCACCCTGTGCACACGCCACGCCAGGCCGGCGCCAGTTTGCGTCGCTGCTGCCGTTTGTGTGCAACGATGCGGCAGCGCTGCTGCTCTTCTTCGACCTCACGCGCCCCTCCACCCTCCGCAAGTACGTTACGTTGCTGCCTTCCTGCCTGCTGCTCTGCTTTCCGCCCCCTCTGCCTGTGCCTCTCTGCCTGCCTGTGCCTCTCTGCCTGCCTGTGCCTCTCTGCCTGCCTCTCTGCCTGCCTGTGCCTCTCTGCCTGCCTCTCTGCCTGCCTGTGCCTCTCTGCCTGCCTCTCTGCCTGCCTGTGCCTCTCTCCCTGCCTGCCCGTTTCTTGCTGCCAGGAGGTGCCTTTCGGACCAGTACGGGGAGAGAGAAACTCATTGTCTTTGTGTTGAAACAGGGATGGGAGGGAGGGTGCACAGGAGGGGGGTGGGTGGACGTTGGGGTGCATTGCAGGCACATGCTTGCCCCGATGGAGTGAAAGCATTGCATGCTACTTTTGAGTCGCCTAGAAAAGCCCACATGCATTTCTTCAGGCACCTCAATAAGTGTCTCACTTATGAGGCGCCTAAAGGATTGTCTCACTTGAACCAGTTGCGCGCCTCGATATAGCTAATTACGTATTTAAAGACATGCTTTTATCATGTGCACTATTCGTATGTAACTCACGCAGCACACGTTTCTTTCAAATCCCTCCATAATATTCACCGGCCCAAATTCCTCGTTACCCCACTTCAGCGAACCCGTCTCTTCTCCCTGCCCCTTTCTCTTCACCTTCCCTCCCCTTCTTTCTCTTCCATCCAAATCGCAGCATTCAGTCATGGTACCTAGAAGCTCGGGCCCACAACCAGGTACCTTACCAACCAATTAACCAACCAACCAACCAACACATCCCAGATCCACCACCCTCTTGCTTGTCTTGACTCTTGTCCCCAATCCTGTCATGTGCATTTCGCCGCTCGTCCTCACCACCACTTGTGTGCTGTGCCCCCTTCACATCCATGCTTCTTTCAGTCACGCTAATCCCGTTCTCGTCGTGAGCCCACCACAGCGCTCCTTTCAGGGTTCACGAAACAGGGAGAACTACATACTTCTCTCTTTGTTTGTTCCACTGTTCCCTCGTTGCGCTGGCCTTCCCCATCCTTCTGTGCTCTGCAGTGCGCACTTCCGGTGCTGGTGGGAACTAAGTTCGACCTCTTCTTGCTGCAAGCACAAGAGGCACAGCACCGAGTCACCAAACAGGTACGTGCGTATGTGTGTGGGTGTGTGTGCGTATGTGTTTGTGCGTGCGTGCGTGCGTGCATGTGTGTTGGGTGCAGCATTCCTCCCCACCATCCACAGCCCCTTTCTCCTCTATAACAATCACACGTCTCCCGTCCCCTCCTTTCCCTCCCCGTCTTCTCCATTTCCTCCCTCCCTCCCTCCTCCCCCCCTCCTCCAATCCTCTCAGGCAACGCTCTGTGCGAGGGCTATGCGGGCCCCCCTCGTGCTGTGCTCCGTGCCGCACAGAGTGAACGTGCACCGCGCCTTGCGCCTCATTTTTTTAGTGCACTCAAAACACGTTCCCTCCTCCTACCCGTCTGTCATGCCCCCCTCCTCCATTTTCTCAGGCAACGCTCTGTGCAAGGGCTATGCGGGCCCCGCTCGTGCTGTGCTCCGTGCCGCACAGAGTGAACGTGCACCGCGCCTTGCGCCTCATTTTTTTAGTGCACTCAAAACACGTTCCCTCCTCCTACCCGTCTGTCATGCCCCCCTCCTCCATTTTCTCAGGCAACGCTCTGTGCAAGGGCTATGCGGGCCCCGCTCGTGCTGTGCTCCGTGCCGCACAGAGTGAACGTGCACCGCGCCTTGCGCCTCATTTTTTTAGTGCACTCAAAACACGTTCCCTCCTCCTACCCGTCTGTCATGCCCCCTCCTCCATTTTCTCAGGCAACGCTCTGTGCAAGGGCTATGCGGGCCCCGCTCGTGCTGTGCTCCGTGCCGCACAGAGTGAACGTGCACCGCGCCTTGCGCCTCATCCTCTCGCGCCTCTTCAACCTCCCATCGCCGCCCCAGCCCTGCACCACCCGCGGGGAGCCACTCCTTTTCTTCCCATGACTCTCACGAAGAGCCCTATCAAGTTTTGAGACGTCTCAAATCTCTCATGGAAAGGCATAGGCCATGACTCCTTGAGGCGCCTCAAAAGTAGATGCCTGGTGTCGCGGTGCCACCCCAACCCTGCTCCACCTGCGGCAAGCCCCTTCTCTTCCCATGACTCTCATTACTCGCATGGGACCTGGACGTGCCTCGGAAGCCTTTTCATCGTCGTGGGTGCTACTTCTAGTGCTGCTGCAAATGCTGCTCTTGAGAAGAGACTTTGAAGCCATTATTGCGAGTCTTTCTTTGTCCGCCCATCCCTGCGCACAGCACCGCCTCTCGCCTCCCCTCCACCACCAGAGCCACAAACTGCTGCTGCCCCTTCCCCACCCAATTTCAGTCAAACACTCTCCTTCCACGCCCCCCTCCACACACGCATTGCCCCCTCCCCTCCCTCCGTTCCTTCCTCCCTTACTCCGTCTCCATTCCCCTCGTTTCAACCCACCTCGAGCATATAGTATTCTGCCTCGATAATCCATCCTTCCCGGCAATGTCCACTACCTTTTCTCTCTGAATTCCGGCTCCCCACCCTTCCCAGCCCTCCCTAGCCATGCCTGAGAGAGACCATGCACTCTCATACGGAAGCCTAGCATTTGCTCTGCCTTTTCTTTGTTTATGTGCTAAATGGTGGCATGGTGGAATTGAGGCTGAGGCAGGCTTTATTCTTGGGGATTTCAATTCAGCTTAAAAGACTGCCTGCCTGCCTGCCTCGCTGTTGCTGTTCCAGGCATCGCGCATGGCACTCATCCCTGCTCCATTTCAATCTGACTTACTGATTTGGCATTCGTATGTGGCGCAAAATCACCTGGCGCAAAAGCAGTGGATACATGTGGCTTTATTTTGATTAAAATTTAGTTCTTACCAGTTGAGCTATGGCCAAGTGAAAATAAATCTTGGTAGCAAATATTCTATAAATCGAATTAGGCAGAAGAAGCGATCATTTTGAAATGTTTCAGAGTGCACGCACGCACCATCACAAACATAGCACAAGTTTCACAGCACAAGCTACACTGAACACGATACAATCAGCCTGTAGCATGTTATGAAACTGCAAAGTGGTCTACCTGTTACCATGTGACACTTCAACGCCCAAGTTGGGCGACCCAACCATTTCCCCAACCCGTATGATCAATGGTACATACCGTACATGTACCGAAATTCTGTTGTAAATATGTACCACAACAATCACTGTATAAAGATGACCTACACCCCAACCATTATCACCACCACTTCTTCTCCTGCCTCTTGGCAATCTCAGCTGCAAGCTTGGCGAAATCAGCAGCTCCTGCATTGAGATCCTCTGCATCTGATGCCAGTTGCTGCACACAGGGGAGGGAGGGGACAAACAGCAACGGGCGGTGGGCACATGAAGAAAGCGTGTTAAGGCACCTCGAAGGTCGAAATCAGCAGCCACTGCATTGAGATCCTCTGCATCTGATGCCAGTTGCTGCACACAGGGGAGGGAGCGGACAAACAGCAACGGGCGGTGGGCACATGAAGAAAGCGTGTTAAGGCACCTCGAAGGTCGAAATCAGCAGCCACTGCATTGAGATCCTCTGCATCTGATGCCAGTTGCTGCACACAGGGGAGGGGGCAAACAGACAGCAATGGGCGGTGAGCACATGAAGAAAGTTTGTTAAGGCACCTCGAAAGTCATAATCAGCAGCTCCTGTGTTGAGTTCCTCCGCATCTGATGCCAGTTGCTGCATAAAGGGGAAGGGGCAAACAGACAGCAATGGGCGGTGGGCACAGGGCACATGAAGCAGGTTTGAGACAACTCAAAACGTGATGGGCAGTGCGCACGTGAAGAGATGAACTGAGTCAGAGAGGGAAGGCGGGCACACAGCAACTCGACAAATGATGATTGGGTTTTGAGAATTCTCAAAAACCAGGTGTGTATGGAGTGTGAGTTGGTGGGTGGCTGGCTTTGTCTTACCTTGAGTTTCTCGCCGCGCATGATGAGCTTATCTCGGGCATCTGCAGCTGCTGAGGCCGCATCCTGCAAGGTGGTTGGGAGCATAGGGTGGGAGCATGCAGTCAAGGCATGCAGTGAAAGCATGTATGAGCAGCGGCACAAAGGAAAAATACCATGAGGGATACTGATGCAAGAACAACGGCCAATGGGGCACAATGGAAACTACCCCAAACAGCACATCCCCTTCCCCCGCTCCCCCCCTCCCCTCCCGCCATTTTCTCCTTGCACTCCGCCCTGTTTCCTCTTCCCCACGCCACGGCCGCTAACTCTCCCCCCTCTCTCTCTCCCTCTTCCTCGCTGCCTTTCCACCAACCACTTACCGTGCCCTGCTGCCTCTTGGGGTACCCATAAGCCGCTCTGATCTCATCCGCCGTCCTCGTTCTCCCCGGAGCACCACCCGCCATCAATTCCGCCCTCATTGCCGCCGTCCCACTCGGCTTCCTCTCCTGCCACGACCCCCCAGCCTGGTGCGCACCCCCCTGCCCTCCTCCTGCTCCTGCTGCCGCCGGTTTGCCGAATCCAAAGAGGCTGAATATGCCAGTGTCGGCAGCAGGTGCGGGGCTAGCAGGTGCGGATTTTCCAGGAGTGGGCGCGGACCCAGGGGTTGTTGGCTCGATGACTAGAGCAGGTAGTCCTGTGGAGGTTGTCAGAGGCGTGTGGGGTGCTGTTGGGGGTAGAGGACAAGCAAGGGCGGGAGAGGGAGGGGAGGAGAGGGGTGGAGGGGAGAGGGGAGGGGATGATAGCGAAGGGAAGGAGAGGGGCAAGAGAAGGGAGAAGTCAAGCGTGAGGAGAGGCTGAAGAGAGGCGAATCTCATTTGCGAGTGCTTATAGCAGGAGGTGTGTACTTGGCGTGACAAAATGAAGCAGACAGAGCAGTTGAGCAAAAGAGAAAAGGAGAAAAGAGAGGTAGTTGAGGCGAGTGAGTGAGGGTGGTGGAAACGCACAGGGAGCCGGAGGCTCGTCCGCGTGAGGCTTGGAGAAGAGCAGGTCTTGGGCATCGGAGGGCGGGAAGGGCGTGGAGGCAAAGAGCGCTGGCAGCTCGGACGATGTGTGGATGGTGGGCGCTGCTGGTAGCTGCAGCAGCGCCTTGCCCATCGCCTTCATGTTGCCCAGGAACCCCTGTGTGGGAGGGAAGGAGGGAGGGAGGGAGAGAGTGAATGAGGGAGGGAGAGAGTGAGTGAGTGAGGGAGGCAGGGAGGCAGGCGGGCACGAGGTGGGTGACGAGCAAGAGAATAGGCAGTGCTGGTGGTGGAGGGCGACAGCAGCAGACGCTGCTCCTCCTGGGTCAGTTGCATCAGCCAAACAAAAAGCAGCAGCAGCAACAGCAACAGCAGCAGCAACAAGCGCAGCTGAAATGTGAGAGCACAGCGCGGGCGGGCATGACAAGCAGGCAGAGAGCACGTGCCTTGAGCTTGGCTTTGGCAATGTTGGCTGTGAGTGGCGCCCCTTTCTCCGCCCCAGCTGCTGCCGCTGCTGCTCCTGCTGCTGATGGGTGGTGCTGTGAGACTGGGGATGCGATGGTGGGCACGTGCAGGCGCGGGAGTGACCCTGGCAGGCTGTAATTGAAGAAAAGAGAAGAGAAGAGGGGGTAGGATGGGCGAGACGGGGGGACAGAACAAGTGCGGACAGGGTCGGGGATGAATGGGGAGAAGATGGGGGAAGAGGGGAAAGGAGTCAGTGGGGGTAAGGGGTGGAAAAAAGGAGGCTAGTGGAGGCATGGAAGGGAAAGGGGAGTGAGCAGGCGCAAGGAAATAAATACTGGAGGACGAGGAGGAGGAGGATGACGAGGAAGAGCAGGAGGTACAGCAGGAGCAGGAGGAGTAGGCTCACCCAAGAGCGTTCTCGTAAGCATAGAGAGACATGCGCACCATCTCCGTCTCCCCCTCCAGCTGCACACGGGTGGGGGAGTGAGTTCGTACAGAGAGGGCAGAAGCTTAGGAGATTCGAGACGGCTATATTTGAACCACTTTCGGAAATTTTCAAGATGGACATGCACACCGCTTCTTTTTCCCCCTCCAGCTGTACATGGGTGGGTGATTCGTAGGGTGAGAGCAGATTCGCATGGAATGATGCACATACTTTGCATCTATATTCACACGCACGCACGCGCAGTCGGATTCATAAGGTTACAGAGAAAAATCAGAGGTGAGTCCAATTCACACACACACACACACACACACACACACACACACACACGCACGCACGCACGCACGCACGCACGCACGCACGCACGCACGCGCACGCACGCACGCACGCACACACACACACACACACACACACACACACACACACACACACACAAAAGATCAAAGAAGAGGCTAGGAGTCTCTCTCACAAGGGCAATGCGTGCGTCGAGAGAGATGGCGGTGGTGGTGGGCATGAGCTGCGAGGGGTTGAAGGACCACCCTAGGTACTCTGAGAGCATTCCTCCAGACTCCACAGGGGCCAGATCAGGCAGCGTTCTGTGTGGGTTGGGAGGGAGGGGCGGGGAGGGGAGAGAGGGGATGGTTTTTGCGACGCCTTAACAGTCGACGGCTGGAAGGACCAGCCCAGGTACTCTGAGAGCATTCCTCCGGACTCCACAGGGGCCAGATCAGGCAGCGTTCTGTGTGGGTTGGGAGGGAGGGGCGAGGAGGGGAGAGGGGATGAAGTGGAGAGGAAGTAGAAAGAGCAAGGGGAGAAGGAGAGGAAATGGACGAAGGGAAGAAGAGGCGAAGGGCGGAAAGGGAAGAAGGAAGGGCAGGGAGGAAGGGGAGAGGAGCAAGGGTCTAAAGAGAAAAGGAACTAACAGTCGACCTGACTTCCATACAGCCCTACCGAAGATTAGCAAGAGACCGGGCGCTAAGAACGAAGACTTTTTGTATGGCCTCAACGGAAGAAAAGAAAGAGAGACCAACCTGACTGCCACGCAGGCTTTGCCGGATATGAGCAAGAGACCGGGCACAAAAAAGGGCATCTTTTTTTAAGCACCTCAACGGAAGAAAAGTCAGGGAAGCAAGGCCGACCTGACTTCCACACAGCCTTTGGCGGATAAGAGCATGAGGCCGGGCGCAAAGAAGGGCGTGACTCCAAACGACCCCATCCACCTGGCCTCCCTGTCTCCCTCCTCTGCTTCCTCAAACACCCGCACCTTCTTCAGCAGACTCACCGGCAAGCCCTGCCATGAGGGAGAGTGGGCGGGAGGGGAAGAGAAAGGGGGTTAGTTTACACATGTCTGAACACTCGATTGGCCTCCCTGTCGCCCTCCTCCGATTCCTCAAACACCCGCACCTTCTTCAGCAGACTCACTGGCAAGCCCTGGAAGCAGAGGGGGCAGAGAAAAAGGGGGGGTGGAGGAGCAATGAAGCAGGAGAAGACGGGATGGGGGAGTGGTGAGGGAGGGTGGCGTTTCTTTACTTGATCACACTCTTGTGCTTCCTCAGACACTTTTCATCCTAACCTCAACAGACTCAGAAAGACAAGACCCCCAAGAAACGGACGGATGGGGGAGTGGTGAGCGAGAGGACGGGGTGGGAAGCATAGAAGAAGACACAAATAAAGGATCCTCGCCTCTTGCTCTCGAGTCATTTCCCACCTTCCCAAGCCATTTCCTCCCATATCCTCTCACTACCCTCTCGACGCCCTCTCATGTGCCCCGTTCCCAGCCTCTCCTCAATTCGCTCGAATTTATCCCACGTACCTGTGGCAGGGTGGCAGCAGCGCAGAGAGCAAGGCACATGCGCGTAGCGAGCAGCACGTAATGCACTTCAGGAGCCACAGTGGGTATGCTCAGTGCCTCCAGTGACTCGTATGGGTCAAACTCCTCCTCCTCCTCTGCTGCTACTGCCTCTTCTTCTCCTTCTGCTCCTACTGCTGCCGGTGTGTCTAGATGTAGCTCTGTATTGCCACGACCAGCAGCACCACCACCAGCAGCAGCAGCAGCAGCAGTGGCAGAGGCAGTGGGAGTTGGCTTGGAGTCCACTGCGTGGACAGCAGCCGCTGCAGCAGCAGCAGCGGCAGCACCGCTGGCACTACCAGGGCCGGCAAAGCTCTGTGAAACAGCAGGCGACTTCAATCCACTCGCACCTGCACCAGCAGCCACCCCATCAAAGCCTCCTCCATCACCCACCCCGTGAGCACCTGCCTTCCCTGCGCCTGCTTTGACGCCTGCCGGCTGTGTGTGAACACTAAAACTCAAGCTACCCTTGGCGTTGATTCGGATGCCAATACGGTTCTTGAGTCCCCACCCGATCCCCGACTTCCCTGCTCCTGCCCCCGCCGCTGCCGCTCCCCCTGCTGCTCCCTCTGCCGCTGCCACGCCACCAGCAGCAGCGGCAGGGGTAGTGCTTTCCTTGTCTGCCAAGTCACTTCCCTTGCCAACCCTAGGGCTCCCAACAGCGCCCGGCCACTTATGCCGGCCAGGAGGTGCGGGCAGAGCAGCTTTAGCAGCTGCTGCCGCTGCAGCTGCAGCAGCAGCAACCTTAGCAGGGGGCAGAGGAAGCAGATTCGGTGGCGCTGCTGCTGCTGCTGGTGTTGGTGGTGCTGCTGCTGCTCCGTCTGCCCCGTCTGCTTCTGACTGGGGGTTTGAAGTGGTGGGAGAGGAGGCAGAGTCATGAGGGGTATCTGTAGCAGCAGCAGAAGCAGAAAGATCTTCAGTGCCTTGGGACGTAGCAGGGAGGTCAGAGGATGGGGTGGTTGGTACCGACGAGGCCCTATCCTGCTGGCTCGAGTCTTCATCACCAGGTGCGTTCTCAGGTTGTTTTTCAGGTGGTTGGCTCGTCGCACTGCTGCTGTCAGGTGCGCCATCAGAAACAATGTCACTTCCATTAGGTCCATCACCATCACCATTACCATCTGCTTCCCCTCCCTCTGCCCTGCTCCCCCCTCCTCTTGCCTCGCCGCTCTCCTCCTCACCCTCCGCTCTACCAGCTTCTCCCGTCACCCCATCTGCTCCCAATCCATCAGGCCTTGAACTGCGGGGAGTTGCAGAAGGGGACACAGCAACGGCGGTGGTTTCAATTGGGGTCTGCACCTTTGCCCCCTCCTCCCGCCCCTCCCCCTCCTCCACCTCTCCCGCCTCCGCCTCCTCTCCCTCCTTGTGCTGCTGCTCTTGCTGGACCACGTGCAGTGGTCGCTTGCGGGAGGAGCGGGAGGATCGAACGTGGTCCAGGCGCACGGGAGCAGCGAGGCGGGGCAGGGGAGATCCATCCGCGTCTGACCATTGAACAGCACGCATGCGTCGAGAGCGTTCAAGTGTGAGGCAGGCATCATGAGTTGAGGGGCAGGCATCATGAGTTGACCATTGGGTTAGAGATGGATCAGGCAAGTGCAGACATCCACACGAGGAGAAAACAGGCTTGACAATTCTCTAAAGCGAAAACACCAAGCCCAGTAACCTCTCAACCTTCCTGCACCCCTTCTCCCACCTTCCCTTCACCTTTCCCATTCCTTCACCCACCCAGCAGCAGCACGGCCACAGAAGACGACACATCTCGGAGTTTTGAGACATCTTAAATTCCGAACCCCTCCTCCCCCCCTCCCTCACCTTCCCCATGTCGTCACACTCACCCAGCAGCAGCATGGTGACAGCAGGCGACGCATCCTTGAGCTTCACCGGGCCTCTTAGCAGCAGCTGTCCCGTAGCCGCGTCCAGCACCACAAACGACGAGTCCGACGCCCCCACAAACACCCCGTGCCCGCCCCCGCCTCCCCCTCCCGGGCCCCACTCGCCCCCTCCCCCGCCCGCCCCACCCCCCCTGCAGACGACGACGCCGAGGGGGTTGAAACAGGAGAGAGCAGCCCGGGAAAGGTGGTAGAGTCAACGCTACGGCCGGGGGTGGAGGTGGAGTAAGAAGCAGGCGTGGTGCTGCCGGTGCTGCTGTCGTTAGCACCGAGACCGGGAATGCTAGGGGCAGTGGATCGGGAGGTTCCGGGAGTGAGGAGGCTCATGGCGCTGGCAGCAGCAAAGGCGGAGGGGAGGTGCGCGAAGGAGATGGAGGAGATGGAGAGAGGTGGGGCGTTCCAGGGGCGAGGCATGACGTACTGGAAGACGAGCTTGAAGGTGGTGAGGTCGATGAGAGAGACCTGCGAGGGGAAGGGGGAGAGGGTGGGAGTGGAGTGAGGATGCTGGTTTAAAGACTAATCAGGGGAGTTCTATGGGCATAGCATGAAGTTCTGGAGAATGCATACGGTAAGGGAGGGTAGGCCAGGAATTGAAGGCAAGAGAGAGAGAACTCACGCCTGCTCGGTCGTCGCCGACAGCAAGGCGAGCAATGGAGGTGGCGAGGGCGATGGCACGGATGGCGCTGGCATGGATGCGGAACTGCGCCACACACTGGAACCCCGGCGCTGCCTCCTGCGCCGCCGCTGGGGAAGGGATGGATGGAAAGGGAAGGGGTGGGACGGGAAGGGCAAGGAGAGATAGAGAGGGAAGAGGAAGCAAAGGAGAGGGATGATGGCACTGGCATGGATGCGGAACTGCGAACGTTAGTTCCATCGCAAGCTTGCTCGCTCTGACGAACCTTCGCACCGCAAGCTTGCGGTGCGTTAGGCCACACACTGGAAGCCCAGCGCTGCCTCCTGCGCCGCCGCTGGTAGGGTGAGCAAGAGGAGAGAGGGATGGAAAAGGAGGGAAAGAGGGAGAAGAAGAAGTAAGGATAGGTGTGGCGAAGTGCACCCACAACAAACCTGGAAACTGCACCCACCCAACCAACCACCCTAAGCCCTCAACCACCCTAATCCCTGAACTGCTCAGCCCACCTTTCCAATGCACGCACCCCTTCCTCCCCCGCTCCTCACCCCCCTCAAAACCACCTTTCTAATACACAACCCCCTCCCCCCCTCCCTCCCAGCGCACCATTCTTGTAGGCGAATTTATCCTGCACGTCAATAGCAGTGCCATCCTCAGCAGCCTTGAGCGGCGCGTCCACCTCCGTGGCCTCTCGCACCGACCCACCTTTCTAGTGCACAACCCCCCTGCTTCCCCCACCCCTTCCCCCCAACGCACCTTTCTTGTAGACGAATCCGTCCTGAACATCTATAGCAGTGCCATCCTCCGCGGCCTTGAGAGGCGCGTCCACCTCCGTGGCCTCGCGCACCGTCCACACCCACACGCGGCTGGGTGCAGCGCTGAGCACAAACAGCTGCACCAGCCCATCGCCGTGCCCCACTGCTAGAAGCCCTGATGCAGGGCAGAAGTCCAGCGCTGTCACCGGCTCGTAGGGCTCCATCTGTGTTCACCGGGGGGAGGGGATGGGGGAGAGGGCACAGTGGGGCTGGGAGCGACGCTCAGCACAAACAGCTGCACCAGCACGTCGCCGTGCCCCACTGCTAGCAGCCCTGACGCCGGACAGAAGTCGAGTGCTGTCACCGGCTCATAGGGCTCCATCTGTGTGCAGGAGAGAGGGGGGTTGGGGGTGGGGGTTGGGGGGGGGGAGAGAGCACAGTGGGGGAGGGCACACGTAGCAGGGTGACAGCAGCACAGTGTCGAGCCAGCAGCCCATGAGAGAGGGTGGGGGCATAGGGCACGGGAGAGAGGGCATGGGAGGGTGCGGGGCAGAGGGAGGGGAGAGGGCATGGGAGCGGGTGGGGGGAGAGAGAGGGAGGCACTTGGGGAGAGGAGAGCAGTGACAAACAGCTGCACCAGCCCGTCGCCGTGCTGTCACTGGCTCGTAGGGCTCCACCTGTATTCATGTGGGGGAGGGGTACATGGAGGAAGGGCAAGGAGGGAGGGGACATTGGAGGACGCGTGGAGGGCGCGGGGGAGAGGGGGGCATTGGGGGGACGGAAAGGAGCCAGAATGCCGGGAAAATGGGGAGGAAATAGGACCGGATAGCAAGAAGACAAGAAGGCCCGTACCAGCAACTCAAACACACATGCACCGGGAAGCCATTGGGTAAGGCTGAGACGAGGGGCGCAAGGTGAGGCGTGGAGACATCAGAATGCACGAGGCCGTTGTGGTGGCCCGACACAAGGAGGCAGAGGCCCAGGTGACTTATGCGTCGACTTACAGTCACGCAGGCACGCACCGGGAAGCCAATAGGTATGGCAGAGACGAGGGGCGCAAGGAGGGGCGTGGAGACATCGGAGATATGCACGAGGCCGTTGTGGTGGCCCGACACAAAGAGGCAGAGGCCCAGGTCCGCTATGAGCTCCGTTGACTCCGCCATGGTGCCCCCGGACACCGGCCACTCCGTGCCGTGCGAGAGGTGCGCTGGACAGCGCGAGCCTGCTGTGCGGGGCAGCTGAATGGGGGAGTAGGTGATGCAGAGGGGGAGGGAGAGTGGGAGCAAGATGAGCTCGAGAGGTTGAAAGCAACTGCGATGAGAGGAGTGGGACGAGGAGGAATGAGGAGGCAAGACGGAGCAGCAAGATAGGGCAAGAGGCGAAGACGAGGTGAGGAAAGAGGAGGTATGAAGCAGAGGAAGGAAGGGGGGCATAAAAAGAGAGGCACAAGGAGGAAAGGGAAAAAGAAAAACGCGCACCCGCAGCAGCACTTGAGCAGCAATGGAGTGGGGCTCAGCAATGGACATGATGGCTGCTGTGGCGACCGAGTTGGGCACTCAAACAGCATCGGCTCTGGTAGACGCACCGCCCCCACACTCCCTGACGACGGAAACCCTGCTGCTCCCCCTCCTCCTCCCCCTCCCCCTGCACCACCACCTCCACCCCCACCATCCGCAACCGCAGCTGCTGCTGCTGAAGCCAACGCTCCTGCTCCAGCCACAGCAGGAGCAGCGGGAGGAGCCGAAATGCCAGAAAAGAACAGCTCGATTCCGTACTCGTCATACAGATGCACTTGACCCGGGATAGTGAGCACCATCAGCGCTGCTCCCGGCTTCTTGCCAGCCTCCTTGGGGCGGGGCTTGGCAGGCACGTCTGGTGCTATGAGGATGTCTGCTACGGGACCGAACCAGGGGAGCTTTGTGCCTGATAGCTCTGGTAGGCCCGAGGGGAGAGAGCCCAAGGCTACGACCTGAGAGAGGGAGGACGCAGAAACAAAATGCTTTTGGGGCGGGGCTTGGCAGGCACGTCTGGTGCTATGAGGATGTCTGCTACTGGGCCGAACCACGGGAGTTTTGTGCCTGATAGCTCGGGTAGGCCCGAGGGGAAAGAACCCAAGGCTACGACCTGAGAGAGGGAGGACGCAGAAACAAAATGCTTTTGGGGCGGGGCTTGGCGGGCATGTCTGGTGCCACGAGAATGTCTGCTACTGGGTCGAGCCACGGGAGTTTTGTGCCTGATAGCTCTGGTAGGCCCGAGGGGAGGGAGCCCAGCGCCACGACCTGTCGGAGGGGGGACACAGAGGGCGAGAGTTTGTTACAGGGCCGCTGGCCTGTTGAGTCTGGATGCATGGTGCAAGGCAAGACAGGGTTGGAGCGCTGTGAAGGGCAACAAGCAAGAGCTGCTCGCAGAGAAACAGCTCCACATCCCTCACATCCCTTCCCGATGACAAACCAGATTTGACAAACCTTTCCCTTCCCTATGAGCACAACTCCACATCCCTCACACCCCTCCCCCCAGCTCACATAGACAGTCTCAGGCGCGCCCAGCACATCTCCTCCAAACACATACAGCCGCCCACCACCCGCATAGCCGCCCTTGCTGGCCTTCTTGCCCCACGCGTCACTGTCACAGCACCACCTCAGGATCGTCACAGGCAACCTCTCCGCCTTGCCCCTCGCCACAAACACCTTCCTCAACGGCCTCCCTAGAACCTCTGCCCGCGTATCTGCTAGCAACGCGGCTGGTATAGGCTCTCCCGCGCCCCCGCCGCCACTGCCACTGGTTCCCGCTCCCCCTGCTCCTCCCGCTCCTCCTCCCGCTCCGCCGCTGCTGGTCCCAGACGCGCCTGCTGCTGCAGCAGGGCCGGTGATACCAGTGGTACTGGCGCTGCTGCTGCTGGATAGTACAGGGAAACCCCACAAGGCCACATCTCCGTCTGTATACCCCACTGCTGCCACTGCCCCCTGCTGGCAAGCCCAGCACACGCTGCACACCTCCTTCCCTTCCACATCCTCCCCTTCTAGCGCTCGCTCCCTCTCCCTCTCATCCATCACCCCGCCCCCCTTCCCCCCGTCGCCTCCGCCCCCTGCTCCACCTCCCCCCTTCCCGCCCTTCTTGCCTTTCTTCCCCTCTGCTGCGGCGGCTTCAGCAGCAGCAGCGGCAGCGGCGGCGGCGGCGGCGGCAGCAGAGGCATCGAGGAAGGCTGCGCGTTGGGCGCGAGTGCCTCCTCTGATGGCCACTGGTTGCAGGTAATGCAGGTCCCACAGGACCAGCAGGCCATTTGAATACGCCAGCAGCACTCTGAAGGAAAAGGAAGGGGAGCCGTGGAGGTGGGAAAGGGGAAAAAAACAGTTTCAGAGAGACTTGGAAAACAGGTCGCAGAGGCGTCAAGGAAGGCTGCGGGTTGGGCGCGAGTGCCTCCTCTGATGGCCACTGGTTGCAGGTAGTGCAGGTCCCACAGCACGAGCAGGCCGTTTGAATACGCCAGTAGCACTCTGCAGGGAGAATCAGCGCGAGGGGGATAGGGAGGAGAAGGAAGGATGGGGGGGGAGAGGAAGGCTGCGCGTTGGGCGCGAGTGCCTCCTCTGATGGCCACTGGTTGCAGGTAATGAAGGTCCCACAGCACGAGCAGGCGATTTGAATACGCTAGTAGCACTCTGGGGAGACACGGTTAGTGTGAGAGGGATAGGGAGGTGAAGGAATGGAGGAGGTGATGGGGGAGGGGGGAGAGAAAGAGATTCTTGAGATGCTTCAAATTCGGGCCCGAAAGCGTAATTATGGCACGTGGATGGAGAGAGGGGGTGCAGATAAGGCAAGGCAAGGCCATACCTGTTGTGTGGCGCGGAGGGCTGAGGGAGAATCGCAACAAGAGGGGCAGGGGCATCCAGCGCACCCGAGGAGATGAGGGGACCTGCATGCGCACACACACACACAACATCACACACAGTAGATGGATGAGGGGAAGGATGAGGCAAGTGGGGAGAGGGAGGTTGCATGGTATTGTACCGTTGTCAAGTTCTGAGTTTTGAACAATTGCCTACTTCCATCCAACTCATCCACTCGTGAAACCAGTCACTCTTGTTGAGTTGAAATTTCGTCTCATTCAGAAAAAAACTGCTCTCAGAAAACAAGATTGAGCAGCATGACTCATTGAGTGTGGCAGTGATGGGCACACGGCACATGGTACGGCTTGACAAAGATGTCACCTGCAGGGCCGTCGCTGCCGCTTTTGAGGTGACTGTTGAGTCAACTCGAACGTCAAGACTCACCGAGAGTGGCAGTGATGGGCACACGGTACGGCTTGATAGAGAGTTCGCCTGCAGGGCCGTCGCTGCCGCTTTTGGCCGCTCTGCTTGGCTTGCCATTGGGTGTATACTCCAGCACATTCATCGCCCCCTCCTCGTCGCCTATGTATCTGCATTGAATCCCATCCCACAAACGGCATTGAATCCCACACAGGGCCAACAAAGCACGAGAAGAAGATTGACCACGCAGGGCATTGAACCCTTTGACCGCTCTGCTTGGCTTGCCATTGGGTGTACACTCCAGCACACTCATTCCCCCCTTCTCATCGCCTATGCATCTGCATTGAACCCAGGGGAATGAATCCCGCACACACAGGGCAATGAATCCCATACATACAGGGCGTCAGAGCATATCGAGCAGATTGGTTCACCTAGTTTGCTCTTTTGCCTTTTGCCATGGGATGATCAATCCATCTGATCACAAGAACTTGCAGCGGGATCGGCTAGGTTTCGAGAGTGGCAAAAGCCAGAATATGATGAGAAATGGAAGTGGAAGGGGAGCACGAAAGTGGGGGAGGGTGTGAATGGGTGGGGTGGGTGATGCAGGGAGAGGAGTGGGCACGGGCGTTGTGGTGTGAAACAAGTATCTTCCTCGCTACCAACTTTTTCCCTCTCCCTTCCAACTCATCCCTGCACCGCCCATAACCTTCCCCTATATGTCTCTATAAACCCATGGCCTTCCCCCCGTCCTCCTCTCCCTCCTCTCCTCCTCGCTCTTCTTCTCACCCTCCTCTTCCCCCCTCTCCCCCTGCTACCTCTCTCCCCTGGTCCCCGCGCTCCTTCGTTTCTCCCTCCCCCCTCCCTCCCCATTCCCCCCACCCCTCCCCCCTGCCGCCGCACGCACATGAAATCAGAGCTGGGAGCAACTGCGAGCGCAGTGACGTTTGTAGACCACTTGAGAGACGCGCCCAGCTGCTTGCGCGCCAGGTCCCACACCTGCGCGCGCGGAGAGGGTGGGGGGGGAGAACGGGGAGGGGGGCGGGACAAGGAGGAGAGGGCGGCGAGGGGGTGCGCAGGTGGGAGCGGGGCACGAGCGGGAGGGGATAGGGGAATGGGGAGAATGGGGAAAAGGCAGAAGAAGGGGGGGGGTGGAGGGAGGGGGGAGATGTAGCAGAGAAGGAGTAAGAGGGGCGGGGGATGAGGAGGAAGGAGATGCGGGGCGAGGGGACGCACATGTTGGCTGCTACACATTAGACGCAGAAGCGCAGCAGGCAGGGCCAGGGCTGTTGTGGTTGACTGCGCAGCGAAACACAAAGTGTTTGGGTGCTTCTATGTAGATGCACTTGCCTCTATGTCGTTCTCTGTGTTGACCATGACTAGCAGCCCACGGTTGACCATGAACTGTACACGGATGGCCGGAGGGAGGGGAACACACACACATGTTGAACACACACGGGGTGGCGGCAGGGGATGGGAATTCGGGCAGTGGAGCGACGGGAGGTGGGAGGTGGGCGGGGTCAGAAACGATAGAAGGGCATGTAAAGGGAGGAAGCAGGTATGGATGGGATCGAGTGACGGCAGAACGACAGCAAGGAGGAACGGAAGGAGATGAGGCAGGTTGCTGCACGCGGAAACGCGGGATAGGGTGAGAGTGAGGGAGGGGGAGAGGGAGAGGGAGGGGGAGGGGGAGAGGGAGTGGGAGAGGAGAGGGGGGGGGGGGGGGAGAGGAGAGGGAGGGAGGGGGAGAGGGAGAGGGAGGGGGAGAGGTTGCGGGTGAGGGCGAGGGTGAGGGTGAGGGTGTGTTCATGGGTGCGGTGTGCATAGAGATAGAGGGGTACGCGAGAGCAAGCACCTCGAGGAACTTGCAGGGGCGGGGAGGGCGAGGTGAAGAGCACTTCTATACCGTCCCGCCCGTACACCTTGAACCGCCCGTCCCTGCCCTCATCCGCATCGCACCCCGTGGCCAGTGTGAATCGCGGATGGGGGAAGGGGGAAAAAGGGGAAGGGGGAGAAATGGGTAGGTGGAAGAACCGATAGGGGGGAAAAGGGAGAGGAAAAAAAAGGGGTAGGGTGGACGCAAGTGTGCTAAGGAGGGGGGCTGTAGCCGTCAGTGGCAAGCACTGAGAAGCACCGGAAAGCTATGACAACAGCAGTGGCAAGTGGTAGGAAGCCATTGTGAGCAATGGCGAGCATTACACCACCCGCTTCTCCAATTGTGATTTATTTCCTTGCTTCCAGCCCCCCCCGCTGGCCCAATCAGTGTCCTTCCCCCCGCTCTGCTCTCCCCGATTCCACTTCCCATCCTACCCTCTCCAGACTCCCCTCCACCCCCCTGGTCCGAAACTCTTTCCCTCTTCTCTCTAACCTCCCCCTCCTCCTGACCGCTGCCTCTGCCCCCTGCGCTCGTTCACCTTTCCATGCGAACCACCGAACGCACCTTTCCTTCCTTTCCATTCCTTTCACGTACCGCGTGCCATGGCGAGCGTTCGATACTGGAAGCGACTAAAACTATCACGTGTTCGTTCACCTTTCCATGCGAGCCTCCTAACGCACCTAGCGCATGCAGCCGTACCGCGTGGCCATGGCGAGCAGTCGCTGCAGCGGCTCGAAGGCGAGGTGCGTCGTCGAGCACGGCACGCCGTGATGCACGGCCACGCGCGGCTCCAGCTGCGACGGCTTTAAAGAGCCGGCCGGCACGGTCATGGCGGCAGCCTTGCGAGAGGGAGGAAGAGAGGAGCGAGACGGGGTAGGGGAGGGAGGGACGCGCGATACAGTGATGGTCGAGAGGGGATGGAAGGGTGGGGAGGCGAGTAGTCAGGGACGGATGGAGGGACCGAGTAATACCGATTCTGAACCAAGCGAAAACCTATTGTAGCGAGTTTCGTAACAAGAACTATCACAAGAGTCCTCGGAACTCCATGTCTTTATCATCAGCCATTTGGATGTCGAATTCGTTGAGGCAAACAGTCAACGCATTAGGGCATACCTCATTGAACCTCGTCAACGCATCAGGGCATACCTCATTGAACCTCGCCAACGCATCAGGGCATACCTCATTGACCTCGGGACCGGAGGCGCCAGGGATTACCGCCGCGCCACCGACCGAGGCGGCGGCCGCCTCCGAGAAGCCTCGCGAACATTGCGGCGCCAGGGATTACCGCCGCGCCACCGACCGAGGCGGCGGCCGCTCCGAGAAGCCTCGCGAACATTGCGGCGTGGCTGGCAGGCCGCTATGGTCGTGGACAAATAGTGGGTGGTTGATACAGCGGCGTCAGGGACGATACCGCAGGAGGAGCCGTACGAAACCGGTATTTGATGCTGGACGGGACGTGATTAAGCTATACACTAATGCGTGGCCTCAAGATTGCAGGACATGCGACATGGCAGTAACAAGTAAAGTAAATTAATATTCTATATCGAGCGACGGGAAGAAAGATAGCGAGCGAAACGCCTCGCGGTCATCGTTCCCGCCACGGAAGATTACTGAAATTGATGAAATGTAGAAGAGTAGCTCTCCGTTGCACCCGCGGAACAAGGATCTGAAATCCATCCAAATTGGAGATCCCAAGGTTGCACAGAATTCAAACGGGAGCAACGGGGCACCTCAGCTGAAATCCAAGCCCAAACAGCAACAGCGCTACCTCCTCTGACCGAACCTCCCCAGTCGGTTTGGTCAGGCAGTTTTCTAGGCTTGGCTGAGGTGCCAGCCTGTATTTGCTGGACGTTTGAAAGGTTTGGGCAGCTTTCTCAACCAGTTTCTTGCCCGCACGTGGTTGGTTACCGACCAAGAGGCGGTGGCAGCCGGCGAGCGAAGACAAGTTCTTGCTCTGGTTCTTTGCGGGGTTTCGTCCGCTTGTGGTAACCCTTCCCAGATGTTTGCTTCGTGTCCGACAGATTCGGCATCTTGATGAAGTATTGGCGGGAAAACTGAGGATGACAGAGAAGCTCCAATGTGGGTACGTGTACTGACGTGGCCACTGGATATGTCCCGCGACGCAGGTGCTGTGGGTAAAACACACCTGGATATAACCGCTACAAGCCTTCACATTTCAATACGATTGGTTACGAATCTCAAGCCTCTAGGTACAAATGAATGAGCTTATGGACACCACACAAGCCATACCCAGCAAAACATGGGTGTTGTGGAACATGAGTTAGTGACATTGGATCAGTTAGACTAGCATGACAATAAGCAAAACCACCATTGCTGCTGGCAATAAGATAACAAAAAGTAGCAGCCAAAAGACAGCTGCTCACGAGATGGTTTGAACAGCAATCACCGACCGCACAGAATGCCCCTGCTTGTCCTTCCAAGTTATGCTCCCAAACGAAAAGCTGTTGGTGAACTTCTTCGGAGTAATCGTCACCTTATATGTCACCGACCCCCCTTGTGGTATACTGAACTCAGTGGGCCATACGGACACAGAGGCAGTACTAGGTGGCACCACTGCTGCTTGATATGTCGACGCGGAATTCCCCACATTCGTCACCGTCCTCACCACTGTAACCGTCTTTTTCAACCGCGATACCGAAATCGACGCTCTGTTGAGGTTGTACGCAGGAATCGGGCTCAGATTCCCGAGACTCGAAAACAGCCCTGCCGCTTTCCCCGCATCCTGCCCGGCCAGAGAAATTTGCAAAGTCTCGGATCCCTGCATTGTAAGTCAACCCCGGATCCAGCACCTTTCTCGGATTGATATGCCCAGCTCCCATGTCCCACGGCGTGGCAGCGCTCCCTGTCTCTCCTGATGGTATCGGCCCTCCCTGGTTCGTCCTCAGCGTCGCTGTCGACATCATTGCTGAAATCACCTGAGCAGGTGTCCAGTCAGGGTGTTTCTGCAGCATCAGCAGGGCGATCCCAGCCATCTGCGGCGTAGCCATGGACGTCCCAGACAGCAATCCAAAATTATTCGGATCGGACGACGGGAACTGCGCGCGCGCCACGGGCCCCAGAGATTAACTCCCGGGCCCACCACATCGGGCTTTAAGATGTCGTTTGTGGCGATCCCAGGGCTGGGAGGCAGCGCAGGGTTGGTGACGGGTCCTCTGGAGGAGAAGTCGGCAATGATTGGGGCGAGGAAATTGTCCACTCCGTATGGTGCAGACAGTCGGGCTGTCGTCCTGTAAAGGGAAAAGAATGCAGGAGAGGCGGGGTGAGGGAGAGGCAGGGGGAAGTGGGCAGGAGGAGCGTTGTGGTGAGAACGCAGGAGAGGGATGTGTAGGCTGGAACGAGCAATGGTAAGAGGGGGAAAAAGGGGGAAAGGAGTACAACAGGACGGAACAGGGCGGGTCATGACGTGAGGACCATGCTCTCGCTAACCACAATGCAATACTCTCACCCCTTCATGCACGCTGCACACCTGCCCGTGGAGATGTATCGCTGCAGCGCCTCCGATGCGGTCGCATTCAGATGAATCACGGGAATAGCGGCGCGCAGGAACACCGTGTTGTTCACCCCGCCCGCCACGTTGGCAATCACCAGCGCTGCTGCGCCCGCCGCCGTGGCCGCCTGCAGCTTGTCCCCCAGCGTGTTCTCCCCCCGCGCACACACCAGGATCTTGCCCGCCACCTTGGAGGCTGTGAGGGACGTGGAGTAGCACAGCCGCGCCTGGGAAAGGCGGGGGAAGAGGGGAGCGGAGCATGGCATGGGAGGGGCATGAGAACGTTTTTTCTCCCCCGCGCGCACACCAGGATCTTGCCCGCCACCTTGGAGGGCGTGAGTGATGTAGAGTAGCACAGCCGCGCCTGGAGAGAGGAGAGAGAGGGGGGAACATGGCATGGGAGGGGCATGACAGCGTGTTCTCCCCCCGCGCGCACACCAGGATCTTGCCCGCCACCTTGGAGGTCGTGAGTGATGTAGAGTAGCACAGCCGCGCCTGGAGAAGAGAGGAGAGAGAGGGGGGAACATGGCATGGGAGGGGCATGACAGCGTGTTCTCCCCCCGCGCGCACACCAGGATCTTCCCCGCCACCTTGGAGGGCGTGAGTGATGTAGAGTAGCACAGGCGCGCCTGCAGGCAAGGGGGCGGGGGCGAGAGCGAGAGCGAGAGCGAGAGCGAGGGAGAGGCCGGGGAGACACACGGAAACAATATGAATAAGAACACACCATGGCAGGGCCAGCACATAGGCGCTGACGGAAACAATTTCTCCCCTCTTCCCACTCTCCTACCTTGGTGGTGCTGGCGAAGGGCTTGACAGCGGAGGAGCCGTCAACGATGCTCATCTGCTTGTTGTTGCCGCCCCAGCTGAGCCCCTGCAGCTGCACCCCGTTCCCCAGCGTCAGCGTTGCCATGTACCGCCGGTCCGTGCCGCTGAGGGAGAAACAGGGGGAGAGGGGGAAGGGAGAGAGGGGGAGAGGGGGGAGCATGTGGCAACAGGAAGAGGATGAGCGAATGAAGGAGCAGGGGGGAGATTACAGGGGGAATGGGGGTCACAGGGGGGGAAGAGCAGAACAGACGGTCGATGCGGGCAAGCAAGGCCGGGGAAGGAGGAGGAAGTGGAGAGGAGAGCACGAAGGATTGAGTCCAGTACGTACCTGGCGCCGACTGTGAGGTAGAAGGGCGAGTAGTTGTCGATGGTCGCGAACACGGACGGCGACAGCGGCGGCATGCCCTGGTTGCCCGCCGCTAGCGCCGCGAACACACCCGCCTGGGGAGGAGGGGGGGTTGCGGAGAACAACGATGCGCGGAGAGGGGGGGGTGTACGGAATGGCGGCAGTTTTTTGGGGTGAGGAGAGTGCGGCGGCTGACCGGATTGTTAACCATGGCGGTCTATGTATCACTGCAATCATTTTCGAGAGGAGAATGCTCAGAAGCGATACGAGCAAGTCAGAGTAGTCCTGCGCGCTTTGGGTTCGTTGCGCCAAGCCCTTAGTTCTCCCCTCCCTAACCTCGCCGCGCCTCACCTTGGCCGCCGTCACGAACGTGACGTCATCAAAGTAGCTCCCCAGCCCGCCGCCCACGGAGATGGAGACCACATCCACGCCGTCCGATACGGCCTGATCGACGGCTGCGTACACGTCGCTCATGGCGCCCGAGGCGCCCTCGTACCCCACCAGCTTCCACATCGCCTTGTACATCGCGATGCGCGCGCGCGGCGCGATCCCCGACGCGGCCCCGTACGAGGTTCCGCCCACGCGCACCTGGATTCCCGCGTTGCCCGCTGCGGCGCTGCACGGGGGAAAGGGGGGGCGGGGAGAGGGCGGGAACAGGGAAAATGGGAGGAGCAGGGGAAGACGGGCGGAAATAGCAGGAAAGAGACGGGATGGAGTGACAATGCGACGCGAGTCGTGGGGATGCGAGAGGTATCGTGGGCGCAGGAGCGGCGGCAGAGCGACAGCAACAGAGAGCACCAGCCATAACCAGAGAGCCTTCGCCGCCGTACCCGGAGCACCAGGAGCCATGGCCGTTGTTGTCGCGCGGCGACGCGTAGTCCGCGGAGAAATCGATGGGCACGTCCGCCGTCTTGAGCCCCGCGCTGTACGTGCGCGCGCCGATCACCTTGCGGTTGCACGCGCCGTTGAAGTCGCTCGTGTTCACGCACAGACCCGACCACCGCGCCGGGATGGGTCCGTAGCCCTGGGGGGTGCGACAGAGAAGCGGAGGAGCGGGGGGGCGGGAGAGCGGGGGAACGGGAGAACAGGAAGAAAATGAGCACGAAATCCGAAAAAAAACAAAATTGCTAAATCCTCGGACCTTACAACACTACATCCTCGTTCAATGCAACTCACACGGTCCGGTACGTACCGCATCGTCGAACGAAGGGTGCTCCGGCCATATCCCCGAGTCCACCACGCCGATTATCATCCCCTCGCCCGCCTTCTTCTGCCCACCATTGCTGCCCCAGAGCGTCGCGGGCAGCTCCAGAAACGTCGGCACGTGCACCGTCCGCTGCTGCACCAGCCTATCCGGTCGCACCATCGCGACCGCCGCGTGCCGCCGCAGCTTGTGCACCTGCTTCGGCGTCAACCGCGCTCCGAACGCGTTCATCGTGTACGTGTAGCTCCGGAAAATGCGGGAGAGCGGGATCTGGACGGATTCTGCCACGTCACGGTGCAGCCTCGTGAGGAGGTCCCCGAAGGCCTTGACGGTGCCGAGCCGCACATCGGCGCGCAGTCGACTGCGCAGGCGCTGCCTCACGCGCCGCACCGCGGCCCCCCCCCGTAGCTTCGATTTGCTCTTGCTGCTGCTGCTGCTGCTGCTGCTGCTAGCGCTGGCGACAGTGGCAGCGTTGCCCGTGTCGCTGTTAGGCGACTCGAGGAGGCTGGACGGCTTTAAAGACGTCATGTCAAAAACCGACGTGTCAATTTGCGATGACGACGGTGACGGCGACAAGGACGAGGAGGACGGGGTGGAGGGGGTGGCAGAGGGTGAAGTAGCCGGGTAGCCGGCAATCCCGCCGTTGTAATTGAGAACGGCCGGCAGGGCGCGGAGATAGACGATGTACGAGGAGGCGATGGCGTCGCTGTACTTGCGCTCGAGGGACGCGGAGGCGGAGGCGGAGGCGGAAGCGGAAGCGGAGGCGGAGGAAGCGGAAGAGGAATTGGATGGGGAGGAGGTGGGTACGGATGAGGAGGAGGAAAGCAGTGACGACGAGGAGTCGTCGGGGGAAGTCAGTCCATCCGTGCTCAGTCCGCCCGTGTCGTCCAGCGAGGTTCCTGAATTGACTCCGTTACCTGCCGCATCGCTACCGCCACTGCCGTTACTACCGTCACCGGAATTACTGCCATCACCGGCTTCATTGCCAACACCACCACCCCCATCTCCCGCACCGCTCGTCCCGTCGCCTTGCGGCTTGCCGTCAGTACCGCCGTCAGTCCCGCCGTCGGTCCCGGCGCCAGTCCCGGCGCCAGTCCCGGCGCCAGTCCCGGCGTCTGTCCCGACGTTAATCCCGGCGTCTGTCCCGTTATTGTCAACACCACCGCCTTTCTGGTCGGAGCCTAAGCTCGTCCCAGCCTCTCTCGCCGTCGCGTTCTGTTCCGACAACGTAGTGTCGTCTGCCTTGGGAGATACATCCGAGCCTGGGCCAGCCTGGGATGCTTTTTCAGCTGCGATTTGTTGAAGCAGAGGCGAGATGAGAAGAGCGGCGAAAACGAGGAGGCTAATAGCGCGGATTCTGAGCTGCGGTAGCAGCACGCATTTCGAACCGTGGTTGGCCATGCCACGACGGAAGTGCGAGGAGAGTCGGAAGAGAATGTGTGGGAGCGCGAGAATGCGCTGTTAACGCTAGTCAGGTGCCTTGACTCTAGTTAACGCGAGATGTGGGTGTCATAGTGTACAAAGTGCTAGCGGTGTTAGCAGCGCCGACTGAGCGGGTTGGCTGGTGCTAACGTAGAAAGCATGGACCAAATCCAGAGCGTTGTATAACGAATGTTACGTTAAAAGAAAAGTAGGGGACAAAGACACCTGGATTCGTGATAAGTTGACGAAATGGAAGCGAGGTTGAAGTACTAAGCAGTAGTTTCACGGGAATGGCAAGATTGACATTGTAAGAATCGAGAGGAGCAAGTCGACTACAGAGTTCTGGCTGACAGGCTGACGGTTTCCAACTCGCGGGAGAAGGAGCTCCCTACTTCGCAAATACACGATAAGGCTAGCGAGGAGTAAGGATTACCGAGCTCGGGCTCCTGGTTATGGCTTGAGCAAAACCATCAGGCTGAACTGAATTCAGTGGGATGTGCGGTGTTGGGACAACGGAGACACACATCCATCCAACAGCGAGCAAAGAATGCGAGAAAGTAGACGGGTTGATGGGGGGAAGAAATCAAAGCGCGTGGAAGGCAAGGGAGGAGATGAGGTGCTGTTCTCTTCTTTTAGCAGGGCAGCAGTGCTTTGCTGGGGAGGGGAGTCATGTTCCATATCCGACGGTTGTAAGGGCGCGTGTCTTTTGGTGTAGAAGTTCGGATTTTTGGTTGAACTTTTGCTGGTTACCCTATTCGTTAATTCCGCCAAAACTTTCGCCAGGACGTCGTGTGTCCACGTACACTTCCGGCATCGGAAAATGTTGAGCCCCCAAGTTGAACCCTCATCAACAAACAGGTTGGCACGAATGTGCGAGCGTGTGTCCACCTCATCACTGACAGCGACGATGCGAAGTCTGCGACGCTCGCAGCTAGCATCGTGCGCACGAGGGTGCTCGTCAGCGCGAGTCCCGGTGGCGCGATGTCAAGAGCCCAAACCGGGTAACCTACAAGCGTAGGTCGCGGCTCGGCTGGGCTGCAAAAGTTCAACTTCGATAGTTGAACTTTTGTTTGTCGCGTGATTTTCGGGAGGGGTGGAACCGCGGCTCGGTTTGCAGTTGGTGAAAACTCGAGCCTAGCTCGAGCTAGGTTCATATGACTACAGTTCAACAAAAAATTCGAGATTTGCATGTAAAAACCAAAAGACACGCGCCCTAAGGGAGGGATGGAGGAGGGAGTGGGGGTTGGGTCTGTAGATTGAGTTTTGCAGAAGAGCTGGGTGACCGACAAAAAGTTTGCGCCATGTGCGGTGCGGCTGGTGGTGGTGCTGGTGGGGAAATGCAGAGGGGACCGTGTCGCGATGGCGGAGCGCGGGAGCGATTCGTATTTGTTCCTGCTCAGAGGACAAACACCTGCCCTGACAACGTTCCAGCGAGCGTTGCCGCCGAATCGCTAGGACTTTCTCCACCCCTTCATCGGCCCCAGCGAGGTGAACGAGCTTCACGAAGGGTGACTTAGGAAACCAAAGCGTTATCCCACAAACACTTCGACCACGTATTCTTGGACAGCCAAATCATTTTTTTACAGGACATCAATCAATACAGCACATCCATATGACAATGCACTTCAGCACATTTCGTGCTTACAAGCACAATAAGAGGACAAAGTTACAGAGCCGCAACCCTCAATGTGCCTTTTTCTCTTTCGAAGATGGTCCTGCTGGTGGCGCAGCAGTTGCTGCTGCAGCTTGCATCTCAAAATGCCGCTTGAAGGCACGGGGCAGAAACACTGGGAGCAAAAACCCGAACAAGTTCAGGCTCCAGTATACAAGATTGGCAACGGCCAAGTACCTTCCAAACATCTGCCAATACCCCCCACCAATTAATGCCCTCCTGATAACCACACCACTGCTCGCAACAGCTGGGCCAGCTCCATGGTATAGATCACCAACAGAAGGAATCCTTGCTCCACTGCTCACGCCGTCAGCAGATTCAGAAACAGCGGCTGATGTGGCTGCTGCTGCCACCTGAAGGAGGCGGCGATTCCACTCCGCCAGCAGAGAAAGGCGATGCCAGTTGTACCTGCCATCACAAAGCAGCTCACATCAAACCAGTGGCAGGCGACAATACAACTATAACAAAGGAGGTTAGGGTTTCCTTATACTCACATAATAGGGATGAGGGCACGCACTGGAAGAGAGACATATGTAAGATCAACAATGATATTCTCTGTGAGCACTTGGCAGGAGAGCAGGAAGAGGTGAGGGGTCACGCACTCCACTGCCATATGGTCATTCTTGGCGAACCCTGCGGTCGCAATACAGGACACCATCAGCTGCTGGCTCTAATGAACAATCGGCCTGCTGGTCAAACTGGGCAATTACTGAATGCACCGTTGAATACTACCTCCTAGGACGTAGGAAAGTGGCAGGAACATCCCAATCACTGCCCCAGCGGTCACGTGCACTTTGAACAGCCTACTTCCACTGAAGACCTTTGGGGGGGCTGAGCGGGAAACTGGGGGGAAGGCCCATGTTGCGAGAATGGATGAGTAGAGCGTTAGAAAGAGGACGAAGAAGATCTCCTCTAGAGGCACGAGACCGCTGCTGGTGAAGACCACAATAAACGCCATCATTTGAACCTGCATTAGGATAAAACAGCACAATTTGTTAGGAAATGTACGTGTAACAATTAAACGTCAAAACCAAGCTACACCGCCCACCTGTACAAAGCTCAATGACCCCATGAACGAGGTTGCTGCCACTGAATTCATGCTCAACCCCCCACCATGCTCCTGTGAGCCCTGTCCATAGTGGTAACCAGACCCTTCATGCTGTGCTCCCTGCTTCAGCTGGTCGCGCGGCGGCGACTGTTGCGTGTGCTTCTGGGACTTGGGGCTCATGGAGTGAAGCGGAGCCTCCCAGCTGCCCGACCCCACAGGGGAGCGCCGTCGGCGGGCGCTGCCTCCGCCGCTGCTGCGACGGCTGCGCGGACTCTCATCGTCGTAAGCTGTTCCCACTGGCGGCACGCTCACGGGCCGTCCCCTCCAATACGGCTCGGACGTGATCACGTCTGCGGCTAGAGATGCTCCCGACATGGCGGCGCTACGAAAGGACTGAAGCGTTTGGAGCGAAACTGAACAGAATGATCCGTGACGAAGAGTTGAACCTTGATGCTGTCAGCAGCGACTGGAAGGAGGGACAGGGCAACTGCTGCGGCAGGGTACGGCTGGTCAACGGCGTTGCTGCTGAGCGTAGTGGCATAATCCTCGGGATTCGAAAGGGATGTAATGGCATGAAATGAGGATTTTGTGCGAATGAGATGAGCGCAAGTTCGTTGAGAGCTCGAAGCGCGGAACACGCCATTTTGAAGGTAAGCCACGAGCAACTTAGGTGTCGAGGACACGTGTCACGTTCCAGTGCCGTCTATGAGTAAGGAACCAGGCATGCGGCTGCAACTGTTCCGAAGTGTTTTGCAGGTGGCATTCAAAATGTTTGTGAAGAAATTCACAGTGTGTAGGGAAACGGGATTTTGTGTTGTTCGTAACTCAACATAACGTTACCAGTTTCGTGCAGATTTTCGCGGAATTCGGCATTCGGGGAATGACAGATATGAATATGTGAAGGAGCTTTGCGGACGTGGCTCCATAATTACCGTCGATCGCCTGTGTCAGAGTTATCTAGAGTGCGCGAGCCAGTGCACCAATGAGACTCGAAATGTGAGACGGCCTCGTCACCAGACACGCTGCCCTGCTCACTCCCAGCCCTTTCACTCCACGCGCCACGTCATGCTGACAGCACTCCACGGCTCCTGAATTTCTTGGGAGGGTTCCGTCCCAGGCAACTGATGCCTTCGACAACGACGCCTTCCTTTGGGGGGTCCCACGTGTTCGATTCCCTAACCACGTGCCACGCTTCTATTGGCAAGCATAAGCGGTACATTCTATTCAACGTTTATTACCGCGTAGAAACCTTCTGAAACGCACAAGAATATCAGCAATTCCTGGTGGAACACCCTCGTGACGTCACCCTTTTTCTGCCCTTACATGATCCACATTCCACTCCCGCCAAAACGTCATTCCCTTTGGTCCCCCCGTTCCGTCCCGTCCCGTCCCGTTCCGTCCTATCTCGAGCTCGTCAGGCCTCACTCACCAGGGTGATACCAAATATCACATCTAAGCCTCCATCCCATTCCACCCCCTCGAGCACAGCAGCCCAAGCAAGCAGATACCATTAGCCTCGTACCGTTAGTGAAGAACGAGGCGTTCTTTCTTGGAGTTGCTTCGTCCGCTTCTGCCACACGAGTTCTGGATTCAAGACCCCAAACTTCGCCCCTTCACTATCCAGTCGTAGGCCAAGCTTCGTCATGGCTCTCTTGCTCATGGCCCCCGTGAATCTAGGCGCGTCGGCTTTCCTTCCGCGAGTCCAGCGGAAGAGATTTGTAGCCAAGACTGCCGCCTTACCGCGTCGCGCTTCCATTAGAGCGGAAGCGGACCGCTCCGCAGCAAGGGAGGTGGAAGTTTGCGAGACTGTCAAGCCCACCAGGTACGGTCTTTCGTCTAGGGTGCGAGACACCGAAAAGTGTCAGTGGGGACGTCAAGCGAAACATAACCAGCCGAAGGGTCCTGTTTAACGTGTGTCTGTCTCTCCGTGCCGTTCTTTGCACGAGCATCCCGCAAGGTGATCACCCGCTCCTGTTTTTCCTTTCTGTCGCTTCTTCCTACTTACTTCACCAGCTTGGTTGTTGCGGAGACTCCCGATGTCGTCGCTGCCTCCGACTCTCCTCGTTCGCTCTTCGCCGTGGCGGCTCAGCATTGCGCCATCCTCCTCGCGGCTGGCGCGCTCGTCATGTCGCCAGCTCTCGTTGCGGACGCGGCGCAAAGCGGCGGACGCGTGGGTGGTCAGTCGTTCCAAAGATCTCGCGCCGCGCCGCCTCCGCCTCGTCAGCGGACACAGATTAGAAGCAAGTGAGTTATTGTCGAGACATTTTCTTAGCCGTTCAAAAGAAAGAAAAAGTAGTAAGCATGGGAGAATACGGTGAGTGGTCCTGGCTAGCGAATACGATATTTTGGTCAGTGCTCTCGCACAACTCAACTGCGTCGAGCACCAGAGGGGTGGGAAAAGGGTCCGGCAGAGACAAGAGAGACAAAGGGGACGGGTCAGGAACTTCATAACCCAGGGATACATCCCCTTTGGGTATTGAATGGCACATGGTCGACAGGCTCCCGTCCCACTTCCCGTCAGGCTTGCTGCTTTTCTCTTAAAGAAGTCTTTTCCCGTGGTCTTCCTGTTCAGTCAAGCTTTCAGGCATGCGCTAATTCTCTCGCTTCATCCCCTTCCAACCCCTTCCCCTTGCAGCACCAACATATACGTTGCTCCTCCCGTGACTGTGGCGCCGCCTATCTATGGAGGAGGGTTCTTCGCTCCTCCACCGTTTTTCGGTGGGTGGGGCTGGTCTCCCTTTACTGTGGTCACTCCGGGCCCCACTGTCGCCGTAGGAGTTGGGGGTGGTGGGTTGGGTTTCTTCTTTGATTTCTTCATCTTCTCCATTATTGCTGGTGTGCTGTTTAGCTTTGTGAGAGGTCTGTTTAGAAGGGATGATGACAGGTACTAGGAGAGAATCTTGATTATGACGTCAGACAGACTGTGTGCACCTGGTTTATTTTTGAGTTGATTATTATTGCGCAGCTGGAATGTCCCCTCCCCACAGCTTGTCCTGCAGCGAGCTTCCAAACACAGACTGGGGGATAGGGCAAGCTTGTTTCAGTTCAGTGCCTCCCGACCCCAATGAAAAACACCCTACCAAGTGCTGAAGAAGGGAAGAATTCAATGGGAACCATGAGAAGGGAGGGGAAGTGGGAGCAAGACCTGATGGGAGCAGACTGGAATTGGCGCAGACTACTGCCACACTCTAAACAATATAAAATAAGATTTAGGGCATGTAGTCAGATTGAATACCGGCGTTGACAAGAGAGACGTCAGTCCATAAGAAATCATTATTGCTTGAGCTAGTAAATGAGCACACATCAATCCATCTTGGCAACTGCAACTACAGAAATTCATCAAAACAGTAGCACAACAACAATCCATGTAAATCCGCAAAAAAGACAGGAGGGAGAAGGAAATAACACATGCTCCTTGAGAACCACAGCCTGTTAGCAGGCCGTACAAGGAACTTAGATTTTCTACAAAACCAAGCCAAACATCCACAGCACAACAACCCCATAATGGGGTATTGAGTTAGTACATGGAACCTGGGTGGCCAGCGAGTGCCCTTCACGGCTTCTTCCTCTTGCGGGTGTTGGGTGCAGCAGACGCGGTGGGCTGGGAGTCAGGCTGCAGGGAAGCAAGCGCCCTTTGTGCTGCATTGATCACCATGTTATATACCTGGTGGAGATGGGTGGATGGATGGATGGACGGGCGCACAGGAAAGCACAGGGAGTGCAAAGACAATGTGTGAGGCACTTCAGGACTCAAGAGTTGTCTACTCACACGTTGTACTGATCACCATGTTATGTATGCACCTCACCCCTCCCTCCTCCCCCCTCCCCCGTCCCCCCTCCCCCGTCCCCCCTCCCCCGTCCCCCCTCCTCCCTCCCCCCTCCCCCCTCCCCCTCCCCCCCTCCCCCGACCCCCCTTCACCGCTGCACTCACCCCGAGCTTGTCCTCTTTGGCGCGGTGGTCGGAGGGCAACAGGCGGAACTCCTTTGTGAGAGCAACGCACTCTGACACACTCTCAGGCGACACAAAGTCCACTGCCACCTTCATGCACGACTGGTGGGGGAGGACGGAGAGGTGGAATATGAAGGGGGGGGGGGGAAGGGGGGGAGGGAGGGGGGGGAGGAAAGATGTTTTCGACACACTCTCAGGCGACACAAAGTCCACTGCACGACTGGGGAAGCACAGGAGGGGGGAGGAGAACGGCGAGGAGGAAAAGGTGAGGGAAAAGGGTACAAGGGCCGGGGACACATGTTCACGACCAGATTTGTGCATGACTGTGGGATGCAGAGGAGGAGGGGGGAGGAGAGGGGGGTGAGGCGAGGAGAGGTACGAGCGTGAGAGGAGGGGAGAATGTGGAGACGCATGCGGGAGGATGTGGGATGTGGTTTCGGGGGAGAATGGGACGAAGGAGGGCAGAAGTTACCTGGAGGTTTCTGACTTGATGCGGGCAGCCCGCCGGCACGAGCACTGCATCTCCTCGCTGCTGCTGGAACGTCCATGCTTGCACTCCTGCGGGAGCAGAGATGACAGGGTGAGCATGGACGTGTTTTAGTCGACTCAAAACACAGTAGCCTGCAGGCACGAGCACTGCATCTCCTCGCTGCTGCTGGAACGTCCATGCTTGCACTCCTGCGGGAGCAGAGATGACAGGGTGAGCATGGACGTGTTTTAGTCGACTCAAAACACAGTAGCCTGCCGGCACGAGCACTGCATCTCCTCGCTGCTGCTGGAACGTCCATGCTTGCACTCCTGCGGGAGCAGAGATGACAGGGTGAGCATGGACGTGTTTTAGTCGACTCAAAACACAGTAGCCTGCCGGCACGAGCACTGCATCTCCTCGCTGCTGCTGGAACGTCCATGCTTGCACTCCTGGGAGAACAGAGATGACAGGTAACGCGTGAATACGTTGGAAGGACGGACGATATTTGTACAGCAGAAAAGAAGAAGTAGAAGAAGGAGAAAAGAAGAAGAAGAAGAAAACGGAATCTTCTTCTAAAAAGCCAGAGCGAAGGATGGAGAAGTCTCAAAACAATTCAACTCTGTTTTGGGCTTGAGGCGTCTCAAAACTGCTCGACTCTGTTCTAGGAGGCGTGCATGAAGCAGCTCACCGTATTGCTCTTTCAGCTGGCGCTTGTGATGGTTCGAGAGATACACAGTCTGGTCGTGAACCTCATGTTCTAGCTGCAGAGGAGGACAAGGGAGAAATGCAGAGGACGAGGGGGAGTGAGAGGGAGGGCGAGGGTGAAAGAGGGAAAGGGAGGAAAAGCTCACCCGTGCCGACCAAGAGACGTGCTTTGAAATGCAGCAAGCTCCCGTGCCGTGAGCTTATTGTCCCTTATTGCTTTGAGATGCAGCAAGCTCACGACCCAAATGTCAAGCAATTTGCAAGAACTCAGGTGTGGTGTTCAGCGTACCGATGCCAGAGGCTTGTTGTGATGTGTAGGTGGGTAAACTCATGCCTGTGCTCTCGAATGTACCGCTGTAACGAGGTGACTTTTGAGTCGACTCCAAGGTGCATCAGCGATTGGACTCTGAAGGTACGCGTAGCTTACAGAGGCCAGAGGCTTGTTGTGGAGGTGAGTGAATTCATGCTTGTGCTCTCGAATGTACTGCCTCAGCAGCCCTACGTCCTCCCTGCGGAATATGTCCCACAGCGCTCCTCCCTGCTCGTTGAACCATGCCCCTTCCCTCTCCTCCTCATCCTCCTCCACCTCCTCCTCTTCTTCCCCTTCCGCTTCATCCGCTTTAGCAGCCTCCTCCTCCTTCACTTCCTTCTTCTGCAACTTCTTTTTATGAGGGTCAGTCGTAGCAGCAGTAGTAGGAGCAGCAGCAGCAGCAGCAGCAGCAGCAGCAGATGGCTTCTTCGCATCACCTTCTATAGCTGCCATAGCTTTGGATGGCGTGGCATGCAGAGCAGGAGCAGCAGCAGATGGAGATGGGTGCTGAGGGAAAGCGGAATGCAGAAGGCACAACGCGTCACCTAGATTCATCTCCCTTCCCCACTTCCTGTCATCTCCCCCCTCGCTCTCCGCACCTCCTTTCTCCTTCTCCTTTTCCTTTTCCTTCTCCCTCTCCTCTTCCTTCTCCTCTTCCTTCTCCTCCTTCTCCTTCTCCTTCCCCTTTTCCTTTTCCTTCTCCTTCTCCTTCTCCTCTTTCTCCTCCGTCTCCTTCCCCTTCTCCTCCTCCTTCTCCTCCTTCTCATCCTTCCCCTTCCCCTTCTTCTCCTCCTCCTTCCCTACCTCGCTCCTCTCCCTCCCCTTCTCTCCTCCCTTCGCCCTAGTCCTCTCCACCTCCTCTCGCAGCCGTCGCACGAGCTTCTCTTGAAAGGGCTTCAGCGGCACCTCCTGGCAGTGCGTCATCACGTTCACCTGGCCACACAGAAGTAGGCGGGGTGAAGGGGGAAAGCAGGGGAGGAAAAGGAAAACAGTCAGAACACTCTTGCTCTTGGAACGGCTTCAGAGGCACTTCCTGGCAGTGCGTCATTATGCGGCCACCCACACCCACCCCCACCCACACTCACCGCATCAGACATATCGCAGTGCAGCTTGGTCACCGAGTCCCCCGCGCCCACATTCACATGTAGCGCGTATCGACAGTCACCCACCCACACACACCCACACTCACCGCATCGGACATATCGCAGTGCAGCTTGGTCACCGAGTCCCCCACGCCCAGCTCGCCCCTCATGCCATACGCGATATACGTCTTGGGCCCCAGATCCGGCCTCAAACTCCCCTTAGGCGCCGCTGCCGTCGCCGCCACATTCACATGGCCCTCCTCGGGGTGCAGGTACGCGTGGAAGGGCAGGGCGTTGATGAACTCGGAGCCGTGGCGGGGCAGGCGCTGGTGAAAGTAGGCGGAGGGCGGCCAGTCTTTCAGCTTCAGCAGCTCGGGCCAGCAGGAGGAATGCATGCGGCCCGACCAGTAGCCCTCGAAGAACTGGCGAGTGTTGATCTTCACCTGAGGGGAGGGGGGACGAGGGAGGGGTGGAAGGATGGAGGAGCGGAAGGAAGGAGGGAGCAAGGACTTTTTGAAAAGACTAACTTCGAGCCAGTCAAGGCAGTCAAGCCCCAGTCAAGCCCCAGTCAAGCCCCAGTTTAGGCCCAGTCAAGCCCCAGTCAAGCCAGTCAATCATCGCGCTGACTCAGCCCTGCCTGCGCCTCACCTCGAGCCAGTCAAGGCAGTCAATGGCGACAACGCTGGTCTTCTCACTCATCTGCGCGCCAGGAGTCGTCTCCCTGAACGCCCTCCACATAACCAGAGGCTCCCAGCTCAGCCCATGCCTTAGGTCCAGCACCTGCCGCACCACCACCGGCTCTCCGCGTTCCCAGTGCTTCTGAAAATGCGCCACCATCTTTGCCTCATCTCGCTCCTTCTCCTCCTCCTTCTTCCCCTCTTTTCCAGCTTCCTCACTTCCCTCTGCTGTTTTCGCATCTCCCTGGTCCTTCTTCCTCTCCCCTCCACCTTCTCCTGCCACTGCTTCGGTTCTCGGCCAAGGGAGGGTCGGGCAGAAGAGGAAATTGTCGGAGCTGCCCGGGCGGCAGGAGGCCCAGAGGAGGCTGTTGGCGTGGCACTCGCGGTTGAGAGCGGTTTTGAAGTGTTTGAAGAGAGAGAGGGCCTTGGGAAAGGACAGGTCCAGCCAGTGGGAAAGACGCGAAGAGGAGGAATCAGAAGGAGAATCACCGGCAGCAGAGGGAGCAGGAGGAGGGGCAGCTGCAGCAGCAGCAGCAATAGAAGAAGCAGGAGCAGGAGCAGGATGCGCAGCAGCACCATCAGCAGGAGCACCAGCATCCCGAGCAGCAGGAGCAGGAGTAACAGCATTAACAGAAGCAGCAGCAGGAGCAGCAGCAGCAGCACCAGCACCAACATCAGGAGCAGCAGTATCAGAAGCAGCACCACCAGCACCAGCACCAACAGCAGCAGCAGCATCAGCAGCAGAACCAACATCAGGAGCAGCAGGAGCAGGGGGAGCAGCAGGAGCAGGGAGAGCAGCAGGAGCAGCAGCAGCAGCAGCAGCACCAGCACCAACATCAGAAGCAATGGATGGCTTGCTGCTACTGCCGCCCTTCTCCTCCTCGACCGAATCAATCTCCCCTTCTCCCTGCTTCTGCTTCTCTTGGTCCTCCTCCCCCTTCACCTTCCCTGCTTCCTCCTTACCATTCCCATCCTCCTCACATGCTATCCTCCTCTCGTTCCGCTTGCGCTGTAAATCACTCCAAACAGATGCAAGCGCCAGCATGAGTCGGTGCATGTGTGAGGATTTATCCTCGCATGCCCCGCACCCCTTCCCCGCACTGCTTGTCATATCCATACGTGTCTTCATCTCTACTACCTCCTTCTCCCTGCTTACCCCCTCCCCTCCTTTCTCCCCGTCTTCCTCCATCTGTTTCACACCTCCCTTGCCTTCCTCATCCTTTTCCCCCGCTCCCTCTCCCTTTTCCCCCTCTCCCTTCTTCTCTCTCCCTTTCCCCCCCTCCCATTTCCATTTCTCCCTCTCCCTTTTCCCCCTCTCCCTTTTCCCCCTCTCCCTTCTTCTCATCTCCCTTTCCACCCTCTCCCATTTCCATTTCTCCCTCTCCCTTTTCCCCCTCTTCCTTCTTCTCGTCTCCCTTTCCCCCCTCTCCCATTTCCATTTCGCCCTCTCTCTTTTCCCTCTCTTTCTTTTCTCCCTCTCCCTTTTCCTCCTCTCCCTTTTCCCCCTCTCCCTTTTCCCTCTCCCTTTTCCCCCTCTCCCTTTTCCTCCTCACCCTTTTCCTCCTCACCCTTTTCCCCCTCTCCCTTTTCCCCCTCTCCCTTTTCCCCCTCACCCTTTCCCACCTCTCTCTCATCCCCTTCTCCACTCCTGCTCCTCCCACGTTCACCATCAGCATCCCCCATATGCTGCTCACATTGCTGCAGGAGCCCTTCTAACCACCCGCGGCCCCTCACACTACATAGCACCAGCCTATTCTTGCTCTCCCACTGCTCTCCCTGCTTGCACTCTTCCGTCTTTTCTTCTGCCTTCCCTTCCGCCGCCTTCCCCTCCACCTTCCCTTCCACCTTCCCTCCCACCTTCCCCTCCACCTTTCCTTCCACCTTTGCCACCGTCCCCTCACCTGCCTTCTCACCCATTTTCCCGTCCACCTTCTCACCCTCCACACCCTCCACTTCCATAGCATCTGCAGCCGAAACACCATCTGCCACTCCATCCTCATCCACCTGACCTCCCTCCTTCCCATCCCCTTTCTCCTGCTTACCCTTCTTCCCTTCCTCCCGTGCCTTCTCCCCGTTCTTCCCTCCCTCCTCCCCACGCTCCTTCCTCTCCTCCTTCGCCTCCCCTCTGCCTCCATCCACCACTCTACACCGCACAGAAGGGCACCGAATCGCCCCAGAAGCATCAGCAACCCACTGAACTCTCACCCCATTCGCCTTCCTACCGCTTCCATCCCCCCCACCATCCCCATCAGCATCAACAGCAGCATCACCCACACCAGCAGCACCTTTTTCCTGTGATTCCGCAAAAGACAAACCCAACTCTTTCATTAGCATACTTGCAACAGACTCTCCCTTGGTCGACCCACTCCCTCCACCACTGCCAGCCTTCCTTTTCTTGCCCGGCTTTCCTAACCCCACAGAACCCTTTCTTTTCTTGCCTTTCCCCCCTCCCTCTCCTCCCTCGGTTTCAGCCTCATCCTCTCTTCCCCCCTTCCCTCCTCTCCCTTCTTCCTCTCCCTCCTCCTCCCCATCCCCTCCCTCACTCTCTTCAGGGAAAACCTCTCCTGGGGGTATTTTCCCTGCCCGCAAATCTCTGCAGCAGGAAAGGCAGAGGTCGAAATCACAATCCTTGTCCGGGCAGCTGCGGAAAAGGTCAATGATGGACGTCTGGCAGTGTGAGCTGTTGGGGGCAGGTGCAGGAAAGTTTTGTGGGGCAGAAAAAAAAAAGAATAAAAAAAAGGGAGGGAGACCAGAGAAAGAAGTGGCTTCTGGGAAAAGTGAAGAAACAGAAAAGCACAGAGGGGAGAAACAGAATGACACAGAAGAGGAAGCAAGAAGAGACATGCGAAGATTGGAGTGACTTTTGAGTGACCATTGGCATAAAAGAGCAGTCACGAAAGACGAAAGAATGGCATTGTTTATGGGGTCTGAAAGAAAGGAACAAGTGCAATCATATGGTTTCAGGGAGTGCTATGGTCAGGGAGTGCGGTGCTGACCAGAAGATGCGCTCGTCTACTGCGATCTTCACTCGCTGGATATCCACTTCTGCGACAGGGAGACACACCGACACACACGCATGCAGACACACACACGCGCGCGCACAATGTGGTACATTTGCACAACACAACACAACAAATAAATAACACGCGAACGCAACAAACACCCACAAGGCCACACGTGCACATCAGATCAATGTATGCATGGCATGACATGACAGTACTTCCGAGCAGGTAAAGGTGCACATGCACAGCACAGGCAGGCAAACACACCTTGGCTGCAAGAAATGCAGTGAGAAACACGCCCGCCCTCAACCATCCCTTCCCCCCAACCACCCTTAGTCGCCGCGCCCCAGCCCGCCTTGCATGACCTTGCCCTGACCTGAACCGTTGCTTCCGGCCTCCACTCATAATGCTCCTGCTGCTCCTGCTGCTGCTGCTGCTGCTGCTGCTGCTGCTGCTGCTGCTGCTGCTGCTGCCACACATACATGCCCCCTCCCTTCCCCACTCCGCCCCAACTACTTTTCAAACCCCTGATGTGATTGCATCGCATCCTACCTTGCTGCTGTTTCAATCCTACCTTGCGGGTCTTTGCCCTGAAGTGCAGCTTCCAGCAGTATCTCCTCCTGCTGCTGCTGCACCAGGTCGGCCAGCACGGGAGTTACATAGCGCAGCACCCGACACGCCATGCCCGCTCGCTCCTCTGCCGATGCACCTGCCGATCGCTGGTAGCGTGGAGAGAGGACGGGACAGGGTGAAGGAAACAGGGCGGAAGGGGGAGGGAGAGGACGAGAGAGAGGGGTATGGGAGATCAGCGATTGCTTGTTATGGCATACGATGGCATGGCGCAGCATTGACAAAATTGATGGTTTTTTCGTCAGTTGACTTAGAAAAGGCACAGCATCAGCATGGACCATTGCAGGGTAGGCAGGCAGACAAGTCATGGAGTGCAGTGCAGGGTTGCTAGTGTGCAGGATTGTCCTGCAGTTTTAGTTACCAGTTGACTCAGACAAAGAATAGCATGGGGTATGGCAAGGCACTGACATAGGGTGCAGGGATGCGGGTGCGGAGGCAGGTCTTGCAGTTGCAGTTGCCACGGCACTTGGGACAGAAGGCGATTATCTCCTCCACTGTGTACATGGGGTACCTGCTCCATGCATGCATGCCACGTGCATCCACGTGTGCTCCCACGTGCACCCACGTGTACCCATGTGTACTCATGTGTACCCATGTGCATCCACGTGTGTACCCATGCATGCATACACGCATGCACATGTACACGCATGCATACATCCATGCATCCATCCCCAAACACCCATGCACCCATACAAGCGCGCATGCACCCATGCACCCATACAACCCCATCCATGCATGCGGTTAGGAACACACGAGGAGGGGTTAGTGGCTAGCTTCAAATATGACAGGAAGAGGTCAAAGTGAGGAGGGAGAAAAAGGAGGGGAGGGAGAAAAGTGTGATACATGCACAGAAAGATCGAGGGTGGAGAAGCAAGGAGGAGAGGGAGATGGAGGGAGAGGTGGCGGGAGGGGAGAAGGAACCGAAGCAAACCAGGCAGGACGACAGCAACAGGTCGAGAGCTTGGGATGGAGCAGAAGAGGAAAAAAAAGGGGGGAGGGGGGGGTGAGGGGAGGTTCTGGGGCAGTGGGGAACGGAGTAGGGAGTGGGAAAAGGTAGGGAAAGGGGGGAGTGAAATGGGGAGGTGAAGGGGAAGGGGGAGCACCACTGGCGGATGCAGGGGAGGCAGAAGCGGTGGGTGGGCACGCGCTTGCAGTATACCACGCCCTCCTCCTTGTCGTTACGCTGGCACTGGTGGCACATGCGGTTCATGCCCTGGTGACCCGAATGGATAAATGGATGGATGGGCGGGTGCGGACAGGGGGAGAGACAAAGCGGAGGGAAGGAGAGACAAAAATGGGGCACACGGAGAGTAACGAGACGGGTCGGAGGTTGCTTGCGCTGGTACTGGTGGCACATGCGGTTCATGCCCTGGTGGCCCGGATGGATGGATGGATGGATGGGCGCGGACACACAGGGGGAGAGACACGGCAGAGGGAAGGAGAGGAGAGGGAGGAAGGCAGCAACAGGATTCGCTTCGAGGTCTGATCTGATCTGTTACAACGAGAAGCGTTACCTGTTGGTGAAAGGCCAAGGCAAGGCGGCAACTGTGTAAAGAGCTGTTGAGATGAGACGTCAGGGCCCCCACAGCACACTAAGAAATCGACGCTCCTCCTTACTTTTGGTCAAGATCATACCCGAATGGCCTTGCTTGGGGTAGACGGAGAGGCCAGCCCCGCAGCCTTCTCAGCAGCAGCGCGGTGGGGTCTGCCAGTCCCAGTAGCCACCGCCACCGCAGCAGCAGGAGCAGGAGCAGCAGGAGCAGGAGCAGCAGGAGTAACATGGCCACCTTCCTCGTCCTCCTCGCCACTGCTACCACCACTGCCCGTTCCACGTCCCTGCGCCTTGCCCCTCTTGCTGCTCCTGCCGCCCTTACCGCCACCCTTGCTGCCTTCCCCTGCCCCTCCACCAGTACCCCTCGTCTCCACCACACCTGCCTTCTCCTCCGTCGCAGCGCTCCTCCTCCTCTTGGCCGCAGCGGGAGAAGCAGCGGTAGGCGAGGCGAGGGGTGACGAGGGCGCGGGGGGGGACGCAGCAGCAGCAGCAGCAGCAGCAGCAGCAGCACGGACTGGAACAGCCTTGCTCCTTCTGCCGCCGCCACTCGCACTGGTCCTCCTAGGGCTACTGATGACTAGATCAGCAACCTCTGCTGCCTTTGCACCTCCCTTCCCATTCCCCTTTCTATCTCCTTTCCCATCCCCCTTCCCATCCCCTTTTCCATGCCCCTTCGCACCCCCCTTTGCATCCCCTCTTGCATCCTTCTTCACACCTCCCTTCACCTGCACCTCTTTTGATGTCTCCTTTGGAGCCTTTTTCAACCCCGTCGGCCCCTTCCCTTCTGCACCCGTCCCTGCCGTCCCTGCAGTCTTGCCTTTACCTGGCCCCTTCTGCTGCTCCTTCCCCTGGGTCTTGTGCCTTCTTCCCTTCTCCCTCGCTTCTCCTGCTTGCCACTCCTCCTCCTCTTCCTCCTCTTCTTCCTCCTCCTCCTCTTCCTCCTCCTCCTCTATCTCCTCCACTTCCCCCTCTTCCTGTTTTTTCTTCCATTTCTTCTTCTCCTCCCCTTTCCTACCCCTCTTCCCGCCCTTCGTTGCACCCACTCTCCCTTTCCTCTGCGCCCCCTTCCCTTTCCGCTTCCCACCAGTCACCTCCTCTGCATCCTCACTGCTGCTATCTACCACAACAGCAGCAGCATCACCACCACCAGCACCATCACCGCCACCAGCACCATCACCACCACCACCATCACCACCAGCATCAGTAGATTCACTCTGCAGGTCAACTGCAGCATCATCAACATTTTTCTTCTCTTCATCCGCCCCATCCGCCTTTCCACCCTTTCCCTTCCTCCCATATCCCCCATCCGCCTTCCCTTCATCCGTCTTTTTCCCCTCCGCCTTCTCCCCATCCGTCTTCCCCCCTTCCACCTTCCCCCCATCCGTCTCCCCCCCATCCGTCTTCCCCCCATCCGTCTTTTCCCCCTCCACCTTCTCCCCAACCTTCTTTCCCCCTTCTTCCACCTTCCCCCCATCCGTCTTCCCTCCATCCGTCTTTTCCCACTCCACCTCCTCCCCAACCGCCATTCCCCCTTCTTCCACCTTTCGCCCATCCGCCTTTCCCCCTTCCAACTTCCCTCCATCCGTCTTTCCCCCTTCCACCTTCCCCCCATCCGCCTTCTCCCCATCCAACTTCCCCCCATCCTCCTTCCCCAGCTCCGACTTTCCCCCATCCGACTTCCCCTCGCCCGTCTTCTCTTCATCCGTCTTCCCCCCGTCCGTCTTCCCCCCGTCCGTCTTCCCCCCGTCCGTCTTCCCCTCGTCTGTCTTCCCCATCTCCCCCTTCTCCCCATCTCTGCCACCAGCCTCGCCTGTTTCCAGCAGCACTGCAATCGCACTCCCCCCGCCGCCCCCTCTTCCTCTCCCTCTACCCCTTCTTCCCACCACCGCCCGCACCTCTCATGCCCACACCTCCTTCCCCCTTTCCCACACCTCCTTCCCCCTTCCCCACACCTCCTTCCCACTTCCCCACACCCCCTTCCCCCTTCCCCACACCACCTTCCCCCTTCCCCACACCACCTTCCCCCTTCCCCACACCACCTTCCCCCTTCCCCACACCACCTTCCACCTCCTCCCCAGCCAGCTTCCCTCCATCACCCTCCCCAGCCTTCCCCTGCCCCTCTCCCCCTTCTCTCCCTTTCTGCTGCTTCATTCGGCTCAAACCCACCCCTTCCCTGTGCTCCCCACCCTGTTCCCCACCCCCTGAAGCTCCCGCTCTCAACAGCACCTCTAAGGGCTTCTTTCTAGCAGCCCCTCGCCGGGCCCCTTTGGGAGAGTTGCTGATAGCCAACAGTGGGTCAAACTCGCCTTCCTTTCCCTCTTCCTGCTTGCTGTTCCTACTTTCCTGCTCTTTCTTCTTCTGCTGTTTCTGCTTCTGATGCTGCTGCTTCTGCTGCTGCTGCCTATCCGTATCTGTATCCTTACCCTTTGAAGTTCCACTCTTAACCTCCTTGCCATCAGTGCCCCCAACCTTCTTCTCTGCATAATCCACCATCCCCTCTCTCTCACCTCCACTCCCCTTCCCCTCCTCCCCGCCCTCCCCGCCCTCCCCGCCTTTCTCGACTACCACCCCACCAGCAACCTCCCCTTTCTTCTTTCTTTTGGGCAGCTTCGCCTCCCCCTCCACCAATCGGACCACCTCATCCGGTCCCTGCCCGATCTCGAAAACATGTTCTCTGCCCTGGAGCTTCCGGCGCAGTTCACTGGCAGCAGCGGAGCCTCTCAGGTGTTTTCCACAGAGCTCGGAACACCTGGAGGCAACAGAGAGAGCGAGAGTGCGGAGCGGGATACCATCGCTGCCTCGCTTCTTCAGCTCTTCAATACACACGGTCAGGAGCGGTGGAAAAGGAGGAGACAGAGGCGGAGAAAGAGAGAGGAGAAAGGGGAGCGGAGGCAGATGGTGCTCCCGCTCCGGCTCTTTCTGGGCTGGCGAGATCTTTCACTCCTGCGCTTCCTGCTCCTTTAGCCTTCCCTTCTTCACTGGTCTTCTCTTCCAAGCTTGCGTCGCCCCCTCCTTCGTCTTCCCTCCCCTTCTTCGGCTTCTCTTCCTTTTGCTTTCCCTCTTCCTCGTTTTGCTTCTCCCCTTCCTCTCCCTTCTCGCCTTCCTCCTCCTTCTTCCCCTTTTCCGCTTCGTCCTTCTCTGCGTGACTCTTCTTTTCCTCCACCCCTTTCTCCTTCTCTTCTACATGTTTCTGCTTCTCCTCTATTTTCTCCTTTTCTTCCACCTCTTTTTCCTTCTCCTCTACCTCTCTCCTCTTCTTCTCTTCCTCTTTAACTGCTCCGTCCTTCTCATCACGTCCCTTCTCAACACTCTCATCTGTCTTTCTCTCGCTGCCCTCTTCCACTCCTCCAACCGCATCCTTTCCCTCTTGTTTCTCCTCCTCCTTCCCCTTCTCCTTTCCCTCCTCCTTATTTTCCTCCCTCGTCTCCTTCTTCCCTTCCTCCTTGCCCTCCTCCTTTCCCGCCTCCTTCCGCTCCTTCCCCCTCTCCTCCTTCCCCTCCTCCTCCTTCACTTCCCCCTTCCCCTCCTCCTTCTCCTCCTCCTTACCCTCCGCCTTTCCCGCCTCCTTCCGCTCCTTCCCCCTCTCCTCCTTCCCCTCCTCCTCCTTCACTTCCCCCTTCCCCTCCTCCTTCTCCTCCTCCTTACCCTCCTCCTTTCCCTCCACCTTCTCCTCCTTCTTCCCCTCCTTCTCCCCCTCCCCTTTTCCCTCCTTCTCCTCCTCCTTACCCTTCTCCTTTCCCTCCTCCTTCCCCTCCGTCCTCCTCTCCTCCTCCTCTTCCTCCTTCCCCTCCTTCTTCCCGTCCCCCTTCCCCCCCTCCTTCCCCTCCCCCTTTCCTTCCTCCTTCCCCCCCTCCTTCCTCTCCTCCTTGCCCTCATCCTTCCCCGCCTTAACCTCCCTCGCAACCTCCTCCTTAGCCTCCTCTCCTTTAACTACACTCTCACTCGCTTCCAAAGCCTCGCCCTTACCATCTCCTTCTGCCCCTCCACCCCTCTCACATCCCTCCTCACCCATCGCACCAACATTACCCTCCTTTCCCTCTTTACCCTCCTTAAACTCCGCACCCTCCGCTCCTCCCCTTCCTTGCAACATTGATCGTCGACTACTCTCACCCGTCGCCCTCAGCGTTCCTCCACCCCCACTCTCTTCCTCCATCCTATCCTGTCGCAGGAACGCGCTAACCCTAAATGGACTGTTGAGGCTGCGTCAACCCTAAACGGCCGGTACGAATGCGGGTAACCCTAAACGACACGCGTGGCACGGGTAAAATCTCCCCCTTTTCGCACTCTCCGCCGTCTCTTTCCCGCCCAACCTTCCGCTCGCGCTTGCCGCGAAGCAGCGGGGCGCCTTGCGCGCACGCGGCGCCACAGAAGCGGCGAGGGCAGACGCACGAACTGGGTACGGTGTTGCCTTAAGGTGAAAGAACAAGCGAGCACGGCCTTCAATTCCGAGTCGCGAAACGCGCGTCAAGAGACATGCGGTGCGGCCAGGCAGGAGAACAAGCAAGGGCGCGCCGTTTCCACGACACCCAGAACTAGGGTAACTGGTCTTCGTCGGTCCCTCGCAATCTTTGCTGCTTAGCGACAGCGGCGATAGCGACGAGCAAAATTTTCTCCTGTGGTGAAAGACGACGAATGACTGATAGCTTCTTCGCCAACAGGAATAGACGAAGGTTACGGTTGAGTGAACGCTGCCACGTGAATGCAGGCAAATGTATACGGCTGACTGGCCGAGGTCAACTGAACGCGGTTAACTGAATGCAGTTGACTGAACGCGCTTGACTCGGTTGACGGAACACTGTTAAGTGAGTGCGGTTAGCTGAGTTGCGAGACAGTGATACCTAACTTATGTTGGAGCGGCGATAAGTCGCGGGCGAGCGGATGGCAGCGCGCGAACGACGCCGTGTGCGATAATAACGAAGGCTGCCGGCACTTGGGCGGGCCCGTGCACGAGAACGCCTAGGTCGCACGGGAGGACGGCTGGGTTGCAACGATAACCGAGGCCCGATGCCAAGAGAACAAGGAAGAAGATACTGTAGCAGGCTCGCGAAATGCATCGGGGTAAACAGCACGTCGAAGCCTCACCCTCACCCTCGCGGTTCAGAACCTATACACGTTAGGAGCACGAGAGGATATGTAGCAGAACAAGAGACTTGTACAGAGGATGGTACATATATTGGAGGGGGTGGAACATAAATCAGTAATTGGTACATATACATGGGATGGTAAACTAGAGGAAGGTTCATGTACGGACAATGCTACATGTGGTGTGTACATGAGTAATAGTACATAAATTTACCTGAATGAGAAGGAAGGTATAGGTTATCACCAGTATCCGTAAAATCCCATCTTTTTTTGTTGCGTGTTGTTTCAGCCAGCTTTTTCATTCTCTCATAACCATATCTATGTAGCTCGCATGTTGTAATGCTGGCTACTGAATTTACAACCGCATTGCTCATATAGCGTCTTACGCATCCTCTTTCCAAACCCCCCATGCCCCCACCAGCAACCCGCCATCAATCGTAGATCGGCCGCCGCACCCGGGCCGTGGTCTCCCTCTCCCACACCCCACACACACCGCACAAAGCCCGCCCTGCCTGCCACCAAGGCAACAATTGTGCGCCAATTACCAGTAAGGGTCAGAAAGTTCTGCCCGAAATTCTAGCAAAGAGCGCAATAATTTCTTCAGTCACGAAATTAGAGCATAGTTAAAAATATTTGCGATTCCGAAATTCAAACACCATTTAAGTGTACCATGCTTCCCACAACAGGCAGCACAACGAAAAAGGAATCTCAAGGGCTGGTTTTTCCAGGCTCGGCTTTGGTCTGCCCGACCTGGCGCCTGCCAGTGTCGCGGCGGACCCAGAGCTGTTGAAACCTCGGAGCTTCGTTGTGTCTCCGTCCAAACCAACACCCTCGGGAGCATCTGTGAGTGCCGAGACAGCGGGGCCGTAGATTTGAGTATGCCGATGACGAACGATCACGATGATCCTGTTCGGGCGGATTCTCTTGGTGCAGCCGCAAGCCGCAGAGAGAGGGTAAAGGGGTTGGAGTACTGGAAGTCGGATGATTACTGTGCTAGTTCAGCTCTGACCGTCTAGTCATAATTTTGGGCAGGTTATTCCTGATCGTCTAGCAAGGCTGTGCGTTGTGGGTGAGATCCAGACGTTCATTCAGACGTTATCACAGAAGAATTAATCTACTGTAGACTTCTTCTCGAAGGAAACCGAACAGTCTCGTTACTTATATCGATGCAATGGATGATGGTTCATCAGCCAAGGTGACCCCCGCTGCTGCCAACGCGAAGGGGTCTGGCGGGTCTTCGGCTGCAGCCAAATCTCCTGCTGTTGACGTTGGCTCCGATGCTCCCGCGCTACCCGCGCCGCAAACGACTGCACAAATCGCGGCAGGTGCGGCGACGATTCCTGCACACGCATCAGCCTCGTCACCGCTTCCTGCCTCCACGCCGGCGCCTGATCCGGCTGCGCCCTCCCCCGCGCCTCCGCCTCCGCCCGTGGCGGCACAATCAGTCGCGCCTAAGGTGCTTTCACCAAATCCAAAGCCACCTGTCACCCCAACACCGGTGGCTGTATCAGCACCTACAGCCGCTGCGACACCAGCAGCCCCTGCGACACCAGTGGTCTCTGCGACACCAGCAGCCCCTGCGACACGAGCAGCCGCTGCGACACCAGCAGCCCCTGCGACACCAGCAGCCGCTGCGACACCAGCAGCCCCTGCGACATCAGCACCCCCTGCGACATCAGCAGCCCCTGCGACACCAGCAGCCGTTGCGACACCAGGTGCCCCTGCGACACCAGCAGCCGCTGCGACATCAGCAGCCCCTGCGACTCCCAAAGGAGGGCCGTTAACTTCACCCGCGGTTACTTCGTCTCCAGCACCAACTGTTACATCACCTCCAGCACCCGCAGCGGCTCCCACCGTATCACCACCAACGCCTGCTGTTGCACCGTCGGTCTCCCCCGCGCCGTCCCGCGCAGTCGTGACGTCAACAGCAGCGGTTACACACTCAAGTGCTACAGGATCACCTACAGCTGTGACCCCAGCGCCCGCAATCGTAGCACCAACCGCAGCTGAAGCGGCTGGTTCGGCACGAGCAGCTGTGGCACCACAAGCAGCGGCACCAGCAGCACCAGCACCAGCCGCAAAATCACCTTTGCCCTCTTCTACTCAATCCCCCGCAACTGCTGCTCCAGTGCCCGCCCCTGCACCACCACGCGCAGTCGCGCCCCCCGCGCCCGCGCCTGCAGTTGGCGCCACCCGATCTCCTCTAGCACCAACGGCGCGCTCAGCGACTGATGGATCACCAGCATCAGTACGCGCAGCACCACCCCCATCATCCCAAACACCTTCCCCCGCATCTGCTGCGCCTGGGAAACCGTTGCAAGCTGCAGCACCCGCAGTTGCGCAAGCAACTCCCTCCGCGCCAGCCCCGGGAGTACCGCGCGCACCCTCTCCCGCGGCGGCGCCCCCTGTCGCGCTTCCGCCCACCGCCGCGAAACCCGTTGCTGCGCCGACGTCGGGAGCTGCACAATCAGCGGTAGTTCCCCCTGCGCCTCGGCCTTCTTTAGCGCCCACTAAAACAGCCCCCGCAGCTCCCCCCCCACTATCCCGAACACCTTCCCCCGCAGCACCTCCCGCAGCACCCCCCGCAGCACCCCCCGCAGCAACCCAAGCGCTATCCCAAGCATCAGCCCCCGCAGCACCCCCTGCGCCATCCCCCGCAGCACCCCCTGCGCCATCCCCCGCAGCACCCCCTGCGCCATCCCCCGCAGCACCCCCTGCGCCATCCCCCGCAGCACCCCCTGCGCCATCCCCCGCAGCTCCCCCCGCAGCACCCTCTGCGGGATCTCTAGCTGGTCGATCTTTGCCCGCGCCAAAACCCGCCGGCGCTGCGCCGACTCTCCCCGCTGCACATTCATCCGCGCAATCAGGCTCAATGCCGCGACCCACAGCTGGGGCATTGGTGCGGATAACCCCTCCGCCACGACAGGCCTCCCCCGCCCCCTCTCCCGCCGTCCCCGCCCCCGCCCCCGCCCCCACCCCCGCGCTTGCTTCCGCGGTTCCCCCCGTGCCTCGTACTGTGTCAGAACTGCTAGCGCATGAGGTGCTGAAATGCGGAGGGGAAGCGGTGCCGCCTGCATCTTCCCGCCCTGCTGCTGTTCCGCCTGCGCCTGCGCCTGCGCCTGCAGGTGCGGCTAAGGTTGCACCTGCGCCTGCGCCTGTGTCGGTGCCTGCAGCTGGGCCTGCTCCCGCGCGCGCAGGGGGGGGAAAGCGGCGGTGGTCGCAGCCCCGCCAACGAGTGGGGGGAAGCCTGCGGGTGATTCTAAGATGACTGACGCAAAGCCTGCAACTGCAAAAGCAGCTGGGGAGGTACAGTCGACTGGCGCGGCAACGGTGGCTGTTAGTGGGAGGTCGGGAGCCGACGCGTCGGTTGCGACGGAGGTAAAGCCAAGAGTGACCGAGGGTATAGCAGCAGCAGCGCCGAAGGCAGGAGCAGCGGTGACTAAGGCAGGACCAGGAGCAGCGACCAAAACAGGAGCAGCAGCGACTAAAACAGGATCAGCAGCACCTAAACCCGGAGCAGCAGCAGCAGCAGCAGCAGCAGCAGCAGCCGCGTCTAAAACAGAGCCTTCCTCCTCGTCCGCCAAGCCCGCAGGAGCTTCCGCGGCAAAGGCCGCCTCGACACCACCGCCCAATAAACCGCCTCCGCCCCCGCCCCAGCCAGTAAAGCCGTTTGAGCTGGAGGATCTAGTTCGAGGCGACGTGCGCGCGATTAAGGAGCGGATGAAACGCGCGGGGCAGGACGAGACGATGCTGCGGTTGAAGGAGGAGTTTCGCGCGCTCATGGATGGTAGCGGCGGCGCGGGCGGGGGCAACGGGAGGGTGGGAGGCGGGAGTAGCAGCTTAGGCGGGATTTACGGCGGGCGCGGGTGTCTCACGTGCGTGATAGTCGCGAATAAGGAGAAGGCCGGGAAGGGCGGGTCGAACGGATTCGTATCCCCGATATGCGATAGAGTGTTGAAACTACAGGCGGATCTAGAAGTACACTTGGCGTCGCAAAGGAAGGCTCTTAGAGACAGCTTCGCGAATTACCTCGAGATATTAATCGCCATTCGGTACTCCCTAAGGACGCTATACCTGCAGAAGAACTCGAAGCGCACTATTGGCGACCTGGTAGAGATCTTATTAGGAGACCGGTGCTTACACTGCTGCTGCCCGTTAGGCGGAGACGGGTACTGCAGAGCGTGCATGTGCGCGCTGTGCAAGAAATTTGACGAGGACCTCGTTATAGACAGGTTTCGGAATAAGACTAAGACGGGGCGGTGGCTCCAGTGCCCGTCGCCCAAGTGCGGCTGTTACGTGCACACGGACGGCGCGTTGGAGTGCGGATTGGTGCGGGTTCTCACGGAAAAGGAGGCGGAAAGTGCGCTCACGGGTCCCGCGGAAGCAGGAGGAGCGGGTGGGGGGGGAGGTTCTGTGGGAGAGGGAGGAGCGGGGGGAGCGGGGGGAACGGGAGGAGCGGCAGTCCTTGAGAGTGCAGCTTCTAGTGGAAATGCAGCTTCCGTTGTTAGTGGTGAGGGCGCAGCAGCTGTTGAGGGGGCGAAAAGGGGAAGGGAGGAGGAGAAGGATGCAGGTGCACGTGCGGGTGCGGGTGCTACTTCGGGTAGTGATCAAGACAGGGATGCGCGTAAGGGGAGTGACAGTAACGGAGGAGGGAAGCGTGTTAAGGTGGAGAGTGGTGTGATTGAGGGGAGTAAGGCCAAGGTTAAGGCAGAACCGGATGCAGCAGAGGCTGTAGGGGCTATAGGATTGCTAAACTCACCTCCTAAACCATCTCCACCGAATCCACCTCCACCCAACCCCTCGCCACCCAACCAAACTCCGCCCATCCCACCCCCGCCCAGTCCAGCACCGCCCAGTCCACTTCCGCCCCCTTCACACAGCGGAAGCGCCAGCCGCGCGGACAGTGAAGCCGCGCCCAGCGCGTCCGCCGTTGGCGGAGCGGAAGGGGGGAGCCCCGCGTCCCCTCCAAGCGCTATCGCAGGTGTAAGGGCAGGGGCAGGGGCGGCCGCAGGTGCAGGCGCAGGGGCAGGGGCACGGACAGGCGCAGGCGCAGGGGTGGGCGCAGGCGCGGGCGCGGGCGTGAACGCGCTGGGGAGTCCGGGAAGCGGGGGAAAGGGGACACCCTCGCCTGCAGGGAAGCGGACGTTTGCAGGGGGTGGGGGAACGGGTGCGCGCGTGCCAGATTGCATGCAATTCGTGTGCCCCCTGTGCGGTTACACTAGCGCGATGTGGGACTTGTTTCGGGAGATGCTGACGACGAGTGCAGGGGTGAAGAAGAAGGATATGGGGAAGTTGAGCGAGGAGATGGCGCGGGTGATGAGGGTGACGCGCGGTGCAGAGTGGTGCGAGCCGTACCAGCGGCTGCAGGAGCGGTTGACCGCGGTGATGCAGAGTAACGAGGGGGTGAACAAGGTGGTGGGGGAGCTGCGAGCGTGTTTCGGCGTACAAGGTGAGGGTGGGGCGGAGAGAGGGGTTTGCTGGGGGAAAAAGGGCGCTTCTGGTTGTGAGGAAAGGCCATGGAGGAAGGGCGCAGCACAATAAAGGCTCCATAATTGCCCCTTTGTTCTCTGCCCTCCCCACCCTTCTTACCAAAACCCCCCACATATCCCCTATTGAATCCCTCTCCCACGTATCAGAGTGCATCCGAGCGCCAGACATGTGGTTTTTGAGGTTACTTAAAGAACGATTCAACATTTAATTTATACTATTGACTGTTGTCTAGAGATTGACTGATGGATGCCGCCTGTTGTTCTGTGCTTCCTCTCCCACACACCAGAGCGTAGACACGTGGCAACAATGCTGGCTGCAGGCAGGAGCACCCTCTCCTTCCCCCCTCCACCCCTCCACTCCACTCCGCCTCCTCCTCTTCCCCCTCCCCATACGCCCCGCGCCCACCTCCCTGCCAACGCCCCTCCTTCTCCATACTCCTCCAGTCTCCCTGCCCCTCTGACTCCCTCGCACTCCCCACACCCCTCACAACCCAGTCAGCCGCCTCCCCTGTCTCTGTCACCAAGCCCCATGCAGACCAATCCTTCTACCAGCCCTCCTACTGTACCTGCCACCGCACCCGCTACCACACCTGCTACCACACCTGCTACCATGCCTGCCGCCGCACCTGCCGCCGCACCTGCCGCCGCACCTGCCACTGGTCCAGTTCCGTCCCATAACGCTTCCTCCTCAGCGCACACTGCTCATGCGCAAGCATCAGCACAGCAGGTCCCAGGGGTAGCAGCATCACAAGGGGCTGTTGAGGCGCCTGGAAAGTCACAAGCTTCAGTGCAGCAGGGGTCAGGTGTAGCAGTAGTAGCATTGCAGGGGAAGCAGCTCGGACCAGGAACTAGGACTCTGCTAGGGACCGGTAGGGGCAGAGGGATGAATGAGAGTGGGGTGGGCGGTGGTAGTGTGCTTGTGGGGCCCAGTACAGGTGCTGTGAATGGTAGTACTGTTGGTGCTGGTGGTGTGGGTGGTGCTGGTGGCAATGTATCGTCTGTTACTGCTCACCAGCTGATGCAACAGCAGCAGCACCAGCAACAGCAGCAGCAGCAACAGCAGCAGCAGCAGCAGCAGCAGCAGCAGCAGCAGCAGCAGCAGCAGCAGCAGCAGCAGCAGCAGCAGCAGCAGCAGCAGCAGCAGCTTCAGCAGCAGCAGCAGCAGCTTAACGGCAAACCCTACTCTGGTTCTGCTGGTGGTGTCTTATCAGGCCAAGAGCACAGGACTGGCGAGCAAGGAGCAGCAGGGCAAACAGCAGGCTATGGGGCATTTTCAGCTTCCAACTCAGCTCCACTCTCCTCCACTGCTGCTCCTCGCCCCCCCACTCATACCGGCCCGCCAAATGCCGCTCTGAAAGCCTCATACACTCTATACAGCACCCAGAAGACCCCTACCAGTGCCTCTGCCTCTTCAAACACCTCCTCCAACGCCCTCTCAAACGCCCTGTCGATCGTCCCCTCTAATTCCCCTCTCACCCTTCTTCCAAGCGGCTCAGACACGCATGCACACAGCCCCAGCCCTCCCCCGACCACACCTGCCAGCCGCAATAATCCCACTGCTCATCTACCTGCTTCTTCCTTTCCGCCAAGTGCGCAGCCGTTCAATAAACCCAATACCCCCGGGTCTACCGCGAATCCTGTGAATCCTGTGTTTTATCCGAATAACGATCCGGGTAGTAGTTCTCATGGGATGGCGAGTCAGCAGCAGGGTAACCACTCGTTCCCGGCAGTCTCGGTAGTATCAGAAGGCCTTCCCCCGGGAGCCAATCCGCTTCTGCCACCTGGCCTGTGCTTGCCCTTCCCCCCTGGTATAGTCACAGAGGAGAGGGTTTCGGCTTCCGCCATTGGATTGGCCCTAGCAGCCCAGTGTGTGACTGTAGTGTCTGTTCCTGAAGAGAGCGGCACAGTTGGGGCGGGAGGGACAGGAGGGGCGGGAGTGGCGGGCGCGACAGGAGTGACAGTAGCTGCAGGATCGGGAGGAGCAGGAGCGGCAGGAGGAGCAGGAGCGGCAGCAGTGGCAGGGGAAGCAGTGGCAGCAGGGGGGCGAGGGGGAGGAAAAGGAGGGGGAGGGAGGGGCGGGGGAGCAGGAGGGAGGGTTACAGTTGCGGAGAAGTTGGGACTGCTGGGGGAGCCAGAGATTGGAGCATATGGAATAATGGGAGGAGCAGGAGGAGCAGGAGGGGGAGCAGGAGGAGGAGCAGGAGGAGGAGGAGGAACAGGAGGATCAGGGAAAGCAGGGGTGGTGGGCAGGGGAAACAGGGGCGGAGGGACAGGTGGAGCGTCGTGGAATAAGGCAGCTCCGACGGCTGGAGAAAGGAGGGACTCCAAGCACCTGAAAGGAGCTACAACTCCAGCAGGGGCAGGCGCAGGGATGGGAAGCAGCGCAAGTGCTGGAGGAGGGAGTAGTAGAGCGGGGTCTGGGGGAATAGGGCCCAGGGGAGGGGGGAGTGTGGGGAGTGTGGGGAGTATGGGGGGGGTGGGGGGGGGCAGTGTGGGGAGCTTGGGAGGAGGAGCAGTGTCGGCCATTGCAGGGATAGTGCAGCCACCACTGCCAGAGTTCAGGGTATGGCGGATTTGGCTTGTGTGTGCGTGTTGAATAGGCAATTTGGCATGGGCTTTTTGGGATTCATGTTCACATGCGATGAGGGTATTATCATGCGTGGGCATGGGGAGTGTTGTAAGGGTGGGAGTGGGAGTGGGAGTGGAAGTGGGGGTGGGAGTGGGAGTGGGAGTGGGAGTATGATTGGTTTGAGATGGTGTGCTGTGCTCAGTCCCTCCCTGCTCCGCTTCCCTATTTGCCTGCTTGACCTTATGTGCCTCCCTTGAGTTTGTGTGCCTCCCAGTTACCTCTCTCTCTCCACTCATCCTCTCCCGCATCTTTCTCTGTGCTCTGTTCATCCACCCGTCCATCCATTTCTCCGCCCATCCAGAACATATACAACGGCGCTCCGATTCCCCTTCCTCCAACGCTGAAGAAAGCAGCAACAGGAGGAGACACCTTCCCTGCGCTCCCGCCCTCTCTGCTCGCCTCTCACCACAATCTCTACTCTCGCCAAGTTCCCCCTCTCCCCTCGCAGCCCCACTCAACTGCTGCTGCTGCAGCTGCTGCTGCTGCTGCTGCTGCTTCATCTCTCCCACTCTCCGCCACCACTTCCGCCACAGCTGCTGCCGCTTCTCCTACTGCAGCTGCTGCTGTCTTAGCAAACGGCAATGTCTCCACACTTCAAAATGCTGCTGCCACTGCTGCATCTACTAGAGTGTCTCATCCTGCTGCTGCTGCTGCTGCTGCTGTTGGTGCGGAGAAGGAACAAGTGGGCAATGGTGGTCTGCAAGCAAGAGAATCTCAGGCGAGTGACAAGATCACGGGAGGGGTTGAGAGCAGTGAACGGAAGAGAGATGCAGACTACAGCGGGGGGATGGGCCATGAGGAGGTGAAGAGGCGCAAGACAGGAGGCGAGGGGGCCAGTGGTGACAGAGGGGTGGCGAATGGAAAGGTGAAAAATGAAGGCGGGGAGTTTGCAGGAGGGGCGATTCAAGGGGGCATGGAAGAGGCACTAGTGGGTGCTATAGTTGGGAAGCTGGAGCGGAGGCGTCGGGATTTGGAGGAGAAGCGGAGGGAGAGGAGAGAGAGGCTGGATGTTATTGTAGGGAAGCGGAAGGAGGTGCAGGAGGTGCGGGAGGAGAAGAGGAGGCGGTTGGAAGAGGTGGAAAGGGATGCAGAGAGGAAGGTCCGTGAAGCAGAGGAGCTGGAGGCTCGGGCGGCGAAGGCTCGGGCCGAAGCAGAGGCGGCGGTTCGGGGGAAGGCGGAACTTACAGCGCGGATACAGGAGGAGTATAGGGCAAGGGAGGTGAGGGTGGTGAGGGAGGTGGGGGAGGAGGAGAGAGCGAGTGTGGAGTTGGATAAAGTGATTGCTGAGGGGGAGCAGAAACTGAGGGAGATGGAGAAGGAGAAGGAGGATATGGTGAAGAGAGTGAGGGAGATGATGAGGATGATGGTGACTCAGGTGGAAGGGTGGGGAGAGTAAGGAGTATGGTACTGGTGAGACGCCCTGGTTGCTGTGTGGTGGTATTGTATGTGGTGGACAGGAGAGGCTCTTTCAAGGGATGGTGTCTTGTTCACCAGAGCAAATTATACGTGGGTAAGTAGCACATATGTTATGTGCTGCTGCCCAACCAGTTTTGCTGCATTGGCATATGTGTGCAAAGATGTATAGCTAGCAGCACACTGTAGGGTGTACGCAATGCGCATAGTCAGAAAATGGGTGCAATTTACTGGTGCCTGCAAGAGTACGGAACGAGATTACCCTTGGTGTGGATACCTGCAGCTACTCTGAAAATACCCCTACACCGATCCATGGCCCACGAGGGCGCCCCTAAAATGACATTAATTCCATTTTCATTCAGATTGCCATGGGAAATCAGCCTGCCATACGCACCTCAATTGTTTTGAGAATTTAACCCCTTTTTGGTATAGTGACGTTGTGAAAATAACGGATGGCCGCAAAACGTATTCAGCGGTTTGATAGCCAGGTTTCCACCCAGGTGTGTCGAGGGTTTTCGCAGGTGGTAGGCCAGGTGCCTTGGCTGTTTCGCGCATCATCTGCGGTGGGGCCGTGAATTCTGCTGCCATGGTTTTTCAGAAAGACTTGGTTGGTGATCTGGATACGTATCATTCCACAACGTTTCTGCCCCGAAATCGAAAAGTTTTTGGAGCACAAGGGACAGAAGCGTTTGGGGTCCGTTGTGTGAAATCCCTCTTCTGTAAGTTTCATTTCACACAAGGTACAGTGTTAGTGGTGTGAAAACAAGCAAGCGAGCAGTAACGACAGTGCGAGGAGGGATGGAAACCGCGGCCAACTTCATTGATACTCAAATTATGCCAGGAGCATTTTGCATCGGTACTCAACCTCGATTTCTCATTGCTGATTGGTTGTCGATTTTCAATCACATCGCTCATTGGACCTCCCTCTTCTATCACGATTCTCAGGCTAAAAACACATCCGCAATGTGACGGAAACAGAACGCAGTTCCCGAACTAAATTTTGAATAATTGTGTCGAGGTGCAACCAAGAATAGACAACTAAATCATGGAATAGTCAACCCTTTACAAAGATGTTTTTATCAGGCACAAATTTTGTAAAGATAATAAAAATTGGATTGGGAGAAATGATGCAAATTGGGATTAGCTCAACAGAATGGGGTTGAAGGCACCGTCAAGCCTCCGTCGACCGTGGACCCGCTGACCTCAGACATGGGGGCTCAAATTTATTTTTGTGCACCCTCAGATTGGAGCACGATTCCGTAAAGAATAACAAAATAAATAGAACTTTTTGGGAAACCGAAGGCAACCCGGGAAACAATCAACCCTAGGCAATGGATGGCTTTCCGTTTTTTGGGTTGATTTTCCCAAAATGTGTCATGTTTATATGAGGTTTTTAGTTTTTCTTTTTAATTGTTTTTTCATCAGAGGTATGTGCAGGAAAGTATCTGGTTGTCTCTTTGATCTAGAATTGTTCTTTTAATATGATTACACAATACACGTAGGTGCTATACCGAGAATTTGCTGGTTGAGTACGATTGCAAAGCGCTCCTGGCATAATTTGAGTATCAATGAAGTTGGCCGATGGAAACCGTGTAGGCAGGGGCCCATGCAAGCACGCAAGAGCGACTTGACGTTACCTAAGGGGTCCTAAGGGGTTCAGTTTTGAAACCTCGGCACTATCGTACTGCTGTGGAAGTTTTGAACTAAAGAATCTTGCATTGAGGGGGGTGGTGGGGGCGGAAAGGGAAGAATGGGCGGACCAGGCAAACTGTATCTGCCCTAATCTCTGTATCCACAGATAACAGTGCCGCGTGAACAGTCATGTTTATTTTCGTGTTCGGTTTCCTTCGTGCCGCCCTTTGGTCCCCCGAATTCCTCCCTGCGAATTAACCTGATCAGCCCGCCATCCAGGGGGCTCTTCGACCACAGCTCGTTGGTACGGCTGGTTGATCCGACGGCGTGTGTTTTTTCTCCCACAAGATCTCCAATTTACACACTGCGCTCCGGCCGGACTCTAGACCCACCACGCATGAATCACCTCACACAAGTCAACTCTTTCCAGCCTACCCTCCTCCCCTTTCCCCTCATCGGTTTTCTAATGGGCAAGCTAGCCTACACAACAAGCCATAGTTTCTCCCTCTAGTCAAACACAAGCCGTCTCTCCCTGTCAGCCATTCCATCAATTTTCCGACACACTGTTATCACCTTCGGATGTCCGACCCAACCATCCCCAAACCAAGATACCCCAGCCTTACCCCACCCAACCCTACTCTCATGTGCTTGTTGCCTGTGCGATCCTCCATTCCCCCAATGTGCTTGTAAACTCGGGTACACGAGCACCCTTTGGTTTATCGTGTTTGTCCGTTGTTGCTTCCACATTCGCGACCTAGCACAAGCTCTAGACCTGTTTGATAGACTGTCTTACGAGGTGACAGGTGACAGTCAGTCTTACGAAGTGACGACGGAGATTTCATCCCGAACATAGCTCACACCCGCAAAAGTCGCCAGCGAGGTTCCCAGCTGCGATTCGTAGCTCGGTAGCTGGAAAAGTAGACGTAAAACCAGACTGACGACCGCCGATAACCCGAGAAGCGAATGATTAGTCACGAAAGCGAGCGAATCTTCTGAAACCGAGGCAAGTACTGGTCGATTGGGACTGCATGAACCGTGATTCGGTTCCATTCGCTGTTGCAGCAGTCATAACCAGGTCATAGCCACTTCTCAGCAACCTCTGCGCCCACTCATCTAATTCTCCCGCGTGACATCCCCGCTAACTCCTCCTTCAGCTCCGTTCCATCCCCGCTATAACCCCTTGAGCACTTTTTAGCGAATCATTCCAACAGAAGGTCCAGTCTCCCACTAACACCACCCTCCCGTTAACCCGCGCCAACTGCGCTCTCCCACGCTACACTTAGCAGTCCCTCCTCAACACACAGCCATCTTGTCACACCACACAGCCCGATGTCGTTCAACATTCTCCTCCTCCCCTTCCTCTCCCTTCTCTTCCTACAATCTCGCCCTTACCACACCTCCTCGTACCGAATACCTCGACCCACACCCATCGCCACCGTTGCTTTCCTAGCCGTTGTTACCACTCTCCCTGACCTCAGGCTCCCGGTTGCTGCCTGGCCGAAGCAGGGGGGCAGAAAGTCGGGGGGGGGATGGGGAAGGGGCAAGGGGAGGGGCGGCCCGGGGCCAGACGGGGGCGCGCCACCAGATGGGCCGGGTAACGGAAACGGAAACGGAGACGGAAACGGAGACGGAAACGGAGACGGAAATGGAGACGGAAACCTACCGCCTAACGGACCTCAGGACGACCAATCTGGAGGCCCAAGTCCACCTTCTTCTCCTCCTGCCGCTGCTCCATCCGAAGCCAGTCCATCGTCACCCGTTTCCGCACCGCCGAGCGCCGCGCCTCCGTCGGCCAGCGGCGACACGACAACAAGCGGCGACGCGTCGTCGTCGTTATTGTCGTCGTCGGACATGCTACAACCGGAGACTGACGTCGTGGCGCAGGGCTCGACCGCGGCTCCGGGATCCGAGGAGTCTCCTGGCGGAAAGGGAGACGGATCGCCGTCGCAGCTGGACTCGAAGCAAGGTATGCGCTGCCGTCCGTTTTAAGGTGCCGACTGCCTCCGCGGACGTGCACTTGCGCGTCGCTTGTGGGCTGCGCATGGCGCCGCCGCAGGCAGCGGAAGGGAGCAGGAGCGGAACGAGCGCTCGCGCTAGCCACTGGCCAACCGTCCCAACTCCCCTCCCTCCGCCTCTCTCCGCACGTCTCGTCTCCTCCCCCAGCCTACTCCTGGTTCCCCCTACTGCCCCCTTGCCCCGTCTTCCCCCACCCCCCACCTTCGTTTTTCCCCTTCCGCTAGCCGCCAAACTCGCGGAGGGACTCCCCACAGCTGACGTGGAACCTGTCGAGTTCTAGCTTTCCCGCATCCCACCTTTTTCCGTTCCTTTCCCCCGTCCCCTTCTTTCTTTCCCTTTCGGCCTCCCCCCTTCCCCCGCTCCCCCTTTCCGCGCGCCTCTCCGCGTGCGCGCGTCCGGCAGCCGCGGTGCTGGCGAAGGTGCGCGACCACTGGGGGCTGACGTGGAACCTGTCGCTGCCGTGCGGGGAGATCGGCGGGCTCTCGTGCAACAGCGACGGAACCCTGCAGTCACTGTGCGTGCCCAACACCCCAAGCCACACCATGGGCTCATGCTGACAACATGTCTCGCCCCATGTTGGCACACCATGGGCTTATGTTGGCACACCATGGGCTTATGTTGGCACACCATGGGCTTCGACACCATGTCAAGCACTTTTGGAGCGCTTCAAATGTCACGCACTATGTTAGAGCCCCCTCATGCTCTTGCATGCTCTCTCTGTCTCTCTGTCTCTCTGTCTGTCTCTCTGTCTGTCTCTCTCTCTCTCTCTCTCTCTCTCTCTCTCTCTCTCTCTCTCTCTCTCTCTCTCTCTCTCTCTCTCTCTCTCTCTCTCTCTCTCTCTCTCTCTCTCTCTCTCTCTCTCTCCCTGCCTCTCCCCTTCTCATTTCCGCGCATTTTCTGTCCTGCGCGCGTGTCTCCTCCTCCCCTGTGTACGCTTGTTCTCTCCGCTCCCCCTGTACGCGTTACAGGGATCTGACCTCCGCGGGGCTGAGCGGCGACATTCCCAAGGACATCTTCGACCTCACCACACTGCAGTACCTGTGCGTCCAACCATGCCACCTCACCCGCGCTCACCCGCGCTCACCTGCTCGTTTCCCCACTTTTCCCTTCAAAGCCAGCTCCCTGCCAGCTTCTCTTCTAACTCCTGCTCCTCCTCCTCCTCCTCCTCCTCCTCCTCCTCCTCCTCCTCCTCCTCCTCCTCCTCCTCCTCCTCCTCCTCCTCCTCCTCCTCCTCCTCCTCCTCCTCCTCCTCCTCCTCCTCCTCCTCCTCCTCCTCCTTCTCCTCCTCCTCCTCCTCCTCCTCCCCTCCTCCCCTCCTTCCCTCCGTCCGTGCCGTGCAGGTCTCTAGCGGACAACAGGCTCACGGGGAAGCTGCCCAAAGCCGTCTCTGCGCTCACTCGCCTCGAAACACTGTGCGCCTGCCTCTCCTTCCCTCCCGCCTTCCTCCCTCCTTCCTCCTTCCTCCCCTCCTCTCCTTCCTCTCCCTCCCCTCCCTTCCCCCCCTCAACGTTCCGCTTCGCGGCTTCGTCCCGTCCACTGCTACATCGACCCTCCGTCCTCTGCCGCTCTGTGTGAGCTCCCTCTCTCGGCTGCCCTCCCCTTTCTTCCCCTCCCTCTCCTCCCTCCCATCCCTCCCTTCTCACTCCATTCCTCCCATCCCATCCCGCCCATCGCGGCCGCGCAGAGTGCTGCACAGCAACCAGCTCTCAGGCGAGGTGCCCAACGTCTTTGCCGACATGCCCAGCCTCGTCGAACTGTGAGGCCCAAGTGCTACCCGCTGCACCACCCGCGCGCACATCACCCGCCGCACCACCCCCACGCGCACCACACCACCCTCTGTCTTTGCCCACTCACTCGCTCATGCGTTCATGCTCACATGCTCCATCTTTCCTCCTTCCTGTACCTCACATCCTCCCGCCCCTCTCCGCCCTTCTGCGCCCCTCTGCGCCCGTCCCTGGCCCCGTCCCTGCCCTGCCTGCAGGTCGCTGGCGCGCAACAGTTTCGAGCGCGCGGTGCCCTCCTCCCTCGCCCTCTGCTCCACCCTCATCTACCTGTCAGTGCCTCCTCTCCTCCCACCCACACTCAAATCTGATAACTCCAACCTTGGCTACTCTCACATGCTTTCCCCTCTCCTCTCTGCTCCAAGGTCAAAGTTGAGTCGACTTAAACCTCAAACTCTACCTGCTCTCTCATTCTTTCCTCTCCTCTTTCTCTTCTGTCTCTCTATCCGGCGCCTCGAAAATCATCTCTTCTTTTCCTTTTTGTCCTTGTGCTGCCGCCCTGCTCGTGTGCTACCGTCGTTGCCTCACAGCAATCTCGGTGGCAACTTTTTCAACAAGATCATCCCGGAGGGCCTAGGGAACCTCGTTAACCTGCGCACGCTGTGAGCCTCTATCCAAGTTCCATGCGCACACACACACGCACACACACACACGCACGCACGCACGCACGCACGCACGCACGCGCGCGCGCGCACACACACACACACACACACGCACGCACATTTCATTTCATCCCCACTCATGAGAAACAGTCTCAGTGCCATCGGTCATTTTACACTGTCTATGCTCGCTCTCGATCAAACCCGCCTCACCTCCGCATACATTGTCGCACATCCCTCCTCCTACTGCTCCTGTGTACGTTCCAAACCCCCTCCACCTCTCACTTTCACGCTGCCTTGTCTTGTGCTGTGCAATGCCGTGCTGTCTTTATTCTAGTCAGAGTAAGAAGAAACGAAGCGATCTTTCACTCAACTCCAAAATGCTCGCTAAAATCCCAAAACCTCCCTTTTCCCCCTCCCCTCCTCCCCCCACTCTTCTCTCCCCTCTGCCACGATCAGCCTACTGTACGACAACGCCTTTGTGGGCAGCATCCCTGACACTCTCTCTGAGCTCACGCTCCTTGAGAAACTGTCAGTGCTCTTCCCCACACTGGCTTATCAGACCGATGCACGCATGCCACATCTATTTATTGCCTCTTGTTCACACGCACGCCCCTCCTTGTTCCATTGCTCTCTACTAGCACATCATTTCGCCCCTCCTCCCTTCCTCTGCCCCTCTCTTTGTACACCAATTTCACCCTTCTCCCCCTCTCCGTCTCCCCCTTCCTCCCCCCCACCCCTTTCTCTCCGCCCCGCCCTCTTTCCGCAGTGATCTCTCGCTCAACATTCTCTCCGGGGCCTTCCCCTCCGCCCTGCTATCCCTCCCCTCGCTCAAGTCCCTGTACGTTCACTGCTTTCTGCTCCATCTCTGCCCCACTCCACTCCACTCCACTCCACTCCACTCCACTCCACTCCACTCCACTCCACTCCACTCCACTCCACTCCACTCCACTCCACTCCTCCCCCTCCGCTCCAATACTTCCACCCACGCTTCTGGACTCTACTGCTGCAATTACTCCTTCCTGCTGGTCCTCACTCACTCCTGCCTCCTCACTTCTCCTCCTACGTCCCTCTCCCCCCTGCTCTGCCCCTCCATCCACACAACTCCCCACTCCCTCCAGACCGCACTCTCCCTTCCCCCACCCTCCACCCCCTCACCCACTCTCTCCCCTCTTTCTCTCCCTCTCTCCCCTCTTTCTCTCCCCTTCTCCCATATTCCCCCTCTCCCCCCTCCCCTGCTCTCCCACCTCCCAGAGGCGTCAGTAACAACCAGCTCTCCGGCCCTCTCCTATCCGGCTTTGTTAGCACAGCCATCTCCCCTTGGGACGTCTCAGAAGTCCTCCCACTTCCCCCCTGTTGTTCCCTTCCCTCCCTCCTCCCCATCCCAGGGACGTCAGCAACAACCAGCTCTCCGGCCCTCTCCCATCCGGCTTTGTTAGCGCAGCCATCTCCAATCCAGACTCAGAACTACCGACTGGTCGCCGAAGCCCCCATCTGCCCCTCCTCCCCTTCACTCACTCTCGCTCCCCTCCCTCTCTCCCCCACACCTCCCATCTCCCCCTCTTCCCCCTCTTCCCCCTCTTCCCCCTCCCCCTCTCCTCCCCATCCCAGGGACGTCAGCAACAACCAGCTCTCCGGCCCTCTCCCATCCGGCTTTGTTAGCGCAGCCATCTCCAATCCAGACTCAGACGGCACCTTCCTCGCAGCACAGAACTACTTCACAGGCGACGCCACCGTCCTAGTCGCCGGCGCTCCCTTCTGCCCCTCCTCCCTGCCGCAATCCCCCGACCAAGCCCTCTCCTCCTCCGCAGCCGAAGCCCTCTCGGGAGGCCCCTCCGTCTCTCCCTCCGCCGACCAATCCGGTCTCACAGATTCCGCAACGGCCGGGTACCCTTCCCTTCTCCTCAATTGCCTGACCTACTCGGCGGCCTCGGCGTGTGCGAAGGCCGGGCTGGTGGAGCAGCAGAGGACGGCGCTGGCGTGTGCGGGGTTCTGCGGAGCGAGTTTGGACGCGGGGCCGTGCGGGGGGCACGGGCGGTGTGTGACGAGGAAGGGGTCGAGCGAGGCGACGTGCGTGTGTGATAATGGGTTCATGCCCGGGCTAGAGAATGCCACGGTGGAGGGCGTTGTTGTTACGTACACGACCTGCAGCAAGAACCCCGAGAATGGTGCGTGCGGGGTGTGTGGGGGGTATGTCGGTGGTATGGGGTATGTTGCGTGTGTGATAATGGGTTCATGCCCGGGCTAGAGAATGCGACTGTGGAGGGCGCTGTGGTGACGTACACGACCTGCAGCAAGAACCCCGAGAATGGTGCGAGGGGTGTGTGGGGTGTGTGGGGTGTGGGGGGGCTGTGTGGGGTGTGTGGGGTGTGTGGAGTTGGGGTGTGAGTTCTGTGTGTCCGTTCTCCTCTGCTTTGCTGCCGTTAGCTCGGATGTTCAGCCTGTTGTCTCTTGCTTTGGTCAATCTGGAGTCGACACCCTTGCAACCCCCCCCCCTTCCCGCACATCCCACCCACGCTCTCCCCGCCCTAAACGATCTGCCACGTTTGAGAATTCTCAGAATCTCACCCCCTACATGTACTCTTGCAATGAGCAGACCTCTCACCTACTTTTCCATCTATCTCTCTGTGTGTCGCTGTGTGTGCGTGTACATGTGTGCTTCCGCATGTATGCGTATGCCTGTGCACGTCAATATATGTGCATGTGCATTGACACCTGCATGTCCACGGGCATGAATGTATGGATGAATGCCTTCCCTTCCGCAGCTTTACCTCCCCCGGAGAAGCCTGCAACGGGTAAGCCCTCCACTGCACCACACTGCATGCCACAGCACGTGCCAGGGTCAAGCTCAGTCAAGTCATTTTCACTAGATGAGCCCTCTTTCATCTCCTCAACCAGCAACCAGCAACCAGCAACCAGCAACCCATCTCATCTCTCATCCATCCCACTCCCACGCATCTCCAACCTTCTTCCTCCCATAACAGTTCCTTCCCCAACCCCTAACCCTCGCTTCCCTCCTCTCCCCCCACACCCCATCTCTCCCCAAATCTCATTCCCTACCCTCCCCCGCATTTCCAGGGAGCTTCTCCACGGGCTTCCAACCGAGCATCCCAGGTGGCCGCTTCTTGAGGCGCCTCAAAACTCACCAAATCTCATCCTCTCATCCTCTCATCCTCTCCCCCCCCCCCCCCCCGGACCCCGCCCGTCAATCTCCAGGGAGCTTCTCCACGGGCTTCCAGCCCAGCATCCCCGCCGGGCGGTTCTTCAACCCCTACTTCCGCTACGCCAGCGTGGGCTTTAAGGGCACGCCCTCCGACCCCTCCTGGACCTACAAGGACTCGGTTGACTGGCGGGAATCCTCTGCTTCCTCTGTTAGCACCACCAGCGCTGCCACCTACGTGGGCGATATCCGGGACCAGGGCCAGTGCGGTGAGTGCATGCGTCCTGGTGCTGTCTGTCAGTGCATGCGGTGAGGTGAGGTGAGCTGCTGTTGTTGACAATCCTCTGAAGTCCCTGCGTGCGTGCGGTGAGGTGCTGACCACTCATTACCTACTTATAATCCCTCTGATCTTCCTTCAAGCTGGGCTCTCAACTCAAAATCCCTCTCCACGCCCTCCTAATCGATACAGATTTTTTACGCGCTTCCTGAATCTTCCCTTTGCCTCTTTGCCTCGTCTCGTCCCTTGAGTGTGCTTCCCCCGTGTGTGTTTGTGCATTCACCTGTGCGCCCTGCAGCGGCGTGCTGGGCGTTCGCAGCAGTGGACACAGTGGCAAGCGCCTATGCCATTGCCAACCGCCTGCCCTCCGTGCCACCGCTCTCCACTCAGCAGGTACCACGCTTGCCCTCTTTCTTTCCCGCTCCCTTCTTATCCTCTTTCTCCTCCCTCCTCATCCTCTCCTTCTCCTCTTTCCTTCTCACTTTCTCCTCCTCACTTTCATTTTCGTACCCTTAGTCTTTTCCCCCACCACTTCACTCCCCCCGCCTTCCCTGCCTTACTCCTCTTTCCCACCCGCACCCAAAACCTCTCATCCATCCCGATCTCCTGCTCTTCTCTCCCTCCTCCTCCTCCCAGGTGTTAGACTGCGCCAAGGGCGATTGCTCCTCGGGCGGCTTCCCAGGAGACGCCTTCCGCTTCCTCGCCTCGCCTCCCCTCGTGTCCTCCAACGCGCTGTGCTCCGAGGACGAGTACCCCTTCGACGGCCAGTCCGACAGCAGCGACCAGTGCAAGGGCGTCAAGGGGCAGTACCGCATCCCGCTGGTGTACGAGCAGATCAGCTTCTATGGCTGGCTGGGGATTGCTCTCGCTGTTCAGCAGCACCCTGTTGTGGTTAGCGTTGCTGCGGACAGCGACTCGTTCAAGAAGTTCACCGGGGTGAGTGCCCGTGGGTTTGGCCGTGGTTGCGGGTGTGGGTGTGGCTGGGTGTGGGTGCAGGAGTGGGGGTTGCTCAAGTAGGGTCAAGGCGGACAGACAGGCAGGTGGGCTGTGGCGGTTTGTGTGTTGAGATTGCCTGCAGCTTGCCTCAAAAGGTTGTGAGAGTGCAGCTTGCCCAGCGTGCTTCGCATCTGTCTCTGTGTGCACGTGCACGTGGGAAGACTCTGCTCTCAGACTTCAACTCGTCTCTGCTGTTGCTTCTGTGCTGACGACCCTTCTCTCCATCTCCCTCCCCCCCACAGGGCTACGTATACAACGATCCTGCCTGCTTCGCGTCGGGCCTGGTGCAGCACAACCTGGTGGTCGTGGGCTACAACGTGCTCGCCCCCGAGCCCTACTGGGACCTACGCAACAGCTCCCGTCCCCCACCCCCCTCTCTCTCCACATGAACTGTCAGCTCCTAACTCCCTAGCCCCACCTCTCCTCTCCCCCTCCACTCCACTCCTCTCTCCTGCTGCTCTTCCTTCTCTCCCTCCCTCTCCCCCGTCTCACAGGGTTACGTGTACAACGACCCGGCGTGCTTCGCATCGGGCCTCGTGTCCCACAACCTGGTGGTCGTGGGCTACAACGTACTCGCGCCCGAGCCCTACTGGATCCTGCGCAACAGCTGGGGCACGGACTGGGGCGAGGACGGGTACATGCGCATGGCCATCACCGCACGACCGGATCCCACCGGGGTGATTGATGTGAATGGTGGTGCCGGCGTGTGTGGGATCTACGCGACACCCGCCCTCTACCCCGTTGTTGCCGGTATGTGTTGTGCCGGGGTATGGGGTGGGAATGGGCAGAGGACGACAGGAGGGTGGTGGGTGGGACTAGATGGAATATTGGAATATTCAAGCATGTATGGATCGTGGCACGGGCGTGTGCGGGGTTCACACAATACCGGATCTCTACCCCGGCTTGTTGCGGCTTCATTGCTCAAAATTCAAGATGCTTCTAACACCCCGCTCCCCAGTTCCCTCTCTTCCACCGTACCCTCTCCTGTCTCTGCCCCTCACCCCCCTCCCCCCCATCCACATCTCTTTTCAACTTGACTCGAAAATCTTCTCCCTCTTCCCCGATCCCCCCCTTTCCCCGATCCCCCTTTCCCCTCTCCGCGCCCTCCATCCCAGGCCCGTCCCCCTGCCAGCCGAACCCGTGCGGTAGCGGGGCGTGCACCGTGGTGACGGAGCTAGACGGCTCTCAGTCCAACCAGTGCCGCTGCCGCCGCGGCTTTGTTGCTGTTGACAACGTGGATGGCTCTCAGTCCTGCGCTCCTTGTATGTTGAGGGGGGAAGGAAGAGGGGAAAAGGGGACGGGTGGGGGGAGGAGGGGGGACGCGGGGGTGGGGGGGGAAAGGGGGGGGGGGGGGGGAAGGGTGGGGGAGTCGGGTGGATTTTGAGAAATTTGAAAAGATTGGAGGATGTATAGGCGCCTCTTGCCGGCTTCTGTTTCTCACCACCACGCGCACCCCTCTCTCTCTCTCTCTCTTTCTCCCTCTCTCCCTCACTCTCTCCCTCTCTTTTACTTTCCCTTCCTCTCCCCCATGGCAGTGCGGGTGTGTGCACTATACCAGACAAACCCCTGCTGGGTGGGCACGTGTGTGGACAACAACCAGGGCAGCTTCTCCTGCCTCTGCCCCCCCAGCTTCATGCAAGGCTTGAAGGCTGACGGCACCACCACCTGCGTGCCTGGTACGCTCTGCCCTCTCTCCCTCCCTCCCCCCGTGATAATAAAAGTGTTTTGAGGCGTCTCAAAACATTCCTGCCTCTGCGCCCCCAGCTTCGTGCAAGGCTTGAAGGCCGACGGCACCACCACCTGCGTGCCTGGTACGCTGCACAGTCCCTCCCTCCCTCCTTCCATCCCACTCCCCTCTCCCCCCCTCCCTCCCCACCACTCCCCTCTCCCCCCCTCCCTCCCCACCACTCCCCTCACACTCGCCACTCACTCCCACTCTCGCGCTCCCATCCACTCAAATGCGCAAACCCGTATCGCGCACGTCTTGCCAGTCCCGTGTCAGTTCCCATCCATCCATCCCCATTGTACACTTCCGTGCTCAACGCACCACCCATGCTCGCACTTCCCTTGCCCTTCCTGCCCTTGCCTCTTTGTCTCTTCTCCCCGCTGAAGTGATTTCGGAGGAGGACAAGGGCACGTATCTCATCACAGGCCCTGGTGTCACCTGCTACGCGCTGGCGATCAGCTATGGCTTCACCCAGGCTGAGCTTGAAGATAAGAACCCGGTAGGTGCTCTCAGCAAACCCAGTTGTTGCTCTCACACTCACCTGCTGGTCGCTGCTCTCACGCTCTCTGCTCTCACGCTCTCTGCTCTCACGCTCTCTGCTCTCACGCTCTCTGCTCTCACGCTCACCTGCTGCTCCTACACCCACTATCCGTCCTTTGACCACCCATCCCCTATGTTTCCCTCCTCTTCTCTTTTGTCCCAACCTGCCTCCATCCCTCGCCTCCTTCCCTCCTTCACTCCCTCCTCCCCACCCTCCTCCCCGCCCTCCTCCCCTCCTTCGCTCCCCCTCCCCACCCTCCTCCCTGCCCTCTTCATCTCCTCATTCTCCTCCCTCCATCCCCTTCTCTGCAAACTGCAGGACCTAGACTGTTCCACGGACATCCCTACAGGCACACTCTTGGACATCTCCGACTCCTCGCTCGCGCCATGCTCGCTCCCCTACACAGTCACACCGTACGCGTCATTCCCATGCCATTCTTGAACCACTTAGGTGCCGCAAAACTTGCGGTTCACATTCGCCTTGGTACGCCTTACCCCCTTGCCATGCCATGCTATGCCGTGCTCCACCCACCATGCCATCCGCCCTCTCATTTTCTGGCTTCCTTTCTTTATCATCTCTCTTTTCTCTCCCCTGTGGCTCCACACAACACCACAGATCGACACGTGCGACTCGATAGCCGAGACGTTCAACATCTCCGCTGCAGACCTCTCGTCACTCAACCCCGCACTCGACTGCTCGCGACTCATTATTGGCATCCAGGTAAGCCCAGCCCAGACTAGACAGACACCTCATCCATACCAACAAATGATCGCGCTTCAGGATGACTTGAACAATTCAAGGCAGTTCAACTCTGAGACTCAAAACAGCACTCATCCTCTTCACCCCCCCTATCTCGGCTCTTCCTGCCCCAATCTCTGCTCCGCCCTTCATGACTGTGCGGCTCGAGGGCAGCAGCATTTGTCACGTTTCAAACCTCCACTCCCTTGCAAAACCCCTTTGCCTGCCCCATTCTCTGTTCTGCTCCTCAGATCTGTGTGGCACGAGGCCAGCCGTACCAGATCCCTCTCTGCACACCACATTTGAGACGTTCTAAACTCACATTCCTTTTTCAAAACCCTTTGCCCCCGACCTCTGCTCTGTTCTGCTCTGCTCTTCTCTTCAGATCTGTGTGGCGCGAGGCCAGCCGTACCAGTTCCCTCTCTGCACGCGCTACCATGATGTGGCGGACGGCGAGACATGCACCTCCCTCATGCAAGTCCAAGCGCGCCCGCCCCTCTCTCCCTTCGAGTTCTTCGCTATGAATCCCGGCCTCATGTGCAACAATCTCATTCCAACCAAGCCGGGCGACGGGCTTGGAGGGCAGCAGGTCTGCCTCTCCTCGCTGGCATTCTCCGCGTTTAAATGCGCGTACTCCACTTATTACAACCAAGCGTGGCGACACGTGTGCTTCGATCTACATGAAGTATTTCCGCACGCCGGCCGCAAAGGCCAAGACGACGCCTGCGAAGCTGTACGTGCAGCTGAATAGCAACACGGTGTGCCCGTCGACCCTACGAGTCGGGTACCAAGTGTGCCTGCCCAAGGGAGTGAGGCCTATGTAGAGGGGACCAAGCGTGCTGCTTTTGTGTGATATGTGTTGTGCAGTGGGGGGGAAAGGGGGGCTGTGGTTTGCGGTAGGTTCACTGGTGGCGGCAGCAGTGGTGCTGGTGGTGGTGGTGGAAGAGGGGTTGGAAACAGGCAACAGTGGCGGTTGTATGAGCAGACCCAGTGCAGTAGAGGCGGTGTGGATGGTCCCATTCGGTGCTGCAGTGGTTGCTGCAGAGGCTGCAGGGAAAGAAGCAGCAGTAGCTGCTGCATGTTGCGCATCATCCTTGTACGCATGGCCCATCGTGTGTTGTGTTTGTATACCGAGGACTTCCGAGTCCGAACAAGCCGTGGGTCCTGACTGCAACCAAGCATGCTTCGATCCCCGTGCACGTGTGTAAGCAGCGTGGCGTGCCTGTGCCTGTGGCCATGCCCGTGACATGGCATGCCATGCTAGGACACACCATGCCATGCCATGTCTGTATTGTATCATGGTTAACAAACTCTTCTGACTGGTGGCTATCCCTGACGCATTTTGCTGTCGGATTTGGTTTCTTATATTCCGAAGCTTGTAACATATGAGTTGTGTTTTTTGACTGACTATTCCCATTGTTCACGTATCTAGATTTGTGTACCTCCTCCTCTCAGTGTAGGATTTATATTCACGACCCGAAATAGTAATCGAGAATCTGGCTGTCATGATTGACCGCCCCCAGTATCGCATTTATTCGACCTGCTTCTTGCTGATTTGCTAGCATTTGATCTCGGATCCTGTCCTGATCCTAGCCCGACACATCACTCCGGTGTCACGCTGCTTACGTGTCTGAAATTCAACTCCGTTACAAAGACGCCACATTTTCATATATTACAATGATACGACAACCAACACAAAGTAGGCCGGATCAATGCACCTGGCCTACCAGATCAGCAATCTAAAAGGCCTTATGACCACATCTACGGCAGTATTCCAGTCGGGATAACAAAAACAAAGAATTTAACAAATGAACAGCACACAGGTATGGAGGCCTGCTTGCTGGCTAGCGTCAACAGGCACACCCCACATCGCATCCCATGCCATGACATCCAACCAAACGCATTCCAATGCCCTTCCATCTCACAACTCTCGCGTCGTAAAACCGTGGCTAAGACAAGCTAGAAAATAACAGGGCAAAGAGCAGCAGGCAGGACGAGCAACGCCCCTGCCGGATGGTGTCGGGTTTGGTCCACGGACGACGCCCAACCGAAGCGGAGGCGAGGCGAGAGGACAACAAATCCCGCAAAGACACCCAGAGCGGAGGTGGGAGGGAGGAATCAGCGGGGTCTGCAGAGGACCTTGCCAACGTAGAGCGTGTAGCGGTTGCAGGTGAAGCCGGGGTTGTACTGGTACATGAGAGCGGACCGGCATCGGAACACCTTGCATATGACCGAGCTGCACGTGTCGCCGCGTACGACTGTGTATGTGCCGTACAGGCACCTCGTTGCTCCCACTGTCAGGGATTGGACGCACACCTGCAGCGAGAGAGAGCGAGAGAGACAGAGAGAGAGAGAGAGAGAGAGAGAGAGAAGAGCGAGAGAGAGAGAGAGAGAGAGAGAGAGAGAGAGAGAGAGAGAGAGAGAGCGAGAGAGAGAGAGAGAGAGAGAGAGAGAGCGAGAGAGAGCGAGCGAGAGCGAGAGCGAGAGCGAGAGAGAGAGAGAGAGAGAGAGAGAGAGAGAGAGAGAGAGAGAGAGAGAGAGAGAGAGAGAGAGAGAGAGAGAGAGAGAGAGAGAGAGAGAGAGAGAGAGAGAGAGAGGGAGCGGAGAGGAGAAGCAAGGTGAGTGATATGAATCAGACGAAGGAGGCAAGGGAGGGATCACAACAGGAAGCTAAGCAGGAGAAGGGAGGAAGGGAAAGCGGCAGAACAGGTTACAGGAGGAGGAGTAGGGCCTCCAGTAAATCACAGTACCTGCTGGCCCACAAGCCGCTGAGAAGCATCGGAAGTGCAGATGATCCCGGGGTTGTACTGGTAGAGCTGCGTGGCAGAAATCGGCGGCTGCGTGTTGATCATCACATCATTGCACGTCTCCCCGGGGTTGATGTAGTAGTAGGACAGGCACGACTGGTTCTGGGGGCTGCCGATTTGTGCGCAGAGGAGCTGGCCGATCATAAGTCCAGTGCAGTCCAGATCGGGGTTGATTGTCGTGAGCCCGTCGACTGTGAGGTTGAACATGGTTGCCACGGTGTCACACGTGTCGCCCTGCAGTTGAGAGTTTCAAGATCGGACGATTGGAGTTAGGAGAGTTCAGCTGAGCGTAGAGGATCTGATCGGCTGTGAGATAACTAGTGGTAGAGAGGGGTATGTATGGACAAAAAAGGTGCGAGAGAGAGAGAAAGAAGGGGGAAGGAGAAGGGAGAAGGGAGGAGGGCTTACGGGTCCGACTGTGTAGGGCGTGACACAGCCATACTGCGTGCCAGTTGAGTTGCGCACGACCACCGTGGTGCCTGCTGGGATCGGCCTCACGCAGTTAATGGTCTGTCGTTGGCACAGGGAGTTTAGGGACGGAAGCAGGAGGAGAACAGGAACAGAGTGGTTTAGAACGGGAGGAACGGGAAGCTAGAGGGTGCATGTCGTCAGGCGAGGGCGACTGGAGAGTGCATGTTGGAAGCCACTTGCGAGAAACTCGCCCGAAGTGCGCGCGCGTGCCAAGAAAATCAAGAGGCAGGAATGTGAAGGTGAAGGGGGCTGTGCAGCAAGTGAAGTAGTACTGTGAGGGAAAGGTGAAAAGAACACTAACCGGGTTGAGGGTGGTGAAATCAGCCTTGGACATGATGTAAGTGGAGCGCACTTGGGCGCACTTGATGGCCACTGGCATGACTACGGTGGTGGACGGCGGCGCTGCACCGGCGGGAGCAAAAGACAAAGGCGGCAGAGGCGGAAGCGGAAGGGACGAGAGGACCAGGGTTTAGTAACGACAAAGGAGGGAGTGGGAAGGAAATGCTGAACGACTGGGGGTGGGAGAGACGAGGAAGAGCAAGAGAGGAAGGAGGAAGGGCAGCACAGGGCAGCGCAGGGCAGAGGAGGCACTGACCAGGAACACAGGTGGTGGAGCCATCAGTCAGGGCGCCGACTTGGTAGCCAAGAGAGCAGAGGCACGTGTAGCCGCCCGCCATGTCGTCCACACACGTGCCGAAGCCACACGGGTTCATCACAAAGAATGCGCAGACTCGGGCTGTTGTGGGGGGTGGGAAAGAGGGCGGAGGAGAGAGGGGGGAGGGAGAGGGAGGCGGATAAGCAGGAGGCTTGGCGAACGGAAGAGGAGCTGGGAGGGGGAGGCAGAGCGGGGGGCAGAACGACATGCGAGGACGGTGGGAGAAAGGGTGGTGAGGAGTGAGGAGTGCAAGGGGAGGCGAGAGGAAGGAGAGAGGGGAAGAAGAGAGAGGGACAGAGAGGGAGGGGCGTACTCATGGTGCAGGACTGGGTCTTGTCGAGGTTGGTGACAGCCATGAAGTTAGCTGGGCACGAGCACTTGTTCTTGAACGGCTTGCCCTTGAATGGTGTGCACACTCCACCTCCGCATGGGTTCGGCTTGCAGGGATCGGGCGCTGCAGGAGGGGGGAGTCAAGGGGAGGGAGAGAGGTCGTGGCAGGAGGAGAGGAGTTAGAAACATGAGAGAGTGGGACTGAGTAGTTGGAAACAGGTTGTTTTCTGAAGGATTTAGAGGAGTAGATGAAGGCGGTCGAAGCAAGGCAAGTGGGGGAAGATAGAGGGGGAGTAGTTGAACCAGTGAGGGAAGGGAATCTTACTCTGGAGGACGGGATACAGTGCCGGCATGGTATGCATTCCGCAGATGCCCGGGCCGCCGGCAATGGCGATGCGCATGTAGCCGTTCTCGCCCCACGATGGGCCCCATGAGTTGCGGATGATCCAGTGGGGCGTGGCGTCCAGCAGGTTGAACCCCACCACCACCACCAGATGGTCCACGACCTCAGTTGCAAAGCAGTTCAGATCCGCATAGACAAAGCCCTGCAACCACGAGAGCAGGACAACACACAGAAGAATGAAGAATCAGCACACGTGGATTCGCGTAAAAGGGAACAGTGTGCGCCACAGCGAGAAGAAAGAAAGAAAGAAAAGAAGAAACCGCATACCCCTGGGTACTTGACGAAGGACTCAGCCGAGGCAGCAATGTAGGCGACAGCAGGCTGCTGCTGCACCGTGAGAGCCAGCCCGATCCACCCGCCGATCTGCACCGTCTCAAACATGGAAATGGCGTAGGGCGGGGGGGGAAGCATCGGATCCGCGGCCTTCTTCGCCTTCAGGCTGCGCATGGCGCGCGAGAAGATGTCCGAGGGATCAGCTAGGTCAGGAGAAACGGATGCAGAGGCAGCAGTGGCGGCGGAAGAGGAGGATTCAGAGAGGTGACGGAGGGAGGCGGTGGAGATGGTAGCGTCGTCGTCGTTGTCTGAGAGGAGGCGGCGGCGGAAGGAGAGAGAGCGCTTGGTGACCATGCAGGATCCAGAGTTGAGAATCCCGGTGTACGGGTAGGTGTCCCGGGTGGGCAGGCCGCCGGAAGCGGCGATGTAGTTGAAGGCGTCGTCGGGGCGGCCGCCATCGCAGTCCCACGTGCCCTGGCAGTCGATGGCCTTTTGTTCCGAGATGTTGGGTGGCGCGATGTTGTAGACGATGGCGTAGAGGGCTTCCATGGCCGCCACTGGCGCGAACACCCAGCAGGCGGCTGTATGGGAGGGTGGGAGGGAGGGAGGAGTGGGGGAGAGAGGGAGGGAGGGAGGGAGGGAGGGAGGGAGGGAGGGAGGGAGGGAGGGAGGGAGGGAGGGAGGGAGGGAGGGAGGGAGGGAGGGAGGGAGGGAGGAAGGGAGGGAGGGTGCAAGCGGGAGGGAGAGAATGAGAAGGAGAGTGAGCAAATAGTTGTGGACACAGCACCAAAGAAGAAGAAGAAGAAAAAGCCAAAGGAGGAAAGCTTGGAAGTAGAACCGGGGGGAGTGGAGAACGGCTTACAGCAGAGGCCTTGGTCCTTGGTGGTAGTCAGAGCAGCAGGGATGCGGGAGCGCCAGTCAACAGCGGGGTTGATGTTCCAGAGAGGCGTGGTGTAGTTGCCAGTGAAGCTGGTGGAGGCGTAGCGGAAGTACTTGTTGTAGTAGGAGCTGGAGACTATGGCGGATGTGTCCTTGGCTCCCTTGTACTCGCGCCTCTTGATGGTCCCCGGGTCGATTGTGGGCGGGGCTGTGGGATGGAGAGGGAGAGAGGGAGAGGGGAGGGGAAGAGTAAATGAAGGGGGGTTAGAAGGAGAGAGAGGAGGGGATAGAGGGAAGACGCGTACAAGGAACGGGAAGACAGGAAAGAAAGCGGGGCATGCACAGGGCAGGGAGAGGGACTTACGAGGCGCGGTGGGGCCTTGGTTGGGCGAGCAGGAGGGGTAGCTGATGGTGACTTTGCCCACTTGAATGGTCAGCTGCACATTGAACATGCCGGCGTTGCAGGCGCAGGTGGGGGTGTTGGAGGGGGCGGCCAGGTAGCACGTGCCGAGCCCACCGCACGGCCCCGCGGGGAGAGCCGCGCCGCAGAACCCAACGCACTCCACAGCGCGCCGCTGCGGACCCACAGGGCATCCCGTCCCCGCGCTCGCGCTGCCGCCACTGCCGCCGTTGCCATTCCCATTGCCGTTCCCATTGCCGTTGCCATTGCCATTGCCAGTCTTCTTGCCGTTCACGTTCCCGTTGCCGTTTCCGTTTCCATTGCCATTTCCGTTCCCGTTGCCATTGCCGCTGTTGCCCTTCTTGGGGCCCTTCTTAGGGCCCTTGGCGGCCTTGGCAGCAGAGTAATAATACGACGTCCCACCAGCCGACGCCGACGACGACGACGAGGAGTAAGAAGACACAGACGCCTTCCCGTACGCATTCCCATTCCCGTTCCCGTTTCCGTTTCCGTTGCCGTTGCCAACGCTGTTCTTCTTGAACTTCTTATCAAACCCGGTTCCCTTGGCCGCGACGTTCTTGTTATGCTTGCCCTTGCCGTCCGTGAAGCTCTGAGACACGTTCCAGAAGCCGCCGAGGAAGCAGTTATCCTTCATTCCGCTGAACTTGGACACTCCGTACATCTCTAGGTTCGCCTCCGCGTACCCGCCGTCGACCTGCGACGGGCAGAACTGCGAGGGCCCCGCCGTGAAGATGTTCGGGTAGGTGATGAAGTAGTTGCTGCTAAGGTCGTACGTCGCCTGCGACGCGTCGCCCAGCGACGCGGACGCGAAGACGGAGAGCGGCGCGCCGGACAGCTGGTTCTTGCTCACGTCGCTGCGCGCGGGCGCGAAGAGAGCGGACGTGGAGGGGAGCGCGGAGGGGAGGACGGGGGGACGGGGGAAGGGGAGGGGGAAGGGAGGATGAGGAGAGGGAAAGCGGTGCGTGGAAAGGCAGCGGGAGGAAGTCGAACCGATGTGAAGGTGCGTGGACGACGGAACGGTCGCGCCTCTGCGCGCACGCAAACGAAGAGCACGCTGCGGAAAGCGGAGCGCGCAGCGGAAAGCGGAGCACGCTGCGGAAAGCGGAGCGCGATGCGGAAAGAGGAGCGCGCTTACAGGAAGACGAGGTTCGAGAGCGAGCCGAGGACGGGCGGGAGGTTGCCATAGAAGTCGTTCCCGTTGAGATCACTGAAGGCAACGCAGCGAAGGAGACGGGCGATGCGGAGGCGGGAGGGGGGGGGGGGGGGGGGAGGGGGGTAAGTGGCGAAGTGGCGTGCGGAAATGGTGCGACCGAGGGGCGTGGCGCTTATCGCGTGGACAGGAGAGAAACAAACGTGACACGAGGTGTTTGCGCGAAACGAAGAGTAGCAAGTGGACACGTATTGAGGGTGAGGGAGAGTGGGAGAGGGAGAGGGACTGACAGCGCAACGAGCGACGCGAGGCTGGAGAAGGACGCGGGGAGCACCCCGGAGAGACTGTTGTCGCCCACCAGCCTGCGGAGCCAGACGGAGTCGGACGGAGCGAGACGGAGACAGCCAGACGGAGAGAGCCAGACGGGGGGGAGGCGAGCAGGGAAAGGAGGGAGAGGCGTTAGTTAGAGCGGATGCCGCGGAAGCGAAAGACAAGGGAAACACGCGAGTGGCGCTGAGAAAATGGAGAGAAAAACGCTTCGACGACGAAAGGAGAGACGGGGCAGAATGGGCGGAGGCGCGAGCGGAAGCGGGAGCGGAAGCGGAAGCGGAGGCGTACAGATGGCGGAGCTGCGCGAGCGAGAAGAGGCTGTTGGGGAAGCTCCCTGTGAAGGAGTTGAGACCCAACGCCCTGCGCGCACGCGCACACGCGCAAGGGAAGAAGCAAGGAAGGGGAAGGGAGGTACACGATGAGTTGAAACCGACGAGCGGAAGGGAAGCATAGAGGGAACAGAAGGACGAACGAGCGAGACCAGCGTCGGGCAAAAGCGAACGGAAAGACGGAGTAGAGCGGGTGGGCGGGCGGGGAAGAGGAAGGCGCGGAGAGCGCTGCGCATGGCGCGAGTGGTGGTGAAGAGGCGAGGCGAGGAGACGTACAGTATCTGCAGACCCCCCATGCCCCAGAAGATGTCGGGAATGGCGCCGGAGAGGCGGTTGCTGCTCAGGTCACTGTCATGGCGGAGAGCGGAAGGGTTGGGGAGGGATTGCAAGAGAAAGCGAGACGGGTTAGTTGGCTGGAGAGCGGAACGGATGCGGACAAAGCCGTGAATGCTGTGGTGCTGGCACGATGATTTAGACTGGTTCGACTCGAGTGAGAAGAAGCGTCCAGGTGAGCGTGCGAGCATGGGCGTGCGAATGCGCGCGACGTACAGCGTCTGGAGGCTGGCGAGGTTCGCGACGCTGGACGGGATTTCGCCCTCGAGAGCATTGCCGCTCAACGACCTGCGACAACGAGCGACGATAGGCACATGGGGAAGGAAATGAATGAGCGGGAAAGAGCATTAAAGAGGCGGAAATAGCCGTGCAAAAAATACGGAAAAAGACGTGGAGGACGGGAAACGCAAATGCGAAGGCGAGGCGGGAGCTTGAACGGGACGGGGGCGTACAAGTTAGTGAGAGCGGTCATGTAGCCGATGTTGGTGGGTATACTGCCGCCCAGGAAATTATGGTCCAGGCTCCTGAGATAGAGAGAGAGGAGAGACACAAGGACGGCAATGTAGAAAAAATGAGCGATTCGACATGAGTACGAGGTAAGAGAGAGAGCAAGAGAGATTGGGAGTGAGCGGAAGTGTGAGTCACAGTGAGAAAGAGACGACAGCGCCATGGGCTTGCGCGACTCACAGCTTTTGCAGCGCGACGAGCTGAGTGATGGCGGGAGGGATGCCTTGGCCCGCCAACAACGGCCGGTTGGCGATTTCACTGCAGGCGGCAAGGGAGGGGATGAAATCGAGGGAGTAAGAGCCGAACAGAATGATTGGAAGACGGCCCGATGCGCGGAAAGAAGGAAGACAGCAGGTGACAGCAAGTGCCTCTGAACGGGTAATCAGAGAGCGGAGACCAGACAATTAGAGGAGACGACGCGGCACGTACAGTGAGATGACGCGGCCGTCGAATGCACATTTAAGGCCGAACCAATCCGCGCAGTCGGCGGCAACGAACCACGACTGCGTTAGTCGCGGCACGTAGTCACCCCACGCGGTCAGAATCGCCTGCAGTGCGGGTTCTGCCAGAGTCGACAGGGAGGAGAGGAAGGAGGGGAAGGCGGGAAAGGAAACAAAGACATGCGAAGGTGAGAGGAGGGACGAGTGAGTAAAAAACGTGTACGGGAGGCGGCGCGGCGGATAGCCGGCTAAGTTGAAGTCAAACATCGAAGTTAGCAAACGTATAGCCGTTGAAACCGCAGGCCTTCGCCAGATGCTACAGAAACACGACCCAGCAGAGTGACGAGACAGGGACACGCTAACGGGACGCACTTTGACTGTCAGCAACTGGTTGACCAGCGATGAGGGGAGAGAGGGCGGTGAGGAGGGCGAGCGAGAGGAGAATCCGCGAGGGAGCGACGGGAGTATGCCGGTGGTGCCGATGTGGCAGCCCCATGGCTGGTGCGTGTTGTGCAGTTACTCAGGAGGGCGGGCGGCTGAGGGAAGGGGAGATTGGGAGAGGCCAAGGGCGGACACAGATGAGTGGGGAGGAGGGGAGGTGAGACACGGACACGAAGAGGCTGGTCGAGATTACTTTCTGCAGAGAGGTTCCAGGAAACGGCCACGGCTCACCCCTAGTAGAACACGAATGGGAACAAGGGTCTGATATTTGTCAGAAGGAGCTATAGCGTAGGCTCAAGCGTACAATCGTCGCTATCCATTACCAGTCTCACACACTATCACTATCCGTCATCCGTAACCAATCAACCGTGGCGCATTAGTGTGTTCGCAAGTATGCGGAAAAGAGAAACCTGATGCGCCCAAAACCCGTCATTTTGCTGAGAATAGTCTACCTATTGCATAAAAAAAACTTGCAGCCGGCTCAGGGGACTTGCTTCTCTCGGACTGATGCAAATGTCGTCTTTCGCTGTGGCAAGGAAACTTAGGCGCCACTAAGGTCTCTAACAGATGGTGCGACTGCAAAGCCGATAACTTGGAAAATTTGATCGGCTTTCCTGGGGCGCAATGGTTGTAACTAGATGCAGAGTCTACCAAGCTGTGACAGGGGGAGCATATATCAATACCAAACCCTTGTTCTGGCTTTTGGGTTGGGATGGGAGGTCGGTCGGAGCTCGGGAGAGGAGCGTCGGCAATCTAGAGCAGCAACAGTAGATGAGGTTGTTGGTGAAAGTGGCCTTGGCAAAAACTGTTTCTGGTGACGGGGACACGACATACGGCATGACACGACCTTCCACATTAGGGGAGTTGCGGGCGAAGCGAGCAGCCGAGGTGCGTGCGACAGTGTGCGACCAGCGAATTTGGTATCGCATCACTTTCAGCAAAGTAGGGCAGCAGCGACTGCAGAATCCTAGAAAAAGGTGGGGGGAAAGGCGGTACTGTACGGGTAGGGGCATCTGCAAAAAATTGGGCGGATTGGGGGGTGGGGCTTCACTCTTGTTGTGTAGCAAAGCGAGAGAGTCGCACAACGCAGTGGTCGGTTGGTGAGTGCACAGTGGGGGGGATTGTTTCAATCGCTCTTTTGAAAAGGCCAAGGAGAACCAATGGACCACGCACATGCTGCTGCGAACATGTGATTTTGATGTCAAGGTCGGGCGGGGAAGAGACATCGGCGACAGCACGCGGAACTGCATCCTACAGAGCAACCAACCAGCCCCGTGGCGCAGGGATGTGCAGCAGTGTAAGGGGGAAATACCTGCAGCAGTGGCAGGAGGGGAGGTACTCGTCAGGTGAAACGAGTTTCTATGCGCGCACCGTGATCGGTTTTGTTTGGGGGAGGTGTTGCATCCCGCGCGCAGATGCACAAAAACTGTAACATGGCGAATTTCAGGAGATTCCGTTGTTTTGAATGTTTCGGCATTGTGCGCGTAACAGTCGAGCGAGTCAAGTGTGTATGTACAACACATCCAGGGAGTATGTACAGCCTGTAAGGCGTATTCTGTTCAAATGTGATCAAGCTATTTCATAATTTGTCTGTCACGAGAGTTCCTTTGCCCAACCCTTCGTGCACCTAAAATCCCACCCCGCGTGTATACAAAGCGCCCGGGTGGTGAAAAATGCTATCTCAGATCGGGCCCGCAAAGGCAGCCAAATTGCTTGTAACACCGCGACGGGGTGCGACCGTCAGCAGAATGTTGCAAGTTCACGCGGTTAGCCGATTCCATCTGTTGTGCGGTGCCCTATGGCAGGTTTGTTAACCTGCCAACACTTCAGAATTGAAGCGTTTAGTTTCTTATCATCCCTCGAAATTGGACCTTCGCCTTGCCTCTCGACAATACAATGTTTGCACTGCTTAGCTGAAAGTCAAAATCAACTCAAACAAATAAGGTTCAGGGATTGTTATAGCTAAAAAGCTGCGCAAAAATAACGTCAAACTTCTCATTATGGAGGCTTGGTCTTGGGCGGTTGCGACCAGCAGCATAGTGAAACATCGTTACAGCACTGCAGCGGATGCCCAGCCCACCCTCCGCCAGGAAATGTACTACACCCCATGTCTCAACCTTACCAACAGTGCGAACATCTGATACACTCAGTTTCAAGCTATGTTGAATTCCAGTATACTATCAAGGCTCACCTTATCACAAACAGAAATTCACTCACTGGTAAACATTATTTAGGGGAATGTCAACAGAAGCCAGCATCTGCAGAGCATAATCAACAGGTTTCATGTCCCACACGTCATCATACGGTAATCATTTGTAGGTGTAGTGTAGTATTGCTTCGTTGTTGGTGGTGCACCATTGTTCTTGCCATATTTGTACTTGTCACATCATAATGCAAACCCTCTTAAAACCGAAATATAAAATAGTGAAGGCAGGACCATCTTGAAAACGTGTTCCGCAGAGGCAAAACAAGAATGACGTTGGGCCGATAAAACACTGTTCCAAACATCTCCCGCCGTCAGATTGAACTTACGTGATTGGTTCCCGCCAAAACAAAGTTTCAGAACGTGCTCATCCAAGTTCAGATCGTGGTCGCGGGGTCGCACTTCTGCATGCGACATTTGCACGACAGTTGTTTGCCGTGCGTTTCCATGGTTGGGCCAAACTTGGACTTTCAAGTTGGGCATGGGTTCCACATCTGCTTCTTTCAGCGCACGTCAGTAACATAGCACCAGGTTGTGGGCAAACAGCAGGGCCTCAGATTTCAGCGAAAAAAGGCTGATTTAGGTAAAAAGGGCTGAGATTTCAGAGTTATTTTAGAAGCAAGGCTGATTTTTCAGCAATTGTTTCGAATTATGTAGGAAAAACTATGAGATTTCTAGTGTAAAATGGCTAAAAATGACATTTTTTTTTCTGATTCTCAGCATACTTTTCTGTACCAACTCTGATTGATCAGCCTAGCCCAAAACCAATCTGAGGCCCTGGCAAACAGGCATCATACCAATAGGTAAGGCTAGCAAGTTAGATTTTCGTTCTATCAGAACGAGCTTCCCAGCTATTTATACGTGCAAAGAGATTGCTTTATAAAGAAAATCAACTCGTATGATCATTTCCGTACGAATTGTAACTCCACGGTGTGAATGTTATGGTGTGATTTGATAGCATCTCAACTCCGGCAAGGAACAAGGAAGAACTCTTTACACAAAAAACTGGGGCAGGTCGCGCTGTCGGGGCGGCGGCTTGGCGTGCGATGTCCGTCGAAGCAGACACGAACTAGCGAAGGAGGCTGACATGGAAAGTGTCATAGACACGCCAATCGTCGGGTAGCAGCAGCTTCGACGTGACAGGTGTCACTATCTGGATGATCTTGAAAGGCCCACAAAATCGTGGCCGTAGTTTCAACGAGCCTGGTAGACGAAGGTTCTTCGTGCCGAGCAGCACTAGTTGTCCAGCTATCATGATGATTTTCCGACGCAGAAGATCTGTGTATTTGCGGGCAGTCGTAGCTTTGCGAATTGCATCCACAACATATTCGCGAATTTCCTGAAGTTTCGTCGCAAGCGTTTGTGACATCGGGACCAGGTTGTCGAGTGTAGTCGTGTCAGAGGTCCACTGGGGATCCCCGATGATCCTAGGGAAGGGTTACAGGCACGTCGGCCTGGGGGGTTATGGGCGCACTCACCCGCTATATAAACAAGCCCTTTTATCCCAGTGGTTAGTGACTGGGATTCTGACAAGTCGTGGTTGGTACCACCGGGTCAAATTCAGGAAGAACGGGGGTTGATTAGTCGTATTGGACGGGGCGTTGTTGATCACGAACTCCGGAATGGCGAGCGAGATTTCCCATCAAGCGGATTCGGGGCAGGTTGTCCTGATCAGCTGCTCCATTGTCTGATTGATTCGCTCAGTCTGGCCGTTAGTTTGCGGTGTCGGAAACAGCAGGCAGAAGTTAGAAACAGGAAAGAGGGGTTTTGGACTAGCAGCAGCAGGATACATATAGGAAACCCTAAATTGGGCTGTACTCGCTATGAAGTACCTCACTGCAGGCTAGAAAAATACAAGATTCTGACACACCCCCATAGCCAAAGTGGGGTGTAATCAGCACAATAAGCAGGCAGAGCAATAGTTCACAATGATAAGCAAAGCTAGAGGCTATCACAGAGGGCAAGTGAGGAGGAGGAGAAACTGTGGGGGCGAGAAGATGAGAGACGACGGCTGAAGCTGCAGACACACGGGCAACAGGAGCGCGCATACTGAGGCTACCAGGCGCAGAGCCCCGGACTACAGGAGTAACTGGCTCCGCGCTAAGACGAGCGGCAGGAGCAACGGACCCACGGGCTGCGAAGATTCACTCTACAACGGTAGTGAGCTAGACTACGGGTGTTGGCACGAACTACTAAGAGTGATCGTAGCTTTGCTTGGTTCCTTAGCACTTGCGCATTCACGGGAGAGATTGGCCAGAGTGTCACTAGCAAAGTTGGAATTACAGAATGATAGAACAAGCAATGACAGAATGGACTACATCAGGCACCTAGCAACTCTGCAGCTAGCCTGGTCGACCGCCAGCACTGCATGGTCGACCGCGTGCCAGCGTTGCGTAGAGGAGCCGCGCCAGCACTGCAGAAGAGCGACCTGCCAACACTGCAGGTCGACGGCGTGCCAACGCTGCAGCTGTGCGGCTGTCCAGTATTGCTCCATAGAAGACAGCAGTGCGCACGCTCGCAGGTGCGCGCAGACGATTGGCCCGACTTGCATTGCTGTGCATCCGTCGGCTGTTGTCTGCGCCTGACGAGCCACATCGACTTCGGGATACCAGCCCGAAGTCGCCTTCGCCATCGCGACCTCGACGACGTTCGCGTGCCTCCGCAGAACTCGTCGAGCAGGTTACCCGGTCGATCCGGACACCACTAGGTGCTTCTGGTCGACCACAGCTCCCTCTGGTCGACCACCAGGTGCCCCTGGTCGACCACAGCTCCCGTCGAGCTACCCCCTGGTCGACGGACCCCTTCCGTCGACCAGAACTGCTCCGTCGACCTCCCGGTCGAGCTGCAGGTCGACGGGATGCTTCGCGGACCTCCCGGTCGAGCTGCAGGTCGACGGGATGCTTCGCGGACCTCCCGGTCGAGCTGCAGGTCGACGGGATGCCCCGCGGACCTCCCGGTCGAGCTGCAGGTCGACGGGATGCCCCGCGGACCTCCCGGTCGAGCTTCAGGTCGACGGGATGCCCCGCGGACCTCCCGGACGAGCTGCAGGTCGACGGGATGCTCCGCAGACCTCCCCGTCGAACTGTAGGTCGACGGACTGCTCCGTCGACCTCCCGGACGGCCCACCCGTCGCCCAGGCCAGTCAGTTGCAGCTGTCGAGCTCCCTGGTCGACAGTAACATCACAGCGGTCTCCTGCAGCTCGATGTCGCCTGTCGAGCAGCTCTCCCACTGTGAACGGTCGGCTGCTACTCCCGTACATCCGACCAAGTCGTCGGCGTTGCCCAAGCGAGGGCGGGGCCAACACTCCATTCCCGTTAACACGGGCGACAGGCACAGCAGGCTCTCTGGGCTACCAGGCGCAGAGCCCCGGACTACAGGCACTGCGGACGACAAAACGGCTGCCTCTACTCAACCTCCCCCAGCTGTCCCACACCCCTTTCACACACCCCCTGCTGTACCCCTAGCACTGCTCACACGCCACCCCCCTAGTACCACTCCGACGGCTCCCACACATCCACCCCCCTCAGCGGCAGCTGCAGCAGTGGGAGACGGAGGAGGAGGAGGAGGAGGAGCAGGGGACGGCGCACACACCCCACGGACTAGCCACCCCCAAACCCTAACACAGGCAGCACGGGGCAGGAGCACGGGCAACAGCGGGGGTGGTGCTCGTAATGAAGCGGGACGGCGCGCGGCTCCCCAGGGCGCCGCGACGGGGCAGCGGGGGGCCGCGCGCTGTTCCCTAGGGCGCCGCGACGGGGCAGCGGGGGGCCGCGCGCGGCTCCCCAAGGTGTCGCGACGGGGCTGCGGGGGCCGCGCGCGGCTCCCCAGGGCGCCGCGACGGGGCAGCGGGGGGCCGCGCGCGGCTCCCCAGGGCGCCGCGACGGGGCAGCGGGGGCGACGCGCAGGCCCGCGGGGCGACGCGACGATCGACGGGGGGGGGGGGGGGGGGGGGCGCGGGGTCCCCGGGGTGACACGCGAGGCAGTAAACCGCCGCGCGCCTCGGGGCGCACGGCGGGCAGAAAAGCGCCTCGCGCCCCGAGCGCGCGGCGGGCAGAAAAAGCCGCCATGCGCCCCGAGCGAGTGGCGGGAAGAAAAAACGTCGCGCGCCACGGGGCGCGCGACAGACAGGACAGCAGCGGAAGCAGGCGGGCCCACAGGCCAGGAGCGTAACCGCTCTGATAGCATGTCAGAAGAGCAGGC